GATCAGAGTCTAGGATAAATACAGTGGACTACAAGTGGACTAAGGACCGACTTATATGCGGCATGACGGCAAATCGGACCGCCATCAAACATCCACCATAAGCATCGCTGGCAACTGTTATTCAAATCATTTACGAGTCCGACTGCTGTTAGGTGAACGGCATTTAGTCATCGATTAGACAGAGTGGAAAGCAGACGCTATAGCGCTGAGGGTTTGTCAACGCATGCATTGATGGCTTGTGGTAAAACTTTCGACATTCTTCTCGGCTTTAAACTGACGCAACACGAAGTAGAGGCCCGTGCACATGACAAAAGAGAAAGATTCCACCTTCACTTCATTCAGTGACAGCAGCGGTATTACTAAATGACACACAAGTTATTATACATGCGACCGTCAAGGATAGATGGCATTCGCGACATTGATGACATTCAATAGGTCTTGAGGGCTATCAGCCAGATTGGAGCCAGGGAGCATCAACTATGCGAGGGGAGGCGGAGGCGTGCATGATGTTAGAAGCTGTGGAAGTTCGAAGTTGAACCTGTGAGCTGAAAATAGGAAGGTTATACCGCCGAGGAAGAATGATACTGATATAGAGGATTCTTTCTGCAGCTTTGATGGAGGCGTGGATGCGCAGTCTCGTGTGACTGCCACTGACATGTCATGGGCGTCTTTTGGAACATGACAATACTTACCTACAACTCTACAGCTTAGATCCAGACCGCCCAGTCCACCTCCACGTTCGACACCATCAACCCCCAGCAAAATGTCGCATCTCGTTCCCAATCGAGAATTTAGTAAACATCATGAAAACATCATAGCCGCAGTCGTAGTGTTCCCCGAAGGACAACGAATGGTCACCGACTCGTACGACAGGATGCTCTGTCTGTGGGACTTGAAGGCAGGCGTTATGTTGAATAAGATGGAGGGGAATCACCATGAAGTGCGGGCATTAGCGGTATCACGAGATGGGCAATTGATAGCAAGCGGTGGTGATAAGGGAGAAATCATCTGGCATGGAGAAACTGCGGAGTATCTCATCCAAGTAACGATGGCCGACTCCTATACGACCTTCTCGCTGGACTTCTCCCCTGATGGGACAGTACTGGCTAGTGGTTCCATGGACTGGATGTCGAAGTTCTGGAGCACGGCAACATGGGAGATGGAGGGAAATCCAATCGAATCCAGTACTTGGGTCAACTGCGTTCGATATTCGCCATCTGGCAAACTTCTTGCCATCGCGACAACCAGCAATCTCAAAATTTACAAATCAGACACGAGGGAATGTGTCGTAGACATGGGGGATAATTACAAATCTCACTTTGTGTACAACTTCAATCATTTACTCACATGGACACCCGTAGTCTCGTTCCCAACGTTCTAGGGCACATGAGAATGTAGCACAGCCACATATGCGGAGTTTCAAGTCGGAGGCAAAAAACATGTTCGATTTGTGTGTGTGAGTGTGCCCTAGAACGTCTGGTGCATTTCGTATAGAAGGGGGTATGTCGTATCACGTGTGCTATGAAACGCGCTCGTCATCGCGTTTGTTGATTTACCAATTCAAGTGGCTCTTATTGTGCAAGCGCTGGGAAAACACACGCATCGGTATGTTGACATTGTCGTGTGAGATTACCCACGGCAAGCGCTGAATATCTTCCCTGACCTCCTCCATAGCACGGCTCGACAATGAACCATACACATTGGCTGCCCATTTATGGCTCATTACAATGCCAAGTCTGTGAAGGGCATCGAAGGCATGCGCTGATAACCCACATGCTTTCAAGTAGATTGCCCACAGCTTTGTCACACGTCCCCAACGATGTGATCGTGTATATTGCGCCTGCAATATTAAGTGCAAAATTACCTGTAAAACATATTAATGTCTTTGCATTTCAGAGTATTAAAGAGGAGCACCATTGCTGGCCTCTTGTGTGTGTTATGTGCTTGCTGTTTTGCACTGAACACGAGATGTTCAAGTACATCCCACAGCACTGGTGCACCAGCGGAGACTTTTTTGATGAAGTCTTTGAAATTGAAACTTGTCAGATGTGCTTGAGAGAGCTTGTCAGGTGGTGATGTGAAGAGTGGGGCAATATGCTCTATCTCGTACTCCAGTAAGTCTGCCATGCATTTAATGGTGAATTTTTGCAGGTTCTGACAGGCACCCACAGGTCTTCGGCCTTTGTGTTGGTTTCTTGGTGGATGGTACCAGCACTCAAGGATTCCTGGTAGTTCCTTGCTCAACATCAAGCCAGTTCATGCAAACCGGATTCTGTCATTGGAATGACAACTTTCATCCCCCCAGCTGAGAGCATCAAGGAAGAGGGACAGTGTCATGCCCTGCTCCGAGATTGTGTCGAGAATCTTGAGCACTTTGGGCGCAAGGGATTGTACTTCGAGCACCAACTTTTTCTGTCTAGTTTGCTCTAGTTGTATGGGAGCCTGTGGCTCAGGTTCTTCATCAGACATTGTAGCCTCATTATCACTAGGTTTGTGTAACAAGAGACATCCAGGGCAGGTGCAAGTGTTTTTGCAATCATCCTTATCTTCCAACGACTCCAACTCAGGATAGAAAAGATGTTTGAAGTCATCCATTGAGGTGGTAAGTAAAGTACCAGTACAGTAACTACTCTGGGCTGGCTACGATCTACCCCCTTCTCTACGAAATGCACCAGATCCTAGGCAGGTCTGCTGCGTGCGTTTTGGTGTATGTTTTTTGCCTCCGATTTCAATCTCCGCCTGCCTAGGATCTGGAGCCAAGATTAGATTATTGGACGATTAGATTCTCTCACCTGATCGCTTGTACTAATCTATAAAGTAGGATGCGACGGGTGGGAATCGTCTCGCCAGCTTGCGTGGCTTTCGCATAGATACGCTTAGATGCGCTTAGGAACGCTTAGGAGCGCTTAGGAGCGCTTAGATGCGCTTAGACGTGCTTAGATGTGCTTAGGGATGCTTAGATTCGCTTAAGAACGCTTAAGAACGCTTAGCTCGCTTAAACCTCTTTTTGGGAATCTCGCGTGGCTTTCTCGCGTGGCCCAGTCACGGGTTTTCGAGCTCCGACTTGATACTGTTGCCCGTTCGAGTGCAGCACATGTCAATAAATAATTGCACATGCTAGGATACAGCCAAGGCCAGGAAGCCAAAAAGGAGCGCGAAGCGCTCCGTTTGCTTCCTGTGCCGAAGGCACAACGGGTGTGAAGCTAGTATTAATAAAAGTATGGCCAACAGGTACAAATCTGGGAATATCTGAGTCTCACCAGTTTGCTGATGAATGGTTCCAGTAGGGCCCTTCTAACCAACTAACTTCGCCTCACAATGCCCAAAGATAAAGGCAAAAGCAAAGGCAATTCATCGAATAATTCGACTCAAGACACCGAAGCAACGGCTTCAACGGTACGAGGATCACTTAGTTCACCTCACTCCATTGATGCATCCTTCGTCTAGAACCGACCCCGTGGCAAAGTCGGTCGGTTTCTGGGGAAGTTCAAGATCTCGGTAACTCCACGAGTGGATTCACGCAGCCCTGTTCCCCCGAATGTCAGTGCTTCATCAACCTCGGTAGGTTCTCATATTTGCCCTCCAATCTCGGTGCCATCTAAATTCTGGTGGTCGCCCAGGTTCAGCCGGCTCTGGAAGTGGCTGATACCAAATCGGCACTTCAGAATGCTGGAGAGGCTGATGAGCACACGCATTCACTTCCGGGACCTGTGACAGCCATAGCTTCTTTTGTTCAAGACGCACAAGAGGATCTCAATGCTGTTGACACTTTCTATGACACATATGTCAAACCCCTTGAGATATTCGCTGCGATTATCGGAGAGATTGCGAATGTATGCAGACCCTCGAGGCTCTTGATCGGAACCAAACTAATTTAGTTCCACAGGTACATCCGTATGCAAAGATGGCACTGGGTGTGTTGTCTGGTGCAGCCAAAGTATGTTTTCACTTTCTCTCCCTATCTCACAGCGTTGTTCAGCAATCATTTGTGCAGACTATTCTAGCGCAGGTGCATCGCGACAAAGCGATATGCGAACTTCTCAAGAAGATACATGAAGTTTACAGCCTCATAACACAAGACGAGATGCTTGGCAGAATTTCGTCGATGCGCATTGTCCTTGGCAACATTTCTCAGCAGACCCGTGAATGTGCTCAATTTATCACAAATTATTCGGAGACCAAGAATTATTGTGAGTGTTATAAGCTATTGCCCTCTGTACCATCTCGAGCTTCTACCACCATTACAGGGAAGAGACTTGGAAAGAACGTCGCCTCGGAAACGGATGATACAATCCAAAAGTACAATGACGTGTTCGATACACTCATGCAAAACTTCCGGGACCAGGTTGCTCGCGACGTAGTCGTACACATTCACCATATGGGTAAGGGTTCGGACGCCCTTGTGATATGACATATATTCATACCTTTTCAGAAGAAACATTGAACTTTAGCGGCATGAATTATGCAGATGGCGCGGGACTAGATACCAGAAAAGAATGCCTCCCAGGGACGCGCACGGAAATCCTTTCCGACATCATGAAATGGGTCAACAGCACTGGGGACGACGTTCCACGCGTGCTGTGGCTATCTGGCCCTGCAGGCGGGGGCAAATCGGCCATCGCCCACACCATTGCTAAATCGGTCAACGATGTGGGAGGGCTTGGTTCGTGTTACTGTTTTGACCGCCAGCGAGAAGCAGATCATCGTCATGAAAAGATCTTTTCCACGATCGCGTGTGACCTGGCTGATCGTGATCCGGAGATGAAGCGGGCATTGGCAGATGCAGTTCGGGTCGCAAATTCGCTCAAGAAGACGCCGGATATCATCCAGCAGTGGCAGAAGCTTCTTATTGAACCACTGAAGAAGTTATCTGGGTCAAGTGGGAAACCCATCGTGTTCGTCGTCGATGCACTGGACGAGAGCGGTGGAGTAGAGACACGGAAAGACCTCCTCAGCATTCTAGCTGGGAAATATCAAAAACCCGCTGTTCCCAAAATCACAGACCTTCCTAGCAACCTCCGCTTCATCGTTACCTCTCGCCCACTTCCTGACATCAAAGACAAGTTTTGTGGTGTTCAGCATATTCGACAGATGTCGATGGATGATATTCCACGACAGTTTGCAGAGCGCGACATCCGTGCTTACATATCCAAGGAGTTGGAAGAGCTAGATTTCCAGGATAGGGAGTTCGCAGTTCTCGCTGAGAAAGCTGATGGACTTTTCGAGTGGGCGCGTCTCGCCTGTGGATACATCAAACAGTCCGATTTCGTATCTCCAAAGGCTTACTATGAGGCTGTGGTGTCACGCAATCCTGCTGAGAGAAGCAAGCTGTTGCACAACATGTATGACCTCATTTTGACAAATATCATTCCCAGGGATACTACATCTTCGGATCCGCCAACACTGCGTTCGACGAAGCTAACGAGTTTTCGCTCAGTGATGGGACAAATACTAGCCACAGCTGAACCCCTTCTTTTAGCTACCCTGAAAGCTATGAGGCGCCATTTTCCAACGCAAGAGGACAAATGTGAAGTGGAGCTTGTGGTAAAAAGCATGGGCTCCCTCCTCAGCGGCACCACTAACCCAGATTCCCCAATTCGACCCCTGCACGCATCCTTCCGTGATTTCTTGACGGACGAACAGTCCAGTAAAGAGTTTTTCATCGACCTGTCAAAGGCGCAACGCGACCTTGCATTTGCGTCACTTGGAGCGATGAAAGACGTCAAAGACGGTCTTCGCTTCAATATCTGTGATTTGAAGTCGTCATATTTGCCTAATAGCGAAGATCCTGGGCTGCAAGGCCGAGTTCAAAAATGCATCGCCCCACATCTGTCATATTCCTCTCGATTTTGGACGTCGCACGTACGAACCACAGCCTTCGACAAGGAGCTCGCGCAAGAAGTGAAATTGTTCTTCAACCATGAGCGGCTGTTCTTCTGGGTGGAGTTACTCGCCCTAATCGATGCCCTCAGCGGCGCAGTTTCTGCCCTTCCGCTCGTTGCCCAGTGGTTGAATGTGAGCATACTATTACCAGGTGTCAGATAAAGCGCTCATGCGCAACCACAGGGTGATTCCGAATTCAAAGATGTTTCGTCCACTGCAATGGATGTACAGAGGTTCATTCAAGTCTTCGGCAGCATCATTTCACACAGCACGCCACATCTGTATGTATCAGCACTCCCTTTCCTGCCTGCCAACTCTCCGCTATCGAGAAAGTTTTCTGCATGGTTTCCGAATACTCTTCGTGTGGCATCTGGACGTGATATAAACTGGCCGGCCGTTCAGACCGTGCTTAGGGGGCATACTTCTTCGGTTTTGTCTGTCTCGTTCTCGCCAGACGGCACTCGCATCGTTACTGGTTCAAGGGATAAGACTGTTCGGCTGTGGGATGCAGGGACAGGGGAGCCAGTCGGGGAGCCTTTGCAGGGGCACACTGATTCAGTTTCGTCGGTCTTGTTCTCGCCGGACGGCACTCGCATCGCCACTGGTTCTTGGGATAGGACTGTTCGGCTGTGGGATGCAGGGACGGGGGAGCCAGTCGGTAAGCCTTTGCGGGGGCACACTCATTGGGTTAACTCGGTCTCGTTCTCGTCGGACGGCACTCGCATCGTCACTGGTTCGGAGGATAAGACTGTTCGACTGTGGGATGCAGGGACAGGGGAGCCAGTCGGGGAGCCCTTGCGGGGGCACACTTCTTCAGTTTACTCAGTCTCGTTCTCGCTGGACGGCACTCGCATCGTCTCTGGTTCAAGGGATAAAACTGTTCGACTGTGGGATGCAGGGACAGGGGAGCCAGTCAGGGAGCCCTTGCGGGGGCACACTTCTTCAGTTTACTCAGTCTCGTTCTCGCCGGACGGCACTCGCATCGTCACTGGTTCGGATGATGAGACTGTTCGACTGTGGGATGCAGGGACAGGGGAGCCAGTAGGTGAGCCCTTGCGGGGGCACACTGATTCAGTTTGGTCGGTCTCATTCTCGCCAGATGGTACATGTATCGTCACTGGATCTTGGGATAAGACTGTTCGACTGTGGGATGCATGGACCGGGGAGCCAGTCGGGGAGCCTTTGCAGGGGCACACTTCTTCAGTTTACTCAGTCTCGTTTTCGCCAGACGGCACACGCGTCGTCACTGGTTCTTCGGATAGGACTGTTCGGCTGTGGAATGCAAGGACAGGGAAGCCAGTCAGGGAGCCCTTGCGGGGGCACACTTCTTCAGTTTCATCAGTCTCGTTCTCGCCGGAAGGCACACGCATCGTCACTGGTTCGGAGGATAAGACTGTTCGGCTGTGGGATTCAGGGACAGGGGAGCCAGTCGGTGAGCCCTTGCGAGGGCACACTGATTCGGTTTTGTCAGTCTCATTCTCGCCGGACGGCACTCGCATCATCACTGGTTCGGAAGACAACACTGTTCAGCTGTGGGATGCAAGAACGGGGGAGCCAGTCGGGGAGCCTTTGCGGGGGCACACTGATTCAGTTTCATCAGTCTCATTTTCGCCGGACGGCACTCGCATCGTCACTGGTTCTTGGGATAGGACTGTTCGGCTGTGGGATGCAGGGACGGGGGAGCCAGTCGGTAAGCCTTTGCGGGGGCACACTCATTGGGTTAACTCGGTCTTGTTCTCGCCGGACGGCACTCGCATTGTCACTGGTTCAGAGGATAAGACTGTCCGGCTGTGGAATGCAGGGACGGGGGAGCCAGTCGGGGAGCCTTTGCGGGGGCACACTGATTCAGTTTGGTCTGTCTCATTCTCGCCGGACGGCACTCGCGTCGTCAGTGGTTCGGAGGATGAGACTGTTCGGCTGTGGGATGCAGGGACGGGGGAGCCAATCGGGGAGCCTTTGCGGGGGCACACTGATTCAGTTTCGTCGGTTTCATTCTCACCGGACGGCACTCGCATTGTCACTGGTTCTTGGGATAGGACCATTCGGCTGTGGGATGCAGGGACGGGGAAGCCAGTCGGGGAGCCCTTGCAGGGGCACGCTGATTCAGTTTGGTCGGTCTCGTTCTCGCCGGACGGCACTCGCATCGTCACTGGTTCAAGGGATCACACTGTTCGGTTGTGGGATGTAGTGATGAGCCTGCCGTCGCAACAGTGTGCCGTGTCAGACTTGGATCCTTCAGCATTCTCAGATGAACATCGCACCATCGAGGCCACAACTACCATGTCATTGAACACTTGGAACAATCACCTCATTTCCTTCTCATCCAACTCCATCCATGCGCTGCGCAACCCTTCTGAGTTAACGGAGGGAGCATCCCATGACGACCGCAGTTCGACCCCCTTTTGCCTGAATCGTGACAGTGGATGGATGGTAGGACCTAAACATCGGCTGTTATTTTGGGTACCACCCGCTTCTCGAAACCCATTTTATAGCCCTGGTACTTTATTAGTGATACCCAGAGGAGGTCCCGAGCTTGATTTAAGCCGCATGGCACATGGACAACACTGGCAAAGGTGCCGAGAGGAGTGAGTCTCTTCACAGCCCTTTCTGTTCCTCGTACTTACCAAAATCTGCACTTGTAGAGCTTAGTACCGAGGATGACCGCAGCAATGCATCCATTATGGAGATTTCAGATACGATTTAGATGTGACCGAGTGTACAGTGGATCATACTTTGTATTCAATTCTATATCCAGCACCTAGTTCCAGTTTAGGGTTGTCCAAGCGAACGACTCAAGCTGACCGTATGGCATTCATGATGTTAGTGCTAGTTTGTGAGAGCACGTAACGACGGACAAGTCATGCCGATCCCATCAGAGATGTGGTTGTGTGTGCGCCGTAGATTGTGTCGAAGTATATAGCATCGGTGCTTCCTCATATCGGACTGAGAAGCTAAACAGAAGACATCATCGCTGCGGTCATTTGTGATCGTTTGAGTTCCCACTGCACCGAGTACATTCAAAGTGGGTTAAAAATAGGGTGGAACCAAATATGTAGTTTATTGCAAGTGTTCACTCCATGGTGCAGCATGTAATCGCGATACCCACGACGGAGGCGATGGGAACAGGAGCACCATGAAAACGATGCGTGTAAGGATACTGTGAACTGTGAGGTATGAAAAAACAGCTGGAGGCAACAAGGCATAGGGCAAGAGCAAGCGAACGGGGGACGAAAGTGGGGCGATACGAAGAGTAGGAGCTCACATGTTCCGGCACGATAGATGACATTGAATTGAGGGTGATATTGGACGCAAGTGCATCAAGGTATCACAACGGGTGTCTTCGTCAAAGAGCTCTTCGATAGTGGGTTTCTGGAGAGTCAACAGGAAGATCTAGTCTAACGACTACAATTGAGTTTTGTAAGTCTGCATTGAACTCGTGATACATGCGTGGTATTACACGAAGCTAAGAGAAGTAGACTGCGACTCACGAAGCTGTTGAGAGGGCTTTCATAATACAGTTAACACACGCAGGCCCGGAGTCCTTGGTCGCAAATCGTAGTTATTGGGTGGTGCATATTGACAATTTCCGTCATCCACTTTATCCTCTCCAACGCAAAAAACAAGAGGGTCGGTCTAACCGTGTCTTCGCTTCTGCTCCACAGGCATGTTAATAGGGAAGCAACTTGATGTCTGCGAAGTTTGATGTGTCGTAGCTTGAGAGGAGCTGATAGTGACATTGTGGAGTAAGAGGGTGCGGTGGCGGCGTAGAAAGGGTTCGCGACATTAATTGATATCGCGTTGGGTGGATGCGACGAGGGTGGGAATCAAGAGATCGATGACGGAGCTTATAAGCAGTTGATGCTCGCGAGAAAGCATCCCAGAACCGGGATAACATCTGGTGTACCCTGGCCTCAGCAAGGACATTGGGAAGCAAGAATCACTTGTTTGTTTTTGTTTGTCCAGAACGAACTTCTCCATGATTGGAGTAGAACACTCGGCGAGATCACCACTGGCATTTGGAAAGGATCGAGTCCATTCTCTATGACCATTCAAAGTTATTGGTGTCAGAATCAATTTCATAGCGGCTGCCTTTGTCGACCAGGCCCTTGTGAGGATCGTGAGGATCAGCCGCCCCACAAGTAGCAAGATCACGTGATGTTTTGGTTGGAGTGAATTCTCGGCATTCAGCAGTCAGTCAGCTTCCTATCTTCCGAGTCACTACCATGTGTTGAAGTCCGAACAATCCGAAGAGAAAGAGAGTGAGGAAGCTGAAGGATCTGACATGATAGGTACGAGCGAGAGAGAGAGGTCCAAGTGCATGAGGCAGACTGGCCAATAGGCTGCGCCCAAATGACATCAGCTTGCACCCTGCAATATACACATGTCAGAAAACTTCACCTTTGTGTTCCTTACTTACCTTCCTATAAAACCAAGCACCCATCAGATGCGCACATCTCAGTTCTAGTTGAAACTGAGATGTGAGTACTTGGAAACATGTATGTCAGCATTTACTGACCAAAAATGTAGCGTACCTTTGTGTTCTAGCTCCCTCTCCCATCATTCGCTCGCCTGTTCTCGCAACACCATGGCCCCAACTACATCATATAGATTTGATAGGACTATTCTCAAAATTATCACTACTGAAAAAAAATGCAGGGAGGTGCTGCAAGCTAGACACAGACTAAGTCTCAGTGAATGTGAAAGAAACACTATATTTGATAACTACCTAGACACAGACTAAGTCTAGGTAATGAGTCAGCAAGACTGAATATGAGTAACAACGATAACAGGCATACCTCAGTGAATGTGAAAGAAACACTGAGGTGAACTGTCCAGGAGGAAAGATATAAGTATGAGGCGTCAAGAAGTCTGAGACAGAGAGAAGCAATCAGCTATAACAACAATGGTGAGGACTGCCTAAGGTGTTGAAGGTGCCAAGAGGTAATAAGAGTCAAAAAGGAAAAAGGGAAGATGAAAGCTTACCCAGAGGCTAATCCCCCGGGTTTCATAACGTGTGGACACAGACTTCTCTTCTTATTGCCAACACACCCCCTCACCGAGACACCAACTGCAGGCCCGGCCAATGCTTTTCAAAGAGAGGGCAAGGAAGGGCCTTTGTGAAAATGTCTGCGGTGTTGTTGTGGGAAGGTAGCCACTTGAGTAGGAATGTCCCTCTCTTAATGTGCTCCCTTATAAAATGATATCGTATGTCAATATGTTTTGAGTGAATGTGATTGCAAGCCTCAGTTGACAAAGAGATGGCGCCAGTGTTGTCCATATAGATGAGGATGGGGAAAGGAAGGTGAACATGGAGGGCAATGATGAGCGATTTGATCCAAAGTCCTTCTTGGATGACATGAGTGACCGCCATATACTCAGCTTCGGTGGAGGAGAGGGCATGGGTCGCTTGTTTCTTTGAAACATGAGCTATGACTCCCCTGGCATAAAACCATATGTAGCCTGAGATTGATAAACAATTGATGGGAGAGCCTGCCCAGTCAGTGTCGCAATACGCATGCAGGCCATCATTTATGTTGGCACCCCTGTAATGAAGACACAGGTTGATAGTGCCAGAGAGGTAGCGGAGCAGCTGCTTTGCTGCTGCATAATGAGCAGGGAGTGCTTTAGCACTGTGTTGAGTGAGTGAGTTGACAGTGAATGATATGTCGGGATGAGTGCAGACAGTGAGGTAAAGCAATTCTCCAATGAGCTTGCAATAAAGTGTTAGGAGGTTGGGTAAGGTGTCATATGAGTTGCTTGGTTTTCTGAAAGGATGATGTGAGTCGAGTGGGAGACGGACAGGGTTACAATCAAGGAGGTCGTATTCTTTGAGTAGATAGGTGATGTACTCACCTTGGTGCATCCAAAGTTCATGGCTGCTGCGATTGCGTTCAAACTGGATGCTGATGAACTTAGAGACTGGTCCCATGTCCTTGATGCCAAACCATTGGTGGATCTTCTGCTTGACCCAGACCAGGAAAGCAGGCGTATTTGATGTCCCTAGGCCATCATCGACATGAAAGCCAATAATGCAGATCACATGACTGCTAGAAGTGTCACTGTTGAAAAGGAATATTGCATAGTCGACAGCACAGCGAGTGAAGCCCAACTCCTCCATAATTTCCCAAACCTGCTTGTACCACTCCATCATGGACTGCTTCAATCTGTAGATTGTGTGAAGCATTCGCCAAACCTGCACTTTCCAGTCCCCTTCCTCAAATCCTTTGGGCTGATGCATGTAAATCTCCTCCTTGAGCACTCCCCAAAGGAATGCATGCATGGTGTTGAACGAGTGAAGCTCCCAATCGTTTTTGCAGGCTAGAGTGGCTATGAAGCATAGTGAGGCTGTTTTCAGTATGGGCGCAAAGGTAGCACCAAAGTCCACCCCAGGTATCTGTGAGAATCCTTGTGCGACGAGACGTGCTGTCATATCCTGTATGCCAGACATAGATCCCATCATATTCCCACACTTTCCGGACCTATTTCCAGACCCCATATCCAACTCATTCCTGGATCCCCTATCCTGTCCACCCTATGCACATTCTGTCCAGCAAGACATCTGGACTTTACCTCCTCTCAGATTCTGGACTACATCCACCACCTCACATATCTCAGTCCTGTTTCCGCCCTGCCTTCCAGATCCCCAGATCTCTGGACCTCCGGATATTAACTGTGCTATCTCCGGACCTATTCCCACCCTCTGTCCGAGATCCTGCGCCTATCCCCATTTAGGCATCTCCACCTTTCTGGTTCTCGGTTATCTCTGTTTCTGTCTTGCTGATTGATCCTTGTACTAGTTTCATCTCCGAGTTCATTTACTTATGTTCCGTCTTACTTACCAATGTGTTTCTGCATGCTTGTACATAGCCTTACTCCTTTGCTTACTGATCCTCTTGGATATCCTCTAGTATATAACCCCTGTACAACTACAGTAGAGTCCTCAGTCTGAATATCACCTTAGACTTGCCCAATCTTCTTCCGGACTTCAGTCCATCTGAGTTTGTCCTTTTCCATAAGGCCTAGGGATGGATTCCCTAGGCCAGAATTCTGGACCTTCGGATTTGTCCCCTATGTCTCTGTCCCAAGTCTAGGGATTGCTTCCCTAGGCTGGAGTCTTGCCTTTCTGGCACTTACCCTCTTTCTGGACTTAGGTCCACTTCCTGTCCCTCTGACTCTACCTTAGGGTAGTCTACCTCCGTTTGCTTCTACATTGGATGAAGTCTGATGTAGCCCCTATTCCTTCCGGACCTCTGGACCTCCTGTCCTCTGTACCTCCGGACCTCCTGTCCCTCATACCTCTGGGTATCCTGTCCTTCAGACGTTCCACCCTCCATACCTTCCACCCTCTGTACCTTCCGCCCTCCATACCTTCCGCCCTCCATACCTTCGGATGTTCCATCCTCCATACCTCCGGACCTCCTGTCCTCCATACTCCGGACCTCCAGACATCCTGTCCTCCTGTCCTCCAGACCTCCCATCCTTCCATCCTGTTTTCCTGTAGAAGTATTACCTTGCAGCAGGAACTCTCCTGAGCATTTCCTGCATTCCTCCAGAACTCTCCCACGCTCCTCCAGAAGTCCTCCTGCACTCTCCACCAGAGTAGCCAGCCTCTGGAAGTCCTCCGGACTTCCTCTGAAATGAAGGGCACATACTCGGGTAAGGGGCACAGCGTACAAGCTGAGGCCAAGCCCCTCTGAGTCAGTCTCTCTCTCCTTTGAGCATGGTTCTTAACATGTGCCTGATAAACCAGACCACCCTTGTTGTCCTCTTTAAACTCCAGAACCCAATGATTACCAATTGCTTTACGTCCTTCTGGGAGAGGGGAGAGTTGGTACATGCGCATTTCATTCATGATACAAAGGTCTTTCTTCATGGTAGCCAGCCATTCGTTTCGATTGGTGTGTAGCATCGCTTCCTCATATGTAGCTGGAGGGATCTTCATGTCCTATCCGGAACTGTTAGGATTGTGCTTGTGGTTGCTGCGGATGGTGATGTGTGCTTGTTCCTCAATCAGGACATTTGCGAAGACTTCAGGAACATCGATGTTCAGCTCTATGGCCTCCAGGTTCTCTTTGTTCTCATTCTCCTCCACCTCCTCTCTATCCTCTATCACCCCCTCACTTGACAAACCAGGTGCAGTAGCTCACTTAGCCTGCAATACATGTAGCTGTTCAAGTCGTTGTGAAGAAGTAATAGGTACTAGGCTGTTAGCAACTAGCACTACTTATCCTTAAGAGGCGCAAGTTTAATTGATCGGCCCGAGAGGACTGCTATTGAAGCACTTCCTTCAATTATGCGCGAGGGAAGTAAGTGAGCGAAGGGGTTAAAATCTATATCGGCCTAAGAGACTTGAATGCCGGCCGTAGGTATACCTCTGAATTCCTATACCAAGGAATCGACCAGGAGCGCAGGCAAAATTGACTGTTGTTAATAAAAATCAACCGTGCTCTATGGAGCGGCCAGTCGCAAGGGATATAGTGCAAGTGAAGAATAGCGCTAAACTACTGGTTGCAGGTCGAGTATTCTTGCTGAGCTTAAGGGTAAGTTCCTAGTGGTACGGACTTCAGAATGGTCGAATTGCGCAGGATTGTCAGGAAGGAACAAAATAGATGGATAGCGCAAGGTCTACAAAATAACGCGAGAATCACTCTCCTATAGAACTGATTCCGGGGGAAGAAAAAACTACTTCATTGTATGTACTGTGGTCGTTTATATCATAGTGCGTGAGTGTCCAGAATGTGTAGGTGAGAATTGTAGTGTGGTTTAGCGAGCGCGCAATGAGTCTATAGGTAGTAAAACATCATGCACTGCGGAATGTGAGTAGTCGTGTAATAAGACCTGCAGCTCGTTTAGCAATGACATTTGGGAAAATAATGCATCAGCGGAGATAGGTGGACATGGATAGGACATGGGAGGACGGATTCCTAGGACCAGACCAGAGTAAGAGCGGATGGGTCGATATACATGGATTTAATGATCCGTACTTTAAACGCCAGGCCGAGGAATGCGCGCATTTAGAAGAGAAGAAGCAGTCAAAGGAAAAAGGCAAGGGAAAGGAGAAGGAGGCTGCTGGAGAAGACTTTGCGATGGATGATGGTCAGGAAGAGGCTGGTGAAGATGCTGCGGGAGAGGCTGATGAGGAGGAAGAGGGACCAGAGACTCCCAAGTGCCCTGCGCATTCTGGGATTCATAAGGACTTTAAGGCCATAGAGCCTGTCCTTACTAAGGCAAAATGCGTGAGTATCCTCTGCCTTCTCTTTTGGTCGTTTTTGCTGATCTTGCTTGCTAGATGGTAGGATGTATGAGCATTCCCAAGGCCCATGTCTCACATAAGGACAAGTGTGACTGGTGCCTTAAGCACAATATCCCTTGCCAAGGTATGCCCGGTATGGGGTGCTTCACCTGCCAGGTAGCCAAGCACAGCTGCAAGCATGCTACGCATCGGCGCAGTGGTAAGTTTTTCCCTTAGGTCTTTCTTCTCTATCTAACCTTTCTTTTCTTAGTGCGTCAAGCCCAGCTCCAGGCTGTGGCCAAGCCTAGCCTCAGGGCCGCGGGCAAGGCACCTTTGACTTCTGGTTCCAGCCCTACTGCCAGTTCCTCTGAGGATATCCATGTCCTTATGCGCCACCTGGTTTCATTGCCCGAACCCCCTGTTACAGTCTCTGAGGATGAGGAACCCGATTCTCCTGTGCGCGTTGAGAAGCACAAGCTGCCTGAGGGTGAAGATCTGGAAGACTTCAACCCACTTGTTGATGCAAATACGAGCAATGAAGACTTGCTTATGGAGGGTCAGGTGCGCACCCTCTATGCTAGGGCTTCCACTATGCATGGGATGATGTTGGAGGTGATGAATGAGTTGGACGTTATCGTGATTCACTACAAGAAGAGAAGGTGGTTCCTGTAGATAGTTTCCTTTTCTTTTGACTTGAATCAATGTGCATGTACATTAGAATACCCTTGGATAGTGCCAAATGGAAGTGTTTTGACCAGTTGGAATCCTTGGGTGTGCGCCTTGAGTCCTAAGTGTCCGGTTTCCATATCCCATGTCCATGTCCTATGTTCCGGTCCTACTCCCCTGGGTGCCTAAGAGATAAGTAAGGTAAAAATGAGCATGCGTGCATGCTGCAGAAGAAGTGGAAAGATACACATCACTTGTGGGTTTCTGCCCGGCTTATCTTCCTCATTGCGCTCTCATCCTCTATCCCTGCTGTGCAGTGGTGCAGTCGTCTCTTGCAACAAAGAAGGTGCCATTAGCATCACGCAACCAATAACCCTTTGTGCCTTCTGGGTACCCAATGAACATGGCAGGATGTGAGTGTGGACCAAGTTTCGCCTGTAGCTTGGTGGGAATCCATGCAAAGCATTGTGAGCCGAACACTCGGATGTGAGAAAGGTCTGGCTTATGGCCATTTACCATTTCATATGGCATGACATTGGGAGGTAAGGTACTGGAAGCACTTTGGTTCCAAAGATAGCATGCCATCAGGGCAGCTTCTCCCCACAGATTCACAGAAGTCCTGCTGCTTCCAACATTGCAAACAGACACCCCTCAATAGTACAGATGGCACATTCTGCCTTTCCATTTTGTTGATGGGCGTATGGTGCAGAAAGTTGTCATTCAATCCCAGCCTCTCTAAGTGCCTTAGAAAAGGTGTTACTCAGGAACTCCCTGCCATTGTCCAATCGAAAAACTTTAACTGTGTGCCCTGAATGATTCTCCCACCATGCTTTGATCATGCACCAGGCTTCAAGAGCCTGATCTTTGGTCACAAGAAGCTGAATGTTCAGCAGATTTGTGTGATTGTCTAGGAAGACTAAAATGGAGCTTGCCGTCAGGTGTGGCAACAGGGAAAGGACCACACAAATCCGAGTGAACGAGATCCAGCATTTGATTGGCACAAGGCTCCTTTGAAGGAGGATAGGGCTTGTGCAGGTGCTTCGCCATGATACACGGCTTGCAGCATTGAAGGGGTGCAGTGGTATCAAGCTTGATACCAGTGGCAATGCGTCCTAGGTGTTTGATGGCATCTCCACCTGGATGGCCCATCCGGGCATGCCATAGGTCAAGCAATAGAGGTAGGTGCACGAATGCAGAGATCTCATGAGGAGGCTGATGAGCACAGTTTAGTGATGTGGTATTTGGATGGATGAACTTTAGATCAACAAAGAACAAGTTCCCAGTCATTGGGATCTGCCCTAGGATCTCACCATGGTATTTGAGTTCACAACGCAGAGGCGAATGTTCGAAGTTGCATGACCACTTCTGTTTGAGCATGTGCCCAATGGACAAAAGATTGATCATTGCACTGGGCACATGTAAGCATTCAGTGAATGTGATTCTGAACATACGTCCCCCAAGAGTCAGATCTGCAATGCAATTTCCACATCCAGAAGTTGCCAACCTTCCATGATTGGCAGTTTTGACTGTCACTAGAGAGCTTTCTGAGTAAGTCCAGAAGTAGCTACAATCTACAATGAGGTTGGAGGTTGTACCCGAGTCCAGGATGGTGGATAGTGACTGCTGTATGATGCAAGCGATGTCGTCGAAACTGGGGAGAGATTCAGGGTCGGTCTCAAGATCCTCTATCAGGGCACAAGTCAGGTTGTGAAACTCATCAGCAACAGCGCTGGTGGTGTCCGGAGTAGGAGGTGCAGGCAAACTGGGAGAGGAAGCCTCACTGCTGCTTGTAGCCATGGCTATGTCCTTTTTCAGCTTCCGATCACAATTCCTGCTCAAATTACCTCCCTGTCCTTCCATGCCCCCACCGGGCTGAAAGCAATGCTCCCGGTCATGCATAAGCGAGCATGGTTGCCTGGTGCAAAGAGGGTTGTCACAGCTCACCCCCTTGGGGTTGGCCTTGTGAATCCGGACACCTGTCTTGGGATTCATTTTTGCATCTGAGGATGTCCTCAACGAAGTGGCATTGGTGTACTCCAAACCAGGGCCATTTAACTTTAGCTCTCCTCATAGTCGATTGGCTTCTTCAGAAAGGGATTTCACAACTGCGGCGAAAGTCATCCTTGAGCTGGCAGTGGTGGACAGTGCCATGGTCAATGAGGTCATGATGGATGTGCTGTAGAGATTCATCATCATACGTTTGAAAATCAGCCACTCAGGGGTTGCGGGGAGGCCATGAAGTAACAGGAATACTAATTCATCCTCCATGACCACCATGTTCATCTCTGCGAAATGACACCTTGCATTTTCAAATGCACTAATATAGTGAGGTGTGTCCTCTGGGTCTTTGAGTTTCTCTCTGAAGAGCTGTGTGCGAAGTTCAAACTGGGATGTGACATCAAGTCACCCAAAGTGAGTCGCAAGGTTATCCCACTGCTCCTGCGCAGTCCAGGACTCATTGAGAAGCCCCTGGACTACTGCAGACAGCTTTCTGCAGATTATACCTTTCGCCTGGGTGTCCTCCTTTATCCAGTCAACCATATTTTGTTTCTCTGTGGCAGTGGGAGATCCAGCAGTTGCCGGCGACGGCATAACTGAGGTGTATTCGGCAAAGTTGTTTGGATCAGTGCCAGAACTGCAGTGGTTCCATAATCCATCTCCCTGAAGAGTGAGAACAACTGCATGATGCCAGGAAGGATATTCATCTGCACCAGTTAGTTCAATTATGTGGTCATACTTCCCCATGATGATGAGGTATTTGAGTGACAAGTGAGACGTTGTATTGATTTGTGAGGAAAGAGTGTAAGTTTGCTGATTTTTGAGCTCGTTAGAGCTCAGGGCTCATAACCTGCTGCAAGCTAGACACAGACTAAGTCTCAGCGAACGTGAAAGAAATGCTATATTTGATAACTACCTAGACACAGACTAAGTCTAGGTAACGAGTCAGCAAGACTGAATATGAGTAACAACAATAATGGGCATACCTCAGCAAACGTGAAAGAAACACTGAGGTAAACTGTCCAGGAGGAAAGATATAAGTATGAGGCATCAAGAAGTCCAAGACAGAGAGAAGCAATCAGCTATAACAACAATGGTGAGGACTACCTAAGGTGTCAAAGGTGCCAAGAGGTAATAAGAGTCAAAAAGGAAAAAGGGAAGACGAAAGCTTACCCAGAGGCTAATCCCCCAGGTTTCGTAATGTGTGGACACAGACTTCTCTTCTTATTGCCAACAGGAGGTTGCCTCAGATCCAACCAAGATTCCCCAACTGCCTAATGCTTCCCCTGAATCTAACCTCCAGGAAGCTCTTGAGAAGAACATTTCCATCAGCAGATCTGGAAGGACACTCAAAGAAATTCTCTCTTTGTCTTGTCAAAACCTGAAATCATACACCATTGACAGAGTTAGGCCTGGTGTGTGGGGACAGTCTATGAATGTGAAGTACCATTCACAAACCAAGACCCCTGAAGTAAGTTTCAAAATATTAAAAAGTGCATAATTAATCTGGTGGGCTTAGGACCTTCAAAACGAGATAGAGTTGATGAAGAGGCAGTTAGGGAATTTGCAGGCTGAGCAGGAGGTCCAAAAAGAAACCATGGCAAAATGGCAAACTGCAAATGAAGTATTTCGAGGTGTGTTCAAATTTCTGCCTACCACTGGCAATTCTGCTGATTATCATCAGCACTTGGAGAAATAGGTTGGAGTCAAATATCCGCTGAGAGGAAGCATGACCTCGTCAACACGAAAGGGATAAACAACTGTATGTTTAATATCACCACACTCAAAATTTACCTTCTAACTTGTGTTATACTATCTAGCTACAGAACTCTACTACAATTACAGGGCTTCTGATACTACTACCATGGCCACCTATCTGTCAGTGCCGAGATTAGGACACCCGATGGCACACGCCTTCTCACGACGGCCTTTCACGACGATTCTCTGAGAATGCAGGAGTGGGATACATCGACCTGGCAACAGGTCGGTAATGGTCACTGGACAGGCCACTGCAGTCTCCATATCAAAGACATCGTCATTAATCCTGCTTGCACACTTGTCGCCTCCGCATCTGCTGATAAGCAGGTCCGTATCTGGCGGCTCTCAGATCAAAAAACTATCGCCATCTTCCACCACTCAGCACCGACGATGTGCGTCACTTTCTCCATAGACAGCAAGTATATCCTCAGTGGTGGTGGGGATGGGGTGATATCAGAGTGGGCAGTACCCGAGGATGCTAATTCACAGGCATGTTTCCATCATTCATTGACTCTGGTGACCTAATTCGAGCATGCTTTATGCCAGGTCCCCATCGATGATACGGCCACCTGCAGTGCATGCAACGCGGAGGGCGTGTGTATCACTAGAAGAGTTTTTCGCAGCATTCGATCGTCGAGTCCGGATGCCATGACCCTCTTTGGTCCGGTCCAATCGTCCACAACTAGCACGCCTCGCACGCCAAACGCTCAATTGTTACGGCGCATACATCGACCGGGACCAAGTACTCGATGATGCACTCCAGGTGAGATCGGATTCGTCCTTGCTCAGACCTTTACACAAAACTGACTTCCATTGTAGCATGATACGTTAAGGTCTGGCTGAGGATGTGTTGAGGATGCGATTCGCATATCTGGAATAAGACGGGACAAAGCCTTTAATGCCACCTTAGGTTTTCTTTGCGAGACGTCACACTGGCGCATATTAATGGCTACTTTCGATTCCCTCGCTGAATACGTTCATTTAGGGTGTTTATGCTTGGATATGATTTTGTTATGTTAGAAATCATTAAAAACACGCTTCACTAGTCCTGCTCTAAAATATCCAATATGAGAGCGCGACAAAAAAAATACCGAAAAACATATCGGAAGCAGCGTTGAAAATTTATGCAAGGAGGTGGAAATCGAAAACATCATAGAAAGTGAACGTGAGCAGCTGCGGCCGGGGTTTAGTACATCTTGCCTGCGATGGTCGACTTGTTTCAATTACCCTCGGCAACCTAGAAAATTGGAGACGTCTTTCAGGAAGCCAATCTGTGGCAACGTGTCAATCAAATGGTAGGCAAAGTGACGTTCATTGCCCTGGCCGTGGACGAGGATGTCTAAGATGCCTATGCTCTTGATAAAATCAGTGCGATGATGACAAGCAGGGACAAAGTCATAACGGATGGTATGCTTACAAACGCCACAAACAAAAGGCATGATCTGCAGCGATGCTATCTTTCAAAGTTGTAACAAGAATCTTAAACGAGCCTGGTAGTATACAGCAGCGGTAACATATAGTATACGGAGTAGCACGACTGACCATCATATACCACAAAATCTGCAACGATGCAGAGTATCAACGCAATACAATTCGGAGCGAAGGAACAAGGTCAACATATTCTACTCGCTGTTCATCTGTCACCTCTCTGCTGATGATCAGGCTCTCCGGCGGACACTCTGACCGTGCCAGGAATACCTTGAACTCTTCATGAGGCCACCCTCGTACATCGTAAGCAGCGAGTACGCGTAGAGTGGGGAGTGAGAGAGCATTAAGCAGGTGGCAGAATTGGGATCCTGGGTCAAGAAAACATTCACAACTGATGTCTAAGGTTTGAAGGTTTGTGTGTGTGAATGGCCTCAACGTTTGGACATCCTCGGATACTATGCGAATCATTAATGAGGATAAGTTGGGAGCTAGCTGGAGCAAGAAGAGAACAGCTTTTGCTTCCGATACCCCGATCTTGAGTGTTGTCAGATGGGCCCATACGGGATGGCAAGAGGACAAGTCATTGAAGTTGAGTAACCACCCTGATACATCGAAACTGCACAGAGTGAACGGCAGTTGTGAGATAGAGCATGAAATATTAGCTGGCATATCACCACCAGAGATGTGCTCGTAAATATGCACGAACATCTCCTCTAGTGCTAGGAAGTCTGTGAACATATTAAGTTCAGGTGTGCCGGGATGGTAAAAATCGACAGAGAGTGATGAGATTCGATTGATGTAAGGCCGAAGAAGGCGTTGTAACTTGGTCGGGTGATGATCTGCGTGGAACTGGAGTCTTAATGAGAGTGGACGTCCTCGTGCTCGCTTCAGCCAAGAGTCGTAGAAGGAGGCTGCCTGCTGCCAGTCTCTGTCGTCAACTCTCACAAACAGTACACACCACAAGTTAGGCGTGCCCACAGCAACCTCCCTCCACTGTCGACATATTCTGGTCAACAGCATAGGTGCGGTTAGCTTTGATGGGAGCTGCAACCTATCGAGTTTCGGAATTTGTGGGAGACAGTGAGAAAAGATTTGGGATAGGACTTCAGTTGGCGAGCGCCAGAGGGGTGATACGAGCCTCTTGTGCAAATTAATGGATTCGACGATTTTGTTCTTCTGCTCGACGAGTTGCTGCTGAAGTGTGTGGATACCATCCATGACTGTTTGCAAACCAGAGATATCGTGCAAAACTTTGTCCAACTGGTGTTGGCGTTAGGGTATAGCACGGGTGTACCCGCGGGTCGGAAGATGAACACCGTACCCGTACCCGTCAACACCGTACCCGTACCCGTCAACACCGTACCCGTACGGGTACGGGTACGGTATTACCCGTACTAACCCGCGGTATAGCAGCTTACCCGCGGTGTTGCATTTACCCGCGGGTACACATACAAGAAATAGTAACACTACGTAGCCTGTAGGTCTAATAACCTCACCCAACACTCTCGTCCTCTCGTTTTCTTTTCTTCACAGACTTCATGATCTTAGTAAGATCCTCGAGTGCTACCAGATCACAGCGGAGCCACGAGCCAAGACAGAGGCATGCGCGAGTCGATGACGGAGACAAGCGGTTTCGAGTGAAGTACAGAAGGTGCCGGCCTTGCGAAAATACACGTTCGACTGCAGTCGAGGTAGCTATGGTGTGTAACACATAAGCTGTGATGCTAGCGAGAGCGATGATGCACAACCTACCAGGAATGCTAAGGTAATCAAGTGCCATCCGGTGCAAATTCGGATACGTCTTTTGATTATGGACCCACCATTGCAGTGGGACTTTGGTATTCTCTACTGGTTGCCTCAAATAGTCGTCAAGCTCATCTACTAGAGATGCTACTGTGCCAAGAAATATGTCACCAAAGTCATCAGCACATTGTCGTACCTTGTCTTCTACTGAGACATGTGCAGCTGGAGTTGAAGGTGAGACCTGGTCTTTGTAACGATCTATGTACTCTTCTCGGACGAGATTCAGAGAAAACTGATCCGCTCGTGGCCTGTACCTTTCCGCCACTAAATGCAAGATCAACTGCCTCTTTGCCCCAACAGCCATTGGCGTGATGCCTTAGATTCGTAGTCGATGACTTGTCCCTGGAGTCCTGGAAGCGGCGGACACCTCCGGAAGGGAGTTTGCACTTGTGTGCCCCGCAAGGGAAGAAATGAACTAGACGTCCATCGTGATACTGGACAGCCACAGCGTCAAGCTTAAAAAACGAATAGACTGCTGAACGCCATGTTTTCTTGAGAGTATCTGTGAGCGAAAATTAATCAAGGTCCACGCAAACACGAGCAATAAGTTCACGTACTTAGATCAGCTTCGTCATCCTGTTCGGCGGCAGGAGGTGCCACATCATTTTCATCAACATCAACATCAACATCAATTACTTCCGGAGCAGCGGAGTGCAACTCAGAGGGGGTTGCTGTGGCCTGTGCAAGGATAAGCTTGACACGTTTTGCAACATTGTCCACTATGGGCTGCGGAGATGACGATATATTTAAACATGTTGAGGTAGACTCAGCGAGCGAGGCCGTGTCATTGACAGTAGACTGATTAACCATGATGATGATGGAATAAATGGTATTGAGAGTCTACATACCTCACTTTATACTGTTGAATCGCCGAGTGCAGCGGGTTACTGTTACAGTCAACGACCCTCCGAAAAATAGGGATCGTAGTGAGTGGCGAATCCTTGTCATGTCCAACCGTCACTGTTGCAGTCAACGACCCTCCGAAAAATAAGGATCGTAGTGAGTGGTGAATCCTTGTCATGTCCAATATATAACACCGCGGAGAACATTCGGAGATAGCGCGGCTACTAGTACCCGTGAACATACCCGTATACCGTGCAAACGGGTACGGTATGACCACGGGTGCCAAATCTCTACACCGTACCCGTACCCGCCATACCCGTGACCCCCATACCCGCGGTGTGGCCCATACCCGTGCTATACCCTAGTTGGCGTTCGGTGATAATGGCACGGATGCTCTGATCTTTGAGCTCAATTGCAGTGATTGGGATTAGGGAATGTGGTTCGGGAGTACGGGGTTTCAAGGTCGAGTACCTCAGGCTGCTAATGGTCAATAATGCATCGAATGAAATATCCTCACGGACGCACGATTACTTGTGAACATAGCTGATGCGAATAGTTGTTATTCGCAGAGGAGTGTCTAAAACTTTGGCACCCACGATGATCTGCAGCGCAGCAATGATATCCGAGACCGTCAAAAGATTGACTTTCGAATTACTTGTTTGCATGTTGCGACTCGCAAAGTACGTGCAACCTGGGAAGAGTTCAAAGTGTTATTCGTTCGAACAGTGAGAGTACAAAATAATCCAAACCGAAGCAACTTATAAGATGGCGGACGCGCGTGACATGATTTGTCATCTAAAACACTTCAGACACGTGTTTACCAGTTGAAGGGGAAGGGTTTCGGCGGCGGCAGCAGCTTTATGCCACTTGAGTGGTATGTCCACTGGATTCGAAAGTCCATCGCGAAGTTGCTTCTGAAAAGTCGCGGAATGTTGCGGGTCACGTGACATAAAGAGTCTGAAGCGTCACGGCGACAAGTGCGAACATCCACCATAGGTATCAAGTACTGGCAGCCAGTACTATCAGTATTGAACGTTGAATATTCACCACTAGTAGTAGAACCCGCTCAATATTCCGGCTGCATCACTTACAAGTATTCAACCTCTTCTCAGAGCAGCAGGTCTCACTGGCATGCCCATATTCCCAACTTTATGGCTATCTTAACGTTTTACAGAAAGTTCATTTTTCTTCGTTCGTGACCGTGACCCCTCCCATAGCGACAACATGGTCCCTCCGTGGCTCTATCGTGCAGTGGTAATGATCCTGCACGTACGCTTCTCGGATTTGACCATGTGAGTTAAGCCCTCCGATATCTGTCCTCTCGATACCACGATGCATGTCGGGGACGGGACACCATTCGGAACAGCTCCGTGGGCTCCGCGTTTGCGCCACTCTAGTTCTAGTACATGCTTTGTTGGATGAGTTGACTTTCAATGCTGACGTTGGGGTTCCTGGCTCGACTTCAGACTTAATCAATTCGACCACTGACTCCTGATGTGATGAAGTGCTTGCCGGATGGGAGTAGGAATCGAGACGCAGTGAGTGGACATTGCTCACTAATTTAAATATGCTTTTAACGCCTCTGCCCGATTTTAGTCCTTGATCGATTTACTCATGCGCTCCATGGCACTTACCTTCAGTCACGTCTGATATTGATCAACATGCTGCGGCTCCACAGGGCGATCACACAGCATCCTAAAGAAAATGAATAAGGTGAATAAGGGACCACAGTAGGGACGAAGTTGATGGAATCGTGTCAGATCTAACTTGGTTCGCTTGTTCTAGGTCACCGTACTCAACGCTGGCGAACACGATCGTCTACCACCATCTACTTTCTGTGTCTTCCTCGCGTCCAACATATAATACCTTGTAGTGGTGTGTCATCTCATCGAGATTGCTTGATCCACCACGAGCTATTATATTTCGTCAGTGCTCATCTGGTCCCTTACCGCCCATACAGCACATAACTACGGCCATCATCACGTCTCAGCACGAAACTAGAGTGAATACGCTGACTAATGGAGACGGTCTAGCATCTTCGTTCTAGCTTCGCGGATAAATCACGCATACTAGACGGAAATCAACCACTTATATGCGCGAGCCATCTCAATATTCTACATGAACCTCATCTCTCCTCGTTGGTGACCTCTCGAGTAATCACCGTGCAGGCTCAGCTGAATAATATTTAGGCTGGTAGTGCAGCTGCGTTCTCTCGCATAAGTTTATTGGTCTTGCTGCGTGTATTCTTCGGCTGCATTCCATAGTCATCGGGGGGTAAGCCACCTGTTCGTTGCTACAAGTTACACTTCCATTCTTCAGAACTTCGTCAACAGCAACCCGAGCACGCGATATTCGCCATGGACGACATTCAAGGCATCACCGTTCGTATAACTCTAGAACGTGCCTCATTGGATGGGTTGATTCTATCTCACAGATTGACGTTAGAATGCCCGAAACTTCAGGCTTAATCCCATGCCTTTTTGTCTTGGAGTTGGGCGACCGCGCGGGATTGCCAACGTATCCATTAGGAGCTCGTTGGAAAGCGTCAGACGTTCTCTATGTTTTTTCTGGTGCGGTGCAATGCAAAAGTCCGCGCACAAGACAAGAGATGATACTTATATCCACACTTCCTTGAGCGAAGGCAGGGGTATTGAAAATATCTGTAAAAAAAACCTTGTTCATGCAGCCGAGGATAGATGGCATTCGTGACACTGACGATATTTGACAGGGCCTGGTACGCACTATCACAGTCGGATACGAGGGGTTACTAAGTGGAAGCTGTGGAGATACAACTAGTGGATACAATGTACATACTGTCCAGGACTACGCATATGATAAAAGGTAGCATCTGGTTCTGTTGTAATCATGATTGTTGTAGATCATCATCATATTGGTTTCCTTGATGTACAAATCCATAAAAGCCCATTCGATCGGGCACTACATAGCAAACATACATTGCACAACTGGTATCCTGGAGCAGACACCCGTAAATATTACACCCAAACTGGCGGGCAGACCATCAGTTCACATCGTGACTTCACGACATATGTCAGTACCACAAGAAGCCAGTGGGACATCCTACAACGTCTTCACCGAGCTTCGCAATTTCTTCGAGTCCCTTGCCACCATCAATCCTCTCAAATACCTTCACTCCACCACCTTCCACACCACCCACAATCAGATACTTGTCTTCATCACCTCCAAACGCCATCCCACGGACATGGGTTAGCCCCGTGCGTACTTCGTTCACGAGTTCTGGCTGGCCCTCTCCGGCGGCGAGAGAGAAAATTGCGATAGTGTCACCCTCCGAATGAGGGTCATTTCTGTTCGACGTGTAGATGAATGTTTCAGGGAAGGATGCATTGGGTTCGGGCAGCAGAATTTCCGCTGCCGTCATGGTATCCGGTATCGGTAACCCAGAAAGCGTGAACAGAGATGTAAGAGGAGTGGGGGGCGCCGGAAGCGGAGGGAAAGTGTGTACAGCAAGCTTTAAGGTGAGCTCCAGTAGCGTGTAAAGGGTAGCTCCTGTTGCAACAATCAACAAGATTTCAGGAGTCGAAGTTAATGACACACCTCGAACTACGACATGTCGTGGGCCACCCCTGCTTCAAAGTCAATATGACCACAGATTGTCCACCTGCCATCGCTTCGTTTGGCGAGTCTCCAGACCTTATCTGCACCTAAATCCGGGACAAGGAGCTCTTTCTCCGTTTGGTTCAGTGGATTGAAGATGATTTGGTGGGGGTGGGATGAAGATTGACGAGCTTTGTTTCGACCTACATGCTCAAAGGGCATCGAAAGCGTCCATGTGTTTGGTGAGAGTATGTAAGGGGCGGATGTTGATATCGGAAGGGTCGCGATTGTGCCCGAGGAGTACTGGGTGCAGACACAAGTGCAAGGAAGGAAAAACGCTTAGAACAGGTGAAGCCGACGTTGCGGGGACTTACATTTCCAATGATAAGCTCGTCTTCCGTGACAAGAAGGGTGCAAGGGTCTGCACCACCGCTCTTGGCCCTGGCCACCACCTCTCCTCCCTCGACGATTCCACCCTTTCCATACTTGATCGCGACGACTTCTCCATCTGCCTGTTCGAGCCCTGTATAAATAAGGGATCTATTGGACGGATGAGATGCGATCCATGACGGATGGTGCCCAACGGGTGTTCGGGCGAGGAGTTCAAGTGTCGGAGATCCTGTCGATGGTGTTGGATCAAAGGACAGCGTGTAGATCGAGTCAGTGTATGAAGCAACAAGGATCGTCAGCGGTGCCATCGTGGTCTCGGTTGCAGATAATTGCATGTAAAGAGCTAGATCGTTGATAAAGAATTTGATAGACTGTGGGATTTCGTGTGCTTAAAACACTGCTAAATCAACGTGACACGGTTTTTTGTCGCTCGACCGGGATGATGTTCGGAAGCAGACAATAATGTCCGCGGGGCTCAGAAATGGTGGTAGTGTCGTCATCGGCGGCCTGGTTTTGTGTGATGAGCAGGGAATTGATCATATGAGCATCTGCGAACATTTTCTTCCAAGCTGCTCCGTCGTCTATGATATGTAGGAGCCCGCTCTCAATGAAAAGCACTTTGGAGGGTACTTAGCTGCCATTTCATTGCACAGGAACTCCAACGAGCAATGCCATGCACTTTTTCATGCGCTGTGCCCTCTGGTGCAGAGTTAAGCTGTGATATATCTCGACGCAAGATCCTTCATCGTACAAAGCACACTGGTGTGTGAAATTTAACGAACAGCCTTCATGATTAATTAGTAGCTGAGCGTCTATGCGGTACTCGCACCTGTACACACCCACAGTCCTTCGATAGATCTGACTAGGGGAGACTATTTAGTACTCTCCCCAGTCCGCCTCGGCCGTACTCGAAACCGTCAACCTCCAGTGAAATGCCTCAGCTCATCTCAAACACCACACCCCTTCGAGTGTTCAAAGATCATACAAAAGCCATACGCGCTGTAGCAGTTTTCCCTGATGGTCGACGTATGGTGACAGGTTCGTTTGACAAGACGCTTTGTTTGTGGGACTTGAAGACAGGTGCCATGTTGAAGAAGATGGAGGGGCATCGCGATAAGGTGACGACATTGGCGGTATCACGAGATGGGCAGTTGATAGCAAGCGGTGATCAAAGAAGAGTGTTCATCATTTGGCACGGGGAAACTGGCGAATCTCTTACCCAATCCACCAAAGCCCACTCTAATCGGATCTACGCGTTGGACTTTTCTCCCGATGGAACAATACTGGCCAGTGGTTCAGAAGACAAGACGACCAAGCTATGGTCCACGATGACATGGCAGCTACAAGGAAATCCAATCGAACGTAGAAATTGCGTCCGCTGCGTTCAGTATTCGCCGTCCGGCGAGCTTCTCGCGATTGCAACATACAACGACATCCAAATTTATAATTCAAACACGAGGGAACGCGTCGCAGACTTCAAGGGCCAGATTCCATACAACTTTTCACTCGCGTGGACGCTCGATGGCACACGCCTTCTCACAGCAGGAGATCAAAAAGATCCGACCATACGGGAGTGGGATACAGTGACCTGGAAGCAGGTCGGTGATCCCTGGAGGGGCCACACTTCAGATATCTCCTCCATTTCCATTCATCCCGCTGGCATACTCGTCGCGTCTGCATCTTATGACAGGCATATTCGTCTCTGACGACTCTCAGATCGGCGAACCATCGCCATCTTCCAGCACTCAAGCTGGGTAGGATGCGTCACTTTCTCCGTGGATGGCAAGCACATCCTCAGCGGAGGTTCCGACAGGATGATATCGGGGTGGGCAGTGCCCAAGGATGCTTGGCCTGAATCAAAGGTATTTTACTGTTATTTTTCTGCCCCTTCGTCATGTCATATAGCATATCTTTGAATGTCAAGGCTCGAGTCTTTGCAAACCGCGATATGGCCAACTCGGAAAAATCACTGTGGGAGGACGTACTTCTCGATGCGCAAAAGGTACGATGTCATCTATTCAAATAACTTCCTAGCCAACGCTCACTTTGACCACACATAGGTAATCGAGTTGAACCCTTCGTCGCATATTGGATACCGGTTGAAGCATACAGCGCTTCATGGCGCACAACGCTACAATGAAGCTATCGAGGCCTTCAAAGTGATGCTCGCCAAATTGGACAATGCTCACGATATGCAGATACGAAGTGAGCCTCAGTGAGCAACACATTGTCTAGATGCTCAACTCTTTCCTTAGAGCTGCGTGAACAGTATGCCAGTCCCTCCGAAGCAGATGATGTCATTCAAAAGGTCATAAATGTTCAGCTTGACACCGCCCCGCTTCGTCTGTTCGACACCACCACTGGGCTTCTATGTGATCGAGAAACACAGATAAGCGCTTTTAAAACGACCACAAAGTACAAGCAGCTTCTGCTATCGATTATGAAGCACGCAGACCTCCCAAGGGAGATCATCACAGATGTAGTGGCGAAATACTTCGGATGTGTCATGTTATCACATAGATGGGAAGGAAAGGAGCCGTTGCTGCGTGACATCAAGGACAAGGCCGTGTTCCAGCTGGAGGCAACCGGCGGTCTCAGAAAATTGCAGTTATTCTGCAAGAAAGCGCACCAGGCAGGGTTTCACTGGGCGTGGGTTGATTCGTGCTGCATCGACCAGAACAACAATGTCGAACTCCAAAAATCGCTCAACTTCATATTTGCCTAGTACTACCATGCAGCGCTTACGATCGTCTACCTCTCTGATGTTCCGCCTTCGTCCAAGTCTGGCGCGCTAACAAGGAGTGCTTGGAACACCCGAGGGTGGACCGTCCCAGAATTCCTGGCTCCTAAAGTCATTCTCTTCTACCAACAAGATTGGACTCTATATCTCGACAATGACTCTCACAACCACAAGGAGTCAGTCGAGATTATGCATGAGCTGGAGGGTGCGACGGGCGTAGATGCTCGCGCCCTCGTTGCCTTCCAACAGGGGATGAGAGACGCTCGAGAGAAACTCAAATGGGCGTCTACGCGTGTCACTTCTGTGGCGGAAGATATTGCGTACTCACTGTTTGGTATCTTCGGCATCCAACTACCTATCCTTTACGGCGAGAATAAGGAAAATGCACTCGGGCGGCTCCTGCAGGAGATCGTGGCTCGATCGGGGGACATTACAGCCCTCGACTGGGTCGGACAACCATCCACGTTCAACAGTTGTCTCCCAGCCGACATTTCATCATACGCAGCTCCTCCATGCGCCCTCCCACTTTTGTCTGAAGACCAGATTCAGACTGCCGTCTCTTCGCTGCAACATACTGTGGCTGTAGAATTGGCTTCAAGTTTTTATGACCGGCTTGACAATGTGAGCGCTGCTCGCTTCGCGAACTGCAGACTGCATCTGCCTTGCATAGTGCATCGTGTCACAGAAGTCAGACGGAGGCAGGATCTAGCCCAAGCAGCTCAATCCACGTACTGTTACAGTCTCACTTTTTCCTTTCACCTCTTCACTTATTCACGATTAACTAATCATTCTCAGACATTCTATAATGTTCCATCATACGATTCTTTATTCTCTTTTCTGATTCGCTATTTACTTTCCAACTCTGATTCATTTATTAAAGCTCCGCTTTAATCCCTCTATATATACTCTATCTCTTATGCTTGTATTCTTTAACTTGACCTACGCAGACCAGGGCCTGCAATATACTGCTTAACTCGCATGACTTGTACATAGGTGTATGCTTTAGACTCTTTGTGACCATTTAGCTGTTCTTATGAATGCTGAGCGTAACATGTACGGAGTAAAGGCGGATGGGCTTCATGACCTGTTGACCACCACTGAAGAGACACTGGTTCAATTCACATGGGCAAGGCCTACTCGACAGACATTCTTGCTTGTCCGTCCATGGGACTGTCGTCTTCTCGAGCTGTCTGACTTTGGAGAGCAGCCTGCCTTCGATGATGACACAGTTGATTTGTCTGATCCTAGATCTCCATTAAATCACTCATGTCGTTCTGCAAAACAGGAGCGGATTGATTTGGAGTGTTGCTCACAAGCATTGCGATTGGTCATCCACCTTCGACAACCATTTGGTGCATTTTTGCTTGCACAGCAGCGCGGCGGAGAATACAAGAGGATTGCATCAGATTGTGATATCATTGCACAAGTCAAAGACACTGCTTCTGTTCACAATATGATGGACATTAGGACCCTAGAAATATTGTAGCAGTATGTATTTTATTTTTGAAAAGTTCTAGAGATCCCGGATGGACTGTATACCATATCAATTGTTTATATTTGTTTATGCCCTTTTAATCCGCTTTTGTGTTGCTTTGCCCGAGCCTTCCTTTGACTGTTTGACGTGATGCTGCTGGATTTGCCGAGGGGACATCTATTGTGTTTTGTGGATTTTGTGGCTAGTCATACCTGCACAGTCCACTAGCAGTGGACGGACGACATGGGCAGTATAAATATGCAAAACGTTGTCAGGCTTCTCACTGCTAAGCCTTCTACAATTCAATGGTGAGCATTCCTCTATGTTCCTCTCTCCTCTTCGCTGACAAGTTGTCTAGCCAAAATCTACTGCACACCCGCACATAAGCTTGCACCTTCTTCCTGACCTCTCATCCTTTGGAGACGTTTGCATTGAGTTGAGTGCCACCAATGATACCTCCAACTCAGAAGACGATCACACACTCACTTCTTTCGGCGATGTATCCCTCACCAAAGAACAAATGCTTGATTCAGCTCCAAACGAGATCCATCGCCTAAACCGTTTACATTTAAAGGTGAAGTGCACACCATTTCCCAAGAATAGGCCGAGTGTCCAGTACAGTCCAAAGGTGCGCATCGTTTTGTATATACAATCCTACTCTTAGTGACAGTTTCCGATAGAGTCCGGCTAGGAGATTCTTTGGCTCATCAGGGTCACCGGCCCCTTCTCCTTTGTCCCCATCCTTTTCTATCGATGCTCTAAAGAACTCCCTGCGACCAGACAAGCGACACTCTGCTCAGCATTCACAACCAGATGCTATTGAGGCAGAAACCCGAGTTCGTGCAGCTGACTCGTGAGAGTCCATCGCTAGTAGCTTGAGTGCTTCATGCAGCTACAAACCGGGGCAGTCGATGATCGTAAAGGATGTTCCTGCCGTTGCTGTGGCCTCCACTGGATGGAGGAAACTGCCTCCTAGGTTGCCAATTCCGAAGTGGGATGTCGATGATTGAGTCCCCCTCCTGCAGAATACTTATTACTTACATTATAAATATGCTGTATTTTATTAACCTATATCCGGTTCCAGGTTCGGGGGTGCGAAAATCGACGTCCTTAAAGTAAATGGTGCATGCTGGAAGGTGCCCCCTCGCATCGCTGATCAATGACAATTTTGAGCGCTTGGAACGAGTTGACAACAACCCGAATCACTACTACTGGAGATGTGAACATTGCGGGGACACTGATCACCCATCAGGTACTCCAATCCAGGGTCGTGATGACAATCTACCGAACCAATGATCTTATCAAGCGCTGTAACAACGTAACTGCTCCTCTGCGCCCAGCATGCCTGCTTGTGATGGAAAAGACAGGCAACCTGTGCCCTGAGGCCTGATTCGAATGCTCTCCTTACTTCGGCTGTTTTGAATCCTCAATCTGCTTCTGGAAGTCCTACTGCCGCCATCATTCCCATCAAGAGATGCAAAGTTCCAAACCCTCGACCGAGCCTCGCGATGCAGATTATTTGCTCACTGGTCCAGAGAGTATCTCACCCAACGATATTGCTGCTGAATTTGCAGCTCTCAAGGAGTTGAAAAAGACTGAAGAATTCATATTAACGAAGTTGAAGTGCTTGAGTACTTTTGTTTTTGACAAGTTTCAGTAATACCACAGGCTATACTAGATGAGGTTGAGGTGGCTGATTACAATGGTGAGGGTGCATGATGGATGAGACGAGGCAACATTGATAGAGTCATCATTAGGAACGTTGTACATGCATTAGACTAGTATTATAATACATAGCCTGCCTATAGTTTTGCAAAACAACCAGGTTCTGCCACCCTCTTTCATGTGAGTTCTGCTGAGGACTAGGCACAACCATTTTCCAGACTGGTTGGCAGACCCTCTGAGGATAGGTCTGAGTTAAAAACATGACAGACACCTCGAGCGTAGTTTTTCATGGAGCCCTAAAATGTACAAGAGACTGGCAACTGGCTTGGATAAGCAAAACCCAAGCCCGGGGAGTGTACAGCAGAGCGTTGCATGGTAAACCACAGTCTTAGCACCCGCTGCAGTCACCCTTCTCCTAGGATAAGGTTATGCTAGCTATAGGGGCAACTTGAGGAATGCCAGGGTGGCGGGGAGGGCAGTGGTTTCGAACCTGCGAAAGTTCTCATCAGGGAGCTACCACACTAACCTGATCACGCCGACCTTCTCGTTCTGTTTAGGATAATTCTAGTAGTAAGTCTGATGCATATGCCTAGTTGTAGTGATGCATTGGGCCTGGCCTGTGAGTTGGCCCAGGCTTCCCAGTTTGGAAACGCTGGCGGCACATTCCATCATGATGTGCGCCACTGGTGAGTTATTTTGCCTGCACTTCAATGCCTGCACTTGTCTGGACTCATCTAGACTCACCTGCATGCGTCTGTACTTGTCTGCACTCGTTTTGACTTGACTTGGCTTGACTTCATTCGTCTGGACTTGCCTGCACTCGTTTTCACTCCCCTTGACTTGTCTGCATTCATCTGCACACATTTTGACTGGGCTTGTCTTCACTCGCCTTGGCTTGTCTGCACTTGTTCCGTTGTGTTCATTTGTCCGTGCTCGTTCGCACTCGTTCATCGTGCTATTCATTGTGTTCATTTGCACTCATAACCGATAATGTAGATGCAGTTTTTTCATTGTTTCTGTATCTAATAAATTGATTATTTGTATACAGTACTCACGGGTAAACTCTGTATGAGTGCGTATGTGGCCTCTGATACCTAGGGGTATGCTCATGCAGCTCCCTACTGACAAGAGTCACAAGTCCCGGCCCAGGCCTGAGCCAAGCCCGAGCCAGGCCCAGGTCCGAGCCTTGGCTTTCAGGCCAAGCTGGGCCCGATGCATCACTACCTAGTTGGAGTACAGGCTCTGTCGCACAACTGCAATTGCGTTCAACAACCGGCCAGTTGTATCCAGTAATCATGACCCACCAGCAGGGTAGTTTACGGTTGGGGGAGGGCTAGTGGGGGGTAGGGAGCATAAGCTTCTGACCTCAAGTCTCGCGGCCTTTAGCACATTGAGACCCTAGACCCACTCACCAATGGACCTTATTCGGTCATTTCCGAACCAAACAGGTAATTTGGCATCTCCGTGCAGGGACGATGCTGGACGTGATGGAAGGGTACAAGACTGATGGAGTCCATATGATCAGATCCGATACTATGCATCATGGGGCCTGCTCCAGAGCTTACTGTGACGTATATTTCAGGGGTCAGTGCTAGCACTCAAGGTTCCCGTCCAATCATACTAACTACATATCGTTGTATATGGCCTTCTGAGCGCTCAACGTTCCCAAGTTGTATATATTGGCCTTGAGCTACTTACCTCACCAGTCCACAGACGGTGAACAGAAGGGCAAGGACGATACTTAAACAGAAAGCCTCGCCAAAAACATGAGGCTTTGACTTCGAAAATCGCAAGAGTCAGCAGGTTCGAACCGGTCCGGATTTATCGACGACACACCGAACCCCGAACTTACCAAGGGATTCGGTCCAACAGAAAGTCTGGACCTGTGACCGAACCATAGGTCTGGTCCGCAAAGGTTCGGGTTCGAACCTAGGTTCTGGACCGAACTGCGGCAGCACTACACTGATGAGGCTCGGACATCGGACCATTACTTACCCTGAGCCTCAGCATCTTTGAGTATAAATACGTTGCCTTTATCCCCAGTGTATGTTCAGCTAATTAACCGCAATGAAAGCCTCAGGCTCAATCCCTTTCTTTGCTCTATTTGTCGCTTTTACAAGAGCCTTGACCTCAACTCCCCAGGTATGTTCAAATTATGACCATTTGATGTTGACATCTTAATTCGCAACAGGTCAAACTCGGAGACGTCCCTTCAGCAGGGTGCCTCGACTCAAGACTTGCAGTTGATTTTCTGAGAGCTTACCAGCCAAAATATGTGGATCACTTTTATACCACTAATGCCAGTGAGACAAACAATGCCGTCTTCTTCCTTGGGTACAGCGGCGAGGGAGTTGCTGCATATGTCTTTCCATGGTATCTCCCCCCAGACCGTCGGCCTTCCACTGTCCCATTATATCGCATGTACAACCCCAAAGTCATTGACCATTTTTACACCACTTCATATTCTGAGGTGCAGAGCGCTAAAAGCCTTGGTTACGATTACGAGGAGATTTCTGCATATGTCTATAACACAAACATATGCGGAAGCGTTGCCTTGTATCGCCTCTACAGCTCCAGTGGTACCGACCACTTTTACACCACATCCGCGTCGGAGGCGAGCAACGCTGTTGCTAAGTTGGGTTATACCGAAGAGGGTATCGTGTGTTATGTGCTTCCTGTTCCACCTTGGCCTTATCCTGACTTAATTCTGTCATGAGCTCTGTAACTTTGGATTTATTTTCCTTCTTTGTAGTTCAGTAGTATTTGCATGTTTCGCTCTCTCCTTTCTTGGTTTTGTGCTCGTCGAGTCGTCTGTTCGTGATAGGTATAGCCTACACTGGCATATGTGTATTCTCGTACGTTCTAACATTTGTTTGATAGCTGTTGTGGTTGTCTCTCAGCGTCTCGGCTCGGCTCATCTTTCAGGTTGGTAAGTTTCGATATCTACTACCTGAGATTGGAGAGGATAAGGATTCGCGAACCATACATAGTCATCTATTGATGTGCTCATCACCGTCGTGCTTCCCCCTGCCTATGTTACCATATCAGTGAACAGTCTACTGCACCCTTCTACCACGCCACCACCGCAGTAACCGTACATGATCTACGCTCTTGCACCCATGTCTTGACTTTTTCTTATACCCCAACACTTCCCGCCCCAGTCTCATCCCGACATTCGTGATCTAAATTACTAGCTGGGAATATCTCAAATTTAATGTGTTTGTGATATTGTTCGTACAAAATTTGAGAATTTTTTTGATATGATGTGGCCCGTGCACGTCTCACCAGCATCTAACTAGTATTTACTCGCAGTCCTCGAAGACTAGTGGAGATTCACCAGTGACCTTAGATGCTCAAAAGGTACATCAGACAAATTTTGTTTTCATTGCCTTTGCTAACAGACATCCGAAAGTTTTATGACGCCCACAATCACCAAGCTTTCACTCAAGTTAGCTACCACCTAGCCGTCCTACTGTCATGCTTAATTTGCATGCACTGTGGAGAGGGGACAACCACTGTGGTTTGTGGCCTCAGTGGCTAGTCGGTACATGCACAGGTCAATGATCCCGCAGTTTCTCCCTGCAATGTGATCGGTTAAAAGTATGCTACCCATTGCGGAACCACTGTACAGACGGTCAAAGTGGAATTGGATCAGATACTTACTCCCACTACATAGTCTAAAGTTGAAGTCCATAGGAATTTACCCAGGAAGCTACACGTTCCAGACTGAAAACATGGAGGTGGCCGTCGACTTCGAAGTCTGAGTCACTGTTGAACTGCTTAGGTGAAGTTAGCGAGGCACCTCAATACCAAACGGCCCAAGGACTGGGCTGTGAGTTAACTCATTACAACATTGCCAGAACAGAGCCGTAGCTGTAGGCGAAAATGTGATGTGGGTGCTGATAGGGTTTGAGGAGGCCCCGTCGATCTACAGCCAGACCATTAATTCTCATTCACGGAGATAGTACACGACATTCAATTATCAGTCAATCAAAGATCGATCACGCAGTGCCTGGCACATGGTGAAAGGACCAGTGTGTACCTCACTTGGTCTCTCGGCGGTCCAGGTATAGGGACTATTGATTCCATGGCAGATGGCATTCCCAAATGCCCACGATGACAGTCTCTTGAATGCAGGGCTCGGTAGCATCTGCGGTGGGGGGACTCACTGATGTAAGCGAGCATGTTGCACTGGTACTTGCGTGGTGCGGAATTCCAATGACGATGAACTTGGGAGGGGATTGGAGAATGACAGAGCTGAAACCAGTTGGGCCGGGAGTGAGCGAAGCTCAAAGCAGAGATAAATCACGAGCAGAGCACTGGAAGTAAAGTGTTTCTCCGTCACAGAGTTGGCGATGAGTTTGAGATACTGGAAGAGAGCATTTGGCTGCGTCCGGTGCGTGAGCAGATCTTTGGAGTCGATGAGATATTGAAATAAGCTATATGCTTGTGTTTGAAGGAGTGACATGGTGATATGCTGGAGTAGTCGCTCGACACGAAAAACAACGATATTCATGCACTCATGTAGGATAGATAGTCAGGTTCGAGCGCCGGGAAACACCGACTGCTCGATTGGATGCCATGGGATACGTTCTGAAAGCTTTTAAGAGAAGAACCGGACATATGTATGCACTGAGGCGCTGGGATCGAGGACGGCCGCCGGGTATGGCAATAGGGTGCATTCTTGCCATGACAGTGATGGAAGCGAACAGCCTCATGTCCTGGGCGTCTATATAAACGAGGAAGACAGTGAAGCAACATAGAACGTTTAATACACACACCTCTGCAGCTGAGAGCAAAAGACCCACAATCCCTCCAAAATCCACCTCGACGCTATCAATCTCCAGTAAAATCCCGAAGCTCATTCCAATCACTACACCCCTGCGAGAGTTCAAAGTCTATAAAGAAATCGTAACGGCAGTCGCAGTTTTCCCCGATAAACGACGGATAATTACTACAGGCTCATTCGACAGGACACTTTGTATGTCGGACTTGAAGACAGGTGTTGTGTTGAAGAAGATGGAGGGGCATTGCCACTGGGTGTGGGCATTGGCTGTATCACGAGATGGCCAATTGATAGCAAGTGGTGATGAGAATGGAGAGGTCATCGTCTGGCACGGAGAAACTGGCGAACCGCTCACCCAACCCGTCAGAGCCCGCCCTAACTGGACCAAGTCGCTGGATTTTTCTCCCGATGGAACAGTGCTGGCCACTGGTTCATGGGACAAAACAACGAAATTGTGGAATACCAAAGCCTGGGAGCAACAAGGAGATCCAATAAAGTGTAGTGGTTTGGTCATCTGTGTTCGGTATTCGCCATCTGGTGAACTTCTTGCCATCAGAGAAGATCGTAATGTCCAAATTTATGATCCGAGCACGAGAGAATGCGTTGCATCCTTCCAGGGTCAGATTGGTCAGACGGTCAACTCGTCACTCGCATGGACACCTGATGACACACGCCTTCTCACAGCCGGCAATAATCCTACCATACGCGAATGGGATACAACAACCTGGCAGCAGGTCGGTGATCCCTGGATGAACCATACTGATTCTATCAAAGCCATTGCCGTGAATCCTGCTGGCACACTTGTCGCCTCCGCATCTGATAACAACCACGTCCATATCTGGCGACTCTCAGATCGACGAACCATTGCCATCTTCAAATACTCATTTTCAGTGACATGTGTCACTTTCTCCGTGAACAGCAGCCACATCCTCAATGGACATTGCAGTGGAATGATCTCGGAGTGAGCACCTCAGGGTTTTCATCCAAAGGCATGTTCTCGTCCTTGGCTCATATACTACAATTCGAGCATGTTTCGTGTAGATCCTAGTCATCAGGACAGTCCGCGATGCATGCATAGACGGAGACCTATCTACCGCTGAAGGACTACTCACAAAAGATTTCAGCACCAATGCAAACGACCATACTTCCTACGCTCATCGATCATTTGTTATGGCGCGAAAACACGACTGGGATCGTGCTCTCCGGGATGCAATCAAGGTGAGATTCACCGACCCATCATGACCCCCTTACAAAAGGCTAACTCGATGGTGAGATAGTCCATCAGCATTCAGCCCTCATTGACAGGCTATATCTCCAAGGGCATCGCCCTCTGCGGAAAAGGATACATCCAGCATGCGAGGGCAGCATTTGATGTTGCATTCATGTACACGGGTCAAGATTCAGAAACCATTCATTTTCTGCTCTTGATCAAGGTGTGACTCACATTTGTCTCGCATACTCTCCGCTTCATCATGTGTTTTAGGCCATCGCCCTCTTCAATGCAGATCAACATGACGAGGCAAACCTGCTCCTCAAAGAACTCACTGCTGGTTATCCGAATGCCGACACTCGCGCATGTCATATTGTGGAAGTAAGTATCATGCAGCCACACAGGGTCATCAACACTAACTGGTCCCTTGCAACCTCACATATTAGACATATCTACGTGTTCAACTCGGAATAACAGCTTTGGATGGCGCACGCCACGGTGAAGCCGCTGACCACTTCACCACCACTCTCCAGTTCAGCCATCTATCATGGAGATCACCTATTCATTTTATGTACGAGGACTTGGTGGTGGTACGTTAATATACATGTAAAATGCTTTTCATAACTGAGTCCCTTGTTCAGCTCTTCGTCTGGGACCTCAAATCTTTGTGCTTTACTACACACCAGAAACAGTGCGATGCACTCCGTTTGGCAGGTGACCTTATATCTGCCGTGAGGTCATACCAACACATTATGGATTGGAGTGATGAATATACAAAGGCTGACTGCCTTAACTGGTCCAATGGCAAGTCTGGAGTTCGTGGTGTCGCGCAGGCTACAATCCTTACCGGCATTTCACTCAGTTTTTAAGCAAGAATGCAGCACGCTCTGTCTTGCCGATGGAGATGCTGCCCTCCCTGCAAGCAAGTATGACAGGGCTACTGACCTATACTCGGCGGCGATCGACCTGGATTCTACATCCGATTCCGTCTTTGCAAGTCGCAGCAAGGCAAAGTTAGGTAAAATGCTATGGAAGGATGCGCTCCTCGACGCACAGAAGGTGCGATAGCGTCTATGTTTTCGTAGCCTATGTTGACTTCGGCGATGCATAGGTTACCGAACTCAATCCTTCATCTCACGTTGGATACCAGTTGACACATACAGCGCTGCGTGGCATGCAACGTCACGACGAAGCTATCGAGGCCTTCACAATCATGTTGGACAAGTTGGACAATACTCCCGAAGCGCAGATACGAAGTAAGTCCTAAGATATCCATCCATCAATTCGAAGATGCTTATCCTGTTTCGCAGACCTGCATCTGCAGTATGTCTCCATCCGAGGCAGAAGGTACTATTCGAAAAGCCGTTTGGATTGAACTCGAAAATGCCCCGCTTCGTCTGCTTAACACGTCCACGGGTCTCTTGTGCAACCGAGCGGCACAGATAAACTCCTTTAAAATGAGTTCAGAGTACAAGGAACTTCTTTCATCCACAACGAAGCATTCAGATTTCCAAACGGAACACATCAAAGACACGGTGGCGAGGTACTTCCGCCGCGTCCTGCTATCACACAGGTGGGAAGAGACGGAGATGCTACTTCACGACATCCAGGACAAGGTCGTGTACGGGTTGAAAGCATCGTAAAACTCCAGTCATTCTGCAAAATCGCTCGTGATGCTGGATATTGCTGGGCATGGATGGATACATGCTGCATTGACAAGAATAGCAATACCGAACTTCAAGAATCGACCAACTCTATGTTCGTTTGGTACCGCCACTCAGCGCTTACCACCGTCTACCTATGCGATGTCCCTACTTCATCCCAGCCCAGTGCACTGGCGAGAAGTGTTTGGAATGAGCGAGGATGGACCTTTCAAGAATTTGTCGCTCCGAAAGCTGTTATCTTTTATCAGAAGGATTGGTCGATATATCTCGGTGATCGCACTCCCAACCACAAAGAGTCCTCTACAATCATGAAGGAGTTGGAGGATGCGACAGGCATAGATGCACGGACCCTGATCTCCTTCCGTCCAAGTATGAGCGGCGCCCGAGAGAAACTGCAATAGGCATCGAAGCGCGTCACAACTTTGCAGGAAGACATTGCGTACTGATTATTTGGCATCTTTGGCATCACCCTACCTGTCATTTATGGTGAAAAGAAGCAGAACGCGCTCGGGCGGCTCCTGCAGGAGATCGTGGCTCGGTCGGGCGACATCACTGTCCTTGACTGGATCGGACAACCTTCCGAGTTCAATAGCTGTCTTCCGGACCATATTATCTCTTACACCACTTCTCCACGCACCCTTCCATCGTTATCCGAAGATCATATTCACACGCAGGTCTCTTCGCTCCGCCAAACCGTACCTAGAGATCTCGCATTGAAATTTTATGACTGGCTTGAACAGCTGAGAGCTCCTCGCTTCGCAAACTGCAGACTTCATCTGCCTTGCATTTTATTCCGTGTCACGGAAGTCAGACGGAGGCGCGGCCTAGCCCAAGAGACTTCCGTCACACATGAAATCAAGGCAGACGGGCTTCATGACCTGCTGATCACCACTGAAGAGACCCTAGTTCAGTTCTCGCGGGCAAAACCCATTCGGCAGACATTCTTACTTGTCTGTCCATGGGATCGTTATCTCCTCGGGGTACCTGACTTTCCAGAGCAGCCTGAATTCACAGGCAATACGGACAGCATGGGAGATTGCACCGAGCCCGGGTCTCCGATAGATGACGCTGACAAGTTACCCGGCGGTTCGCCTGTTGAAGAGGAGTCTGGCTCACAAGCGTTTTGGTTGATGGCTCGCCTGGAACAGCCTTTCGACGCATTTTTGCTATCCCAGCAGCATATCGGAGAATACAAGAGGATCGCGTCGGACCGTAACATCGTTGCACGAATCGAAGACATTACTTCCATCGACAATGTGGACGTAGGCACCATAGAAATACTCTAGCTATATTCTAAGACCAGGTATTTCTGACTGGTATTCGTTTGTGCTTTAATGATCAAACCTGCGTTGTTACCATGTAGCTGTATACACCTATACACCATACCCTTCAAAGCAGACATTGAAGACCTGATCATTGGGCACTACCTTCTGCATCATCACCGTCATGTCGCTTCAAATTACTGTGCAAATTCACAACCACCTAAAGTTTGATTCATTCAAAGGCCTCCGGATTAAATTTCCTTTTCTACCTGGCTTCGTGCGACGATAAGTATTCATTTCGATCAATTAAAACAAGAACGGGTATCTTGCTGGACTTTTCTTATGTAAACGACAATGTTGACCAATGGTTCAGACGACTATGCAACGAACCTGCTGAGTAAGAAGTAGGTACTCAGCAGAGCGAGCGGAATACGGGAGGAAACGCCTCTTAATGCGCAGGGGTGTGAAGACATCTATTTTCATAGCGGGTGCTCATATTCATGATGTGTAGGTCACCAGAAGAACTCCACAGCAGGGTGGATGTCGCATCTGTGCTAAAAAAGTGACTACCTAAGGATTTTTCTCGCTACGGGATGATTAGAAAATAATATGATTTCAAGAACTGAGAAGACACCTGGGATGATAACACATCGCCGCATTCTTCGTTCGTAGTACAACTGGTTCGATCATGCTGTCTGCTGCAAGGTATGTAACATCAATTCAAAGAGAATCATGTTTCCATCGTTTATTAGCCTCACCCTTGAGCACAGCTTTCGGGCCAAGACATGTTCGTATGACATTGACGGTCTATTTGAGAAGCAAGTATGGATGAGACGAGAATGAAGTGTAATTTGACGATTGTGCTTACTTTGCGGCAGTGATATTGGAGATTTGAACATTCCATCCTGAATCCTGACTGCTTCTATGGGCCCCCAAGTGGCAATTTTGAGAACAGCTTCGATAAAAAGGTGAACAAGGCTGGACTCGGCATCGCGAGGACGGTTTGGGTCCCCTGACTGTTGAATTCCATGTAAGTTCTGCGCCAATCGATTGTTTATGTTTGTTTATTACGCGTCTCTATTCCGCCTTTGAGTTGCTTTGCTTGAGTCCCTTTGACGCGATGCTGCTAGATTTGCCAAGGGGACGACTATTGTGTTTTATGGATTTCGTGGCTAGTTAGGTACGTGCACAGTCCACAGCCAGCCACGGATGGACGACATGGGGAGTATAATAAATGTGCAGAACTTCATTAGGCTCCTCACTGCTAAACCCTCTACAGCTCAATGGTGAGCATTCCTCTCTGGCCCTCTCTCCTCTTCGCTGACAAGTTGTCTACTATCCAGCCTAAATCTACCGCACCCCCGCACGTAAGCTTGCACCTTCCTCCTGACTTCTCATCCTTTGGAGACGTTTGCGCCGAGTCGAGTGCCACCAACGATGCCTCCAACTCAGAAGATGATCACACACTCACTGCTCTCAGCAACGAATCTCTTACCGGAAAAACAAATGCTCGATTCGGCTCCAAACGAGATCCGTCGCCTAAACCGTTTGCGTTTAAAGGTGAAGTGCACGCCATTTCCCAAGAATAGGCCGAGTGTCCAGTACAGTCCAAAGGTACGTATCGTTTTGCATAGAAAATCTTACTTTGAGTGACGGTTTTCGACAGAGTCCAGCTAGGAGATTCTTTGGCTCATCAGGGTCTTCACCGGCCCCTTCTCCTTTGTCCCCATCCTTTTCTATCGATGCTCTGAAGAACTCCTTGCGACCAGACAAGCAACGCTCTGCTCAGCATTCACAACCAGATGCTATCGAGGTAGAAATCCGAGTTCGTGCAGCTGACTCGCGAGAGTCCATCGCTAGTAGCTTGAGTGCTTCATGCAGCTACGAACCGGGGCAGTCGATGATCGTAAAGGATGTTCCTGCCGTTGCTGAGGCAGCCACTGGATGGCAGAAACTGCCTCCTAGGTTGCCGATTCCGAAGTGGGATGTCGATGATTGAGTCCCCCTCCCGTAGAACACTTATTACTTGTATTATTAACATGCTGTATCACTTTATCATTTCATACCCGGCTCCAGGGTGCAATGAAAGGTCCAGGGATGAGCGCCATCCTTACATGTTGATTGGCTGACTTCCTCAGAGCCTGGGTAACATGAGTTCGGCCCTTATTCGCATACGATAGCGAGTTGATTGGATACTGGTACGCCGCTACGATATGGTACATGTAGTAGACAGGAATCTGAATCGGTCAAAGAATACGTTCGGAGAATGTGATATCACATGCACCCACATCCACAGGTGTGCAGTCTGACGAGAAAATAAAAAAATAAAAAAAACCAACAAAGATCAAAGGGAATCGGGATAACATGCTGCGTAACAGACGATCGAGCGAGACGATCTGACCTAATTTTGAACATTCCTATGCAGACGCCTACGCACATATTCTGCAACATCATTTTGAAGCTCTTCCTCGTCAATTGCCATGGGTGAAGGCGAGTTATTCCATATCGCATGCACAGCGTCCTTGCAAACAATGTAAACTCTCTTGGGAGGGATATTGTTGCTCTCAAGGTTCGTTTGCACATTCTGGTACGTTTTGTCGATGAACTCTCTCCGAATTTCTGATTTGACCTGCTGGAAACGAGAGCGTGACTCGTCATCAGCATGAAAAGGGTCGAACCCTCGTGGCATCCTGTCCAACACCATGTTGTTGATGTGCTGGTCTGACTTGGAGCGAACAATGAACACCTCAATGTTGGTGAACTGCTCGCAAGCCTGGAGAATTGCGAGGTCTGAGTCCGAGAAACGATTGTCGATTAGCACAATGATGCAGTCGAAGATGTAGAGGCCCAAGTTATTGAAGTACTGCCAGTCAGGCATATTCGGAGTGCCCGCACCGGGAACGTCATACCAAAAGATCTTGGAGTCTTGGCATGGATCAGTGTATCTCGTGACCGCATCGGTAGTTTCAACAATCCCCGTAGGAGCGGCGATGGGGTCATTGTTGGACAGGCCCCGGACGGCATTAATAAAGGATGACTTTCCGCCTCCAGAAGAGCCAACGACAGCGATGTGGAGGAAGTCTGGGCTGTAATGATAAGCTGCCTTCATCCGAACAATATCCTCCTTCGACGGACGGCACTCGGGGCGAACTCCTTCAAACCACCGACGCTCTGTTGCGGACCTCGCCCGTTCAGCTTCCTCCTGACGCCTCTGTGCATTTTCTGCTGTTCTTTTTGCAGCACCACTGGCTCGTTTTTCTACTTCAATATTGTGTCTCGCCGTATTAAGTGATTGTGACGTTGTGGCTAGCTCCCTTCTTGTTACCCAGAGTTTGTATCCCAAAGATATAATAAGAAGTGAGGCCGGGACGGGTCCTGGAACAGGGATATGTGGGTGGGGATTCGGAGTACCACCTGAGTCCGAGTCTGCAAGAGCACCTACTACGCCTAGAATAGCACCTAGGCCTTGAGCAGCATCTGGGTACATGCTGCGCCAACAAAAAAGAGGGGGGGGATTGACACTGAGAAGGGCTGCGCGCTAACGTGTTCTCCGTCTACGTGCGGTGCGACCTACTAGTAGTAGACCGAGATTAACTGACTATAGGCTGCGGAGCTCGAAGGTTCGCTTACCTCGATGAGTTGTAGTGCTATGGATACAGTAATGAGAACTCTGCAGGGAGGGTGGATGATTCGGATACAAGTAGCGAGTGGGGTCTTATAGTACTTGCCGAGACAAACATGAGGCCAGCACGAATCAGACCTAATACCAGAAGCTTCTATGTCGCCAACAAGCTGTACAGTTATCACATAGCTTCTAATGTGTTGCGCCGAGTGCATGTGGAAGAACATGCCCCTGCTGATAGGAAGCCATAAATCAGAGATCTATTGATGGTCGCTTGTTAATTGAGCTCAAAGCTATGCGGTAAAACGCAACGCTCAACCTCATGATTGAAATGAGTATGATCATCAGAGGACTCGTGAACCGAAGATATTGTCATATATGCCGATATATGATCATATATAGGAAAGATTTTCTTTATATTGGAATATAAAGTCATATAAAGCCATGTAGAACGTCGGAAAACCACCGCAATCAACGTAAAGCACCCTGGGTACACTCACGAATTCTCTGATGATAACCTAGAGTAAATAGAAGCAAATAGAGCCATTGAAGTGAAAGCCTAGAGCATTCGTCAACGACTTTTGGTTTTTTTCCGGCTGAAGCGCCAAACGTTGCAACATTTCAACCCCCAGTGCTCAGGTCTCAGATTCAATATAGCTACTGGTATCACGTACCTTGTACACGTGGAAGAAATTGGATGACCACCTAATTCTTGTGGTGGGGACCTCATACCATTAATTCCTAGTAGAGGTGAGTCGCTACTTTCAATCAAATAAGTTCCTCCTCGCTCAGTCACGGTTCGATGGTTGCGCAGCATACGCCCTCACTTCAAGTTAACTTTGAAGGCTGTGGTAGATAACAAAGCCCTGTCTCAGCTTGTCGGTACGTTGAATGACGTCAGTTATCCCTTTTATCACCCGCGCGTGGTATATGTCTTTGTTTTTAGGTCGACCCCCCTTCTTCAGGTCATCGAAACGTGTCTGTCCACCCTCCAGACTTCTGTGCCCCACATGTCTGCAAGCACATATGAATCGGCTTACTATATCCTTCTACCACCGCGGCTAACATTCGTCGATATCGAGCATTCCTCCCTCAAGTCTCTGGCGTCTGTCTAGAACCAGCAGATAAACGCAGCCTCCCGAGCAGTGAGTTTGACATATTGTCGTTACTTTAAAGCTCGACTCATGTTTTTCACGATCGTCTTCTCGTCAAGTACGAGGACTCTTTACTTCGACACGCTGTGCATGACTTATCAGTTGACATATATTCGCGTGCGGCAATAATATTGCCCTCTTTGACCTGCTATTTTTGAGGTATTTGATAACCGCACACCATGCACTCACTGTACAATAGATCAGTGCGTACTTGGTCACGCAGGACATGATGTGCGGTCCCGCAGAACAAGTTATCAGCAAATTATGGGAGGATAGCCTTGGATGTGTCCCAGCAATTTATCACGTAGCCATAGGTATATCGTTCCATATTATTGTCACATCCAGAGGCCTGTCGCAATGTTAATGTTGTTCCATACTATCCTGTGAATTCGTGCATACACGCAATGAAGTGTCGGTGTTCAATGTCGAGGATCCAGTGTTTCCCCTCTAGATACCGGAAGGGACCATTCAAACCCATCAGACAAGGTGGTAAAGCAACATTTTTCGAGGCAATTCGTTTCTGAACTACGCAATTTCAAACGATAAGCGGCGGTTGTGACGCGCAGTGTGTGGTTAATACGGTCTACCTAGGCCCACATGGAAGTGATGTGCAACATGTCAGTATTGACTGGTTGCTGCCGCAAGAAGGACACCTTCTGGCAGATCCATTGACCAACATAATGATCACAAATGATGCTGCCCGAGGGAGTACCATGGTCTTCGTCACGTATTCAGCCATTGTCAGAGCTGAAAGCACCAGCTGCAATGTTGCGCTGCAAATATATGCGTGAGATTTCGCAGATAGTGATAAAAATCAAGCTACCGCACACGTCTACCCTTTGCACAAGGAAACATCGACTATGGGAAGTGGTGAATGTTCTGCACGAAAAGGCCACCGGGTTAATGGGCGATATATGCAGGGTTAGAAGACGATGGGTGTAGTGACAGAATAGGTGGGTGGCGCCGGTGTACGTCGAACTGAAAATACATATGCGATGATAATAATCGCAGGAAAAGGCACACTCACTTTCCCGCGAGCACCTGAATACGTCTGATTTGCGGCTTGTGTCGAGGAGGGGTTAGGATCTAGCTAGGGTTGAGTACGGGTGAACCCGCGGGTCGCTGAAGCCACACCGTACCCGTACCCGCAAACACCACACCCGCCACGGTACGGGTGTACACCGACCCGCCAATTTTGCGGGTATGAACGGTGTTTGCGGTATACCGCGGTTTTTTCACAGACCCGCGGGTCGTATAGTATTTTGAGATGGGCTTTTGTATACACAAGTAACTTACTAAGTAGAACTACTGTGCTTCCTCTTCTTCGTCTTCATCACCACCTTGAGGAAGTCCTGCGTATCTATGAGATCATGGCGAGACCAGGAACCAAGGCATAAGAAAGCGCGAATGGAAGCTGGAGACAACCGGTTGCGTGTGAAGTGTAAAAGTTGTCGTGCTTGTGAAAACACGCGTTCGACTGCAGTTGAGGAAGCTGTGTATTAAGTTAGTGTCAAAGATATGAAACTTATTTTTTAAAAACAAACCTGGAGCGCTCAAGTAATCCAAAGCCATGCGGGATAGATTAGGATACTTCTTTTGTTGCACAGACCACCATTTCAAGGCGTCATCCACTTTTTCGAGAGGTTGCTGAAGGTATTCGTCCAACTCATTAATGGGCTGAGTAGGGGTAGAGTCGCAGCCGAGAGAGTAGTCTCCAAACCCGAAAAAAGGTGTTGGTTCATTTGTCGCAGCCGCCATGGTTGAGTCTGTTGTTGTAGCAGGGAACTATAGGATAATCGTTGAGTTAATTGCCGGGAGAACAAGATAAAGACACGGGCATGTAGAGGATCGCATGAATAGAAGGGACTGCGTTCGTGCGAGGTGATAAGTGCAGAATTTTGCGTAGGTGGGGAACGAAAACAAACGCCGTGGGTCTATTTTAGGCAGATGTCTTGGGGATATAGGGCGAAGGATCGTATGAAAGGAGACATTGCTATGTTAGACTACAATGATCATTCTTCCCGTCAGTGGAGAATTAATGAGCATACCTCAAGTAAATGCTCGAGGGTTCGGTTGATCTTTAAGTAGATATTAGTGTCCAGAAGATGTATAACAGATAAACACACACCTGGTGAGCTTCACTTACCGTGCGGGCCCAACCGGAGCAAGGATGTCAGGTACGATGCGGAGGTCATGGATGTGTTCCTGCCAGTGGAGGCAAGTTTGAGTAACAAAGGATATGTTTGAAGGAACGGAGATGCTCGTGTGCTGTAGGCTCGAGTCTAGTTCATATGATGTTAGCGACTCAGCGGAAGCTAGGTAGAAGTTCCCGGATTGAGGGGTGCCGAGTGGGCGCTTCATTTGAGCAGTCAAATGAATCGCCTGCTTGACACCTGGAAATGCAACATGAACGCCTTTCGAGCTATCAGTATTGTGACGAATTGATAAGCACTTTCTATCTTCTCGTACCCAGAAGGATAATGATATGATAGTAGAACTGCGAGGCTAGTGGACGTGAGTTGGTGTGTGACCGACTCGGAGTGACATCGAGGCATCACGTGGACATGCCGTTGTGCATTTGGATATGCACTCTTGTAAATCCCAACTTTGTCTCGACTTCGTCTTGCAATACCACAACACTTACTGCACCAGTATCTAGTCCCGATATTCATGATTGAGAGTAATTCAAATCCAACGTGCCGCAGAATCGTTCGTACAAAATTTGAGATCCAGAATTTATCGATATGATGAAGCCTCACCACTGGCAGCATCTGACCTATCATTTAGTATTCACTTGCAGTCCCCAGCCAGAAACTAGTAGAGATACACCAGTGGCCTCAGATGCTCAAAAAGTATGTCATACAAACTTTGTTATCACTGCCTTAGCTAACAGACATCGAAGTTTCATGCCGTAGATGATAACCACCGCGTTGTTAAGTTGCCACTTAGCCGCCCTTTGACTGGATAATGCTTAATTTACATGCACTGTGGATAAGGGACAGCCATTGTTGTCTGTGGCCTCAGTAGCTAGTCGGTACGTACACAGGTCAATGCTTGTGGACGGAAGACACGGGCAGTATAAATGTGCAGAACGTCGTTGGGCTCCTCACTGCTAACCCGTCTGCAATTAAATGGTGAGCAGTGATCTTTCCCGGTGTTCTCTCCGCTGACCGATCGTTCAGCCTAACTCTACCACACCCTCGCACACGAGCTTGCACTTCGGCCTCTTTGAGGACGATTGCGTCGAGTCAGACGCCACCAACAATGCCGCTGACCGAGAAGACGAGCACACACTCACTGCTTTTGGTGAGGTCTCCCTCGGCCAAGAGGAAATGTTTGAATTTGATCCAAATAACATCCGTCGCCGTAATCGAATGCGTTTGAAGGAGAGACGTAGGAGTGCCCAGTACAGTCCACAAGTGCGCATCGCATTTACATAATTAGCTGTACTCTTATTGACCACTTCACGATAGATTCCGGGTAGGAAATTCTGGGACCCATTGACGTCTTCACTGGTTTCGACTCCTCTAACACCTGCCGAGTTTTTCAATGGATTTAGGCACTCCGTGCGCCGTGCTTTTCAGCTTGCACAAGCAGAAGCTGCCGATGCTGAAGCTCGATCTCGTGCAACTGACTCAGGAGAGTCAGCTTCTAGTGACTTGAGTGCTTCCGACGATTACAAACTGGGGCAGTCGGTCATCGTAAAGGATATTCCTGAACAAGTCAAAGAAAAGAAGAAACTGACTCAGAGGCCTGTAATTCCGAAATGGGAGCTCGACGATTAAGTCGTACTGCGATTATTCACCAATGTAGTCGTATTATATGCTGTATACCAATAGCACCTTGTACAATCCGAGTGTGATAAGCGCGTGCCATTCTTACATAATCGACAGACCACCTCCTCACACGTCTCCACACTGCTTGAAGCCATACCACTCATTCATCATAACCAAGAGAATGCGGTCCCCAGGGGCCCTCCTACTCTTCCTTCTCCTCCCAGCAGCCCTCGCCTTCAAACAATCCGACTTTAAAATATGCTCCCAGTCCGGTTTCTGTCGCAGAGGACGCGCCCTTGCGGCACGCGCACAAGAATCCTCATCATCATGGCACTCCCCATACTCAATTGACCCCCCAGAACTTAGCCCTCGTCAACCAGGGTTTACCACAAGCGTTCATTCCTCCATCCATCCAAATGTCAAATTTGTGCTTGATGTTATGATACATGAGGAGGGCATTGTGCGTGTGCGAATGGACGAAGAGAACGGACTAAGGAAACGATATAACGAAGCTGCTCAGTGGGCGCTCATTGGAGAACCTCCCTTGAGTAATGATGTTCTCTGGACAACCAAGGGGGGCAAAGCCAAGGCTGTTTATGGACCGAAGAAGGATATGGAGCTCGTCGTCGATTTTAACCCTCTCAAAATCACGCTTTTCCGGGGTGGCAAGGAACAGGTCACATTGAACGGGCGCGGCTTACTGCATATGGAGCATTTCAGAACCAAGGAGGACCCCAAACTAGCTGAACATATCGAAAGCGAGGGTCAATCCGTCCTCCAAGTCAACCCTGCAGCATGGTTCGAAGGCGACACCCAAGACGCCTTCTGGGAAGAAACATTCTCTACATGGACAGACACAAAACCCAAAGGTACGTCCTACACTCGCCATCATCACTGAGACAACGACCACCAACGTCCGCAGGCCCCGAATCCCTCTCCCTCGACATAACCTTCCCCAACCACGCCCACGTCTACGGAATCCCCCAACACGCCACGAACCTCTCCCTTCCAAGCACAACAGGTCCCACCGCAAAATACACAGACCCCTTCCGTCTCTACAATGCAGATGTATTCGAATACCTCTCAGATTCGCCGACTTCTCTCTACGGCTCGATCCCGCTCATGCATGCGCATTCTGCAACGTCGACAGTCGCCGTTTTCAATGCGCTTGCATCCGAAACATGGATCGATATCGCTCATGTGGAGAAAGGCGGCGTAGAAACGCACTGGATATCCGAGTCCGGGATCCTAGACGTATTCCTACTCCCAGGCCCAACACCCACTGACGTCTTCACACAATACGCACACCTAACAGGGACAGCACCCCTCCCAGCTCAGTGGTCACTCGGCTATCACCAGTGCCGCTGGAACTACGTCAGTTCAGACGACGTGCGCGGTGTGCAGAATAGGTTTGATGATGAGGATTTCCCGGTGGATGTGTTTTGGTTGGATATCGAGTATGCAGAAGATCATAAGTATTTTATGTGGAATAAGAAGACGTTCCCGGATCCGGTGGAGATGACGAAGGACGTAGAGGCTGTTGAGCGCAAGGTCTGTCTGTTTTGTTCATCCTTTCATCTTTCTCGCGCTCACACATACGTCCCAGATGGTAGTCATCGTCGACCCGCATTTAAAACGCTCAAACGACTACCCAGTATACAAACGCGCATCAGAACTAGGAGTCCTCGTCAAACCTAAGAGCGGCGAGGGCGAGTACGAAGGATGGTGTTGGCCCGGCTCTAGCTCATGGATCGACTTTTTCCATCCTGGTTCTTGGGACTTTTGGATCTCGCTGTTCAAGACGAATACAATCGATGGTCAGTGGAGTTGGACGGAGAGCACTAATAACATCGGTGTCTGGAACGACATGAATGAGGTGTGTTCTTTTTGATGTTGGAGTAACTTGTTTATTCATTGGTGAAAACGAAATACTAGCCGTCAGTGTTTAACGGACCGGAAATCACGATGCCGAAAGATAATGTCCATTACGGCGGTTGGGAGCATAGAGACGTGCATAACATCAACGGAATGCTCTTTGTACGTCTCTCATCTTCTTTCCGAGTCTTAGTCAAGCTTACGATACCAATCCCCTGCAGGCAAACCACACATTCCAAGCAGCAGAAGCTCGTACAGACCCCCCACGGCGCCCATTCGTCCTCACCCGCGCCTTCTATGCCGGTTCTCAGCGTTTCGGTGCGATGTGGACGGGCGATAATCTTGGTACGTGGGAGCATATGACCATAGGGGTTAAGATGGTGCTTGCGAATGGAGTTGGGGGGATGCCTTTCGCTGGGTGTAAGTCCTTCCTCTCCCTCACCCTCATTTCTAATCATTCACTTGCTCACAGCCGATGTTGGCGGCTTCTTCGGAAACCCCGAACCGGAAATGTTAGTGCGCTGGTATGTAGTGGGCGCATTCTCGCCTTTCTTCCGTGCACATGCGCATATCGACACGAAGCGCCGAGAACCATACCTTCTTGAGGAGCCGTACAAGAGTTTGTTGAGGGATATTTTGAGGTTGAGGTATTCGATGCTTCCTGTGTGGTACACTGCATTTAGGGAGACGAGTGAGAGCGGGGTTCCTATCCTCCGGTGCGTTTTTTCTTCCTCCGTTGGACGATATGATCGATGTGTGCGTGAATGCGCAGACCTCAGTATGTGATGTTCCCCGGGGACGAAGCTGGGTTTGGGATTGACGATCAGTATTATATCGGGTCGTCTGGATTACTTGTTAAGCCTGTGACGCAGAAGGGGATAAAGGAGGTTTCCGTGTATATTGCTGAGGATCAGGTTCGTTCTTTTCCTCGTCCTCCACACACCCTGACGCTTACACGCATCCAACTACCTAGGTCTACTACGACTACTTCACCAACCACGCCCACCGCACCAAAAACCGACACATCACCCTCCCCGCAAACCTCGACCAAATCCCCCTCCTCATTCGCGGAGGCTCCATTATCCCCACACGCGAACGTCCGCGCCGTTCCTCGCCACTGATGAAACACGATCCGTTCACACTCCGCATCGCGCTTGATACTTCCGGGAATGCGCACGGGGAGGTGTATCTTGATGATGGCGAGACGTACGGGTATGGAAGGGGGGATGTTGTTTGGCGTGTGTTCGGTGCGGAGAGCACGAAAGGAAAGGGGAAAGGGATTGGGACGGTGCGCATCTCATCCGCTGATCTTGCCGCAAGAACGCAGGTGGGTGCGTACGACCCCAAGAACGAGTTCGCGCGTAGTGTGGGTGATGTGAGGGTGGAGAAGCTGATTGTTCTTGGACTTGGGAAGAAGCCTTTGAACGTTGTTTTGGATGGCGGAAGGGAGCTTGAGTGGGAGTTTGCCTCGGAGGGTGGAGTGTTGGTTGTTAAAGATCCTGCAGTGCGTGTGGTGGATGATTGGGCTATCGTTGTGAAGTTGGAGTGAGATACCATATTGATAATATTCAGATCATTTGTGCTTTGTGTTGTGAATGTCCATGCAATGCTTTCCTGTTTCGATCTATCATATCATGCGCGAACATGGTCGATCAAAAGTCACATTGCCCAATTACGAGATTAATGCTTGGCAGGCCCCTATTTTCTCGAATAATCAACCTTACTCTCGTTTTGCTCCTCTATGATGGCCACCATACCTTTCAATGACAGCGCGTCTGGCATCTTCGACCCACCTCCCTCGTATGATGCAATTTATATGCCCGTATCAACGAATTCCATCCAATGTAAACGATCAGTGTTTTCATTCCTACAATCCAAGCAAAAATGCCGCCGTGCCTTAGTATTATCTCGCATCCATGCAATTGTCTCCTCTCCTGATTTCACCCCTTCCTCTGTTGCACAAATTGTCAAATCCTGTGCTGCTGCTCTCCCAGCAGCAGAGTTCTCTAACCTCCTTCAAAAACCCAATATCGAGGATCACTCAGCCCTGTATTGGGCGATTGTCAATAACCAGCGAGAAACCCTTTTGGAGTTTACTAAATTCATTCTCAAATTCTCGCCTGCTTGCTCTTCTGACTTGCGTCTTGCGTGCATGACAGTCAACGATCACGATTCGTTTATGCTACTAAATTTGGGAGACATTGTTAATCGTAAGTGCAGGTACATAATATCTTGAGTGATTTTCACCGCATGCTATCAGCCAAGGACAGGTCTTTGAGACGCATGTTGCGTTGTCCGCAAGATGATATTCAAGTCTATGAAGGGGATGACATGGACCAAAACCGCTTCTTTGTTTGTTTCGTCTTCAGGATGTTCCAGAAACGTCTGCGTATTACACAGAAATTCGAAGTAGAATTCGTTGCCCGGGGTATGTGGTCCGTGATTTTGGCCTGTTCCTCATGCTGATACAAATACCTTATTCCACGAAGGACGTATATGGGCATTGCGTCTTTATATGGGGGAGAAAGGGAAGTGGTGCATTGAGTATTGTCTTTCTGGACATAGCTTGCCAGTACATCCAAATGCCGTACTTCAGATTCAGTCCAACAAACCGCCACCTGGCTCAGATACCCCGAAACATCTACGCTTGGTACAGCATACATCGGGCATTCTTATAACCGAGGAGTAGGTCTATTATTCCCACTCATAGCCAAAGCATACGAAGTTTACTATTATTCGCTAATACACAGATCATTTCACCATGGCCATATCACAGATAAGGAAGCCAAGTCTGGATTTCTGTGGCAGTTTCCAGATGATTGGCCAATGGATGAGTGAGTGTTCTTCCTTAATCTTCCTCGTAGCACCATCATGTTTACGTTGTCGTAATTTGCGAGTCCCCTCGAACTCAGGCTGACTTGGTCTGATTTGCTTTAGCAACACTGTTTATGTAGACTGCAATGGCACCCTAACTACAAGGCTTCAAATGACGATAAAATAACGCTACCCCCGGTCAGGTCAGTCAACCTGTCTCTGATTAGTGACAATGTCATTCTTGACGTGCGCGGTGTTGCCGGACTTGACCTCTGGCCGATGATGTAGTCGAGGACGGCGGCAGGAAGATGGCGGGAAGAAAGAGGACGGTGACAGGAAGTTAGGAAGATGAAAGGGGCGATTGAAACGCTGGGATAAAAAACTTTGGGGACGATATGTGGCGCGCGCAAGTGGGGAATTTCGAAGGTACAAAGTCGTCTGTTGTTATCCCAGGCTTACTTTGCGTGTGTCAAGAGCATTGTCCAAGTCGGAGAGTGTAGCTCGGAAGGTCACGACAGCTTCGTCATAGTATTGTGTACCTCGAAATGCTACGGGCTTTCACTGGTATCCGAGATAAGAAGTTTTATGACCTATGCATCATGAATATGAGCACCCGCTATGAAAACAGATGCCTTCACACCCATGTGCATTAAGAGGCACTCCCTCCCGTGCTCGTTGTTTTGGGTCTTTTGTTTCTCACACTCAATTTCTTATCTATTTCACCTCATCAGCACTCAATTCTTGTTGAATCTTTCTGAAAATGTAAATATATGATACTGAATATACTTGAATTGTACTCCAAGTGTCTGATCATTGAATTTCGATGTTTTGAATGTATGGGCCCCTTATCAGCAGAAATAGCAAGTATGCACACTACCTGAAAACTCCGGCCTATTTTAAGCTGATCCTTGGCATATAACACATTGATATATCTACCAGTAATGATATATGAGCAGTGTGTATCATTCATGTGGGAGTAAGGGAGTAAAATACATCAAAAATGTCAAAAATGCGATATTTTATATTTATGTTCTTGTGGAAGGATCTTATATGTGTCATAGGCTAGCTATGTGATATATCTACTCCAAATATACATAGAAATAGACACCATACCCTGATTGAGGTCCGATCCTACAGAATTTTTTTTCACAGGGGTATACCACCAGGGGAAGGGAGGTGCATTACACAACAAGTTCTTGTCCTATTGTCTTGAGATCCTGATACATTGTTTCTACTATTTAATAGATGCTGGGAATCATTTTTACAAGTCCATTTACCTAGGATCATATACATGGGAACATATTTTGTATTTTCATGAGTGTATGTTATATCTATTGATGTATGGCACTTCAGGAGGTCAAATAAAGATGGGAATCTCTTTATGAATGCTCCAAAACATGTCCTGAATATAATAGAACACTTCCCTATCAGAGGGGGAAAAGTGCGAAGGTGTTCTGTGTCCTAACCTATGTTGAATGGCCCCTGGAGGAGGAGCAAGCACATAAATACACAGAAGAGGTGGTTGATTATATTATATTATACATGTATATACCAAACTACTACTTAGATACAAGAGGGAACTTATTGTAGTGTAATGGTGAAGCTGCAGTGAGGTGGGGAGGGTGTGAGAATAATTGATATTGTGGAGATTCCAAAAATGGGTGATGTTTTGGGTGTTGTGGAGAAATTCCCACGCTAGGTGGCCAAAATGCGTGAGGTATGGGAATAATCTGCGAATGTAGTAGCTGAGTACCATTATGGGATCAATATGATGCAGGCACCATTATGCATAAAGGGAAGCATTGAGGGATTAGCAACAGCCATGCATAACCATGATGACTGTAATCAGCCATGGTTATGCATCACCCTGCCATGAACAGGTGTCCTGCCACTGGTGCCAACATTCCCACAGCCTCTGCTCATCATCTACAATGATGAGCACACTTATATCACTCCATCAGGAAATCAACCTGAAGTTGATATGACCAGATATAATTGGTAATCAAAAAACATTATTACATGTCATGTTTTAGCCTTAGATATTATTATCATGGTATCACACATATCTAACCTATGATATGACCATGCCAGAAAAATATCACCCTGATGCTGTTGTGTTTTAGCCTTAGATATCATTGTCATGATGTCACACATATCTGACATACAGTGACTTGCAAAACTGTTACAATGTTTAGTACTTTTTCAGTATACACAATATAGCACCTATGCACATGGGAATCATGCTTAGTGTTAGTGGGGGCGTGTGAACTACAAACCCTTGGCTACAGACTGACAATTGGATCACATCATTTGGCTGAGGGGATGTGAAGATATGCCTATTTTAAGACAGAGATACCATTGTAATGGTTTTGTAGCTGTTGATATAGATGGTGGGATCTCAGTCAAATCAGAGGATGGTTACTGTTATTTGCTTATACAAATAAAAATATACATAAAAATATTATGTCTGAGTTTGAAATTGCTCCCATGCTTCTTTATTCTTAATCATTACCATCATAGGATCTCTCTCTACTACTTAAAAGAATACCATTCTCTTTCAGCTTAATGCCAGTCATTCTATTCACTCTATTGCCTCCACAACTGGTGTCAGCACTACTACTATCTCCAAGCTTCATTAAAAAGAGTGTTCCTACTTGCAAAAGTTCACTGGTGGTCATTCAACCAAGCTTTCCTCAGTCAATATTTGTCATCCTATTTGTTTCATCTTCACTCAGCAGGCAGAAACTGCTATCCAAGTGATCAAATCTTTTTCAAATATTGTCAATTAGCCCCCCAACCCAAGTACCACTTGCTGCTACCTGGAAAAGCTGGGATGAGGGCTGTAGTCAAGTCCAAATACTGTCTACTGTCTGCCAAATATTGCAAAGCACACTTGGACTTTGCCTATACTGACAAAAATTGGACTTTGGAGGACTGGAAGTTGGTCATATGGTTTGATGAAACCAAAATCAATCACCTAGGGTCAGATGGTTGCAAATGGGCTTGGAAAAAGTCAGGAGAGGGGCATAGTGACAGATTGGTATAAGGAACTATCAAGTTTAATGGAAGTTCTGTGATGATATGGGGCTGTATGACCTGTGAAGAAGTTGGCTATGCTGCTAAGATTGATGGTAGAATGGATGGAGATCTTTGCCTTCAAATTCTGAAGGATAAACTTCAGAATTTCCTGGAGTTTTATGATCTTAATGCTTCTGATGTCATCTTTCAGTAAGACAATGACCCTAAGTATACCTGCAAAAAGGTCAAGAAGTGACTAGATGGGCAGGAATTTAGGACTATGGTGTGGTCTGCACAATCTCCTGACCTTAACCCATTGGAATATCTCTGGGACCTTGTCAAAAGGAGACTTGCAGAGTATGAGCATCCCCCTAAGGAAATAGTAGCAATGGTTGGGAATAAAACTTTGTAACAGTTTTGCAAGTCACTGTATCTACATTTATCTTAGTGAGACAACTGAAGCAAAAGCTGCAAAACTTACCACTATTAGTGTACTGGGAACCAGATGTGCATGCTATGGCTTCAGAAAACATCTCTGCTTTGGCCTGAGCATGATGTTTCTTCAATTCCAGAGTATGAAAATTGGACTTGAGAACATCCAGCATTTTCTCCTTCTTTGCTTTAAGGCTATCACTGATGTTGATGCCTATGAGCTTGGAGTCTGCACAGTCTGCATAGGATGTGCTGATGTAGGCATGGCATGTGATGCTACCAACCCAAGGCTTCATTAAGTAAGGAAGGGAAAGAAAGTGACCATTGGGCTACACAACATCAGATGACTGAGTCTTGCATAACATACACAACACTCACCCTTAAGACATGTTTGCAAAGCTGAGAAATTTCTTGAATTTGTGGGAAATCTACTAGAAACTCTGATAACGTGGAAAGCCATTTCTGGCATTTGATGTGAGCAACATTTTGAGACTGAAAGTCATCAAAATTGGCTGAGTGAGGTGCTTGGTATGATTCCATATACCCAGTGTTCTCTGGGAGTGGTGCTGTAGCTAGGAAGAAAGTTAGACTCAGGCATCATCTCTTGAACAGCAAGGCATATGTGGGTGACATTTCATGTCCAGCTCTTTGCACAAATTGACACGAGCAACATTTTGAGGCCAAAAGCCATCAAAATTGACCAAGTGAGGCGCTTGGTATGCTCCTATATACCCATTGTTCTCTGGGAGTGGTGCTGTAGCTAGGAAGGAAGTTAAACTCAGGCATCATCTCTTGAATAGCAAGACATATGTGGGCAACCTTTTGTATTCAGCTCTTCACACAGATTCACAATAGCTGTACTGAACAAAGTAACCTTCACCTGGGCACAATACATTCGCTCCTCCATGTAGCATTGTGGAAGGAATGAAATACAAGTGGGCTCTTCTTGCTGGAACTGAATTTCCATCACAACCACTCTAAGGCTCACTCATAGGACAGCTATAAGGTTGAGGGGGTTGACCCATCCAAACAGCACAGAAACTGTGATGAAGAGGGAGTCTGGAAGCTGGAGTTGATGTTGTGAGAGACCAATATGAAAAATATGTAAATTCACTGACAATTTTACATCTCCATTTCTGGAGCCAAGATTTCAGGGCATTATCGGTGTGCTTGATCTCAGGAATGTGCTGTGTTGAAGGAGTGTTAGAGACAGGAGGCAACACTGAACTACTATTTAACATGTTGAAGTGGGGCCATAATAAGAGGCTTGAGGGAGGTTCAGACAATTATTGAAGGCTTATATACAAGAAGGTTTGGTGGTGTCTATCCAACAGTGGTCCATATATGGATGGGTAGTGGTGGCTGTGTGAGGGTAGCAGTCTATAAAACACTACAGTGCACTAGATCAAATAATTAAATGAATCAAATGACACCATGAGAGCCTAGAATGTTACATACACCAATGAACAATTCCATCAAATTGTGTGATTCCTTGTTTGAAAGTTGTAAGATCCATACACAGCATTCAGGAGTGACTCAATATCAGCAGGCCTTGACACAAAAGCACATAGCACTTACTATCTTCTACATTCTGACTTAGATGCATTGAAGGTTCAACAGCTCTGCTAGGCTGCAGAGCAAAAGAAAGAAAGAGGGCTCTACCTCTGGGGTGAGAGGAAGGCCTACTGACTCTCTAAATGTTGGTCAAAGTGTGCCAAGTGATGTGTTCGACCTTTAAGGGAAGCAAAGAAAGCAAGATCCACTGGGTGATGCCAGATCAACTCTGGTGAAGTGTGCTGAAAGCATGTGCACAGGAATGTCGAGCACATAGGTGTGCAAAGCATGGGAATAGAGCACATGTGGTGCATGGACATGTAAAGACTGAAAGATGGCGTGAAGACATGAACTGAGGCTGCTGAGTGGAGGGACTGATGATAATTGACTACTGCTGATGACTAGGGTGATGACTGAAGCATGCTGACTGAGGATGATGATTCTCACTATGAGATACTAAGTGACATGATGGTCATTGTTGTATTCTCTGGTGGTGGTTGGTGTATGAAAACTTTTTATGCAACAGGTAAGCTGTGCCTAGGTGCGCTCCCAGGGCTTGGAAGCGAATAGGGAGTGCTCTATGTATGTAAAATGACGTAAATAATGGGTCCATGACGAAATAAGATATCATATGATGCTAAATATGATCTGATAGTGAGAATAAACAAGGAAGGACTCACTAGGGAACTGGTTGGACAATGGATGGATGCTCTGGGATGCTGCGCAACAAAGGGCGATTGAGTGTGGGAAGAGCACACTAAGCGTGTGTGTGAGAATGCGTTGCATAATGCAGGAAAGTGTCGTGCCTCTGGCACATTTTGCGGGAAAGTCATAGATGGTGAGTCATAATATGGGTGATATATGCCTAGAGGAATCTCATTCCCTACAGCGTGCAGTGCTATGTCATGCTTATTGCAGAAAAATTTGCAACCCAAAGATTTGTACATTTTCAAAAGACCCATGGACAACATATGGAAGGTAATTTGTTTTGGAAGGCTTATTTATGGTAAATCTGACAGACATCAGTGTCACTGTGCAAGTCATTTCCATTAGCAGTAGCACAGAAATAAACTTGATGTGAACTTACATGATATTACAAAACATTGCCATGTGGGCTGCAAATGTCACATATCCTGGATCATCATGCTGTGTGAATAGGACAGTGACTATTTGGAGAAGTTCTTCATAGACCTGGCTGACCGGTGGATATCCCAATAGGTGGATGGCTGAGGATTCCCCCTCTGATGACATAAGCTTCAGAATATCCGCCAGCCATTTGAGGATGGCACTATAGCACTTATACAGTGGGATTGTTTAAATGAATAAGGCTCATAGAATGGAATAAACTTACAGAGGCCCCCACAAATGCTAATGTCTCTGTGGGTGGGTGTGGGGTGTCCCTGAAGATAGTTGGTGCAAAATCAGCCATGATTATTGGGATATTGGCTGATACACTGTGCCAGAAAATGAGATGGAAAACAAGTGATTTTGTGATCTCCATGTTCAGCAACCATACAAAGCCATTATCCTGTGGAGTAAATGGTAAGACTTTGACACCCAGAACAAACTAGGAAAACTGATTGCAATTGGCAAATGACTTGAATCTGGAAGCATGAAATGTTACAGCAAGCTCACACATCTCTCAATGAGTAGTACTCAGGGGCACAGTTCCATGAGGGTAAAACCCAGATGGGGATCTGAGATTGTGAGTGTCGCTAAATGGTTGATGTTGGAGAGTAATGTCAATACCCATCTACTGGCCTATCCTAGGTGAGACAAGTAAATGAAAATGATAGAGAAAACATACTTTGACTAAGATTTTGTCTTTGGTCACTTCAGTCTGTTCATCAACAGATGTGACTGGGGAAGAGTGTGTATGTGCAGAAGGTATTGGATCAATGAGTTACTGACTGCTGAAGGTGAGGACTTTGGACTATGGGAGAAACTGACTATTACTAGGGGAACTCTACAGCAAGACCTGGATGTGAGATAGAACTTGACTCAAAGGACAGCTACTGAGAGAGGGTCCTCAAAATGACTGAGGGAGACTCCAAAACTGAATGGGCGCTATAGGATGCATGAAGTGTGAATACTGAAAGAAGCATGATTGAGACATGCATGAAAGTGTGCTGGTGTGATAGAAAGCGAGAGCGCATGCGTGGAAACGCAGTGCGTGCTATGGGGGTCTAAAGCATAGAGGTGAGAGCTATCTGGAAACTAAATCCAGTAAAGAAGGGATCAAGCTGACTAGAAGCAGTTGTGTCTAGGAAGGTAGCATGCAAGTTCAAATTCTTGGGGCTTTCAAACTGGCTCTGATGCGCAAACTACTGCTACTACACAGAGGTGGGAGGTGCTAGGATAAGGTACTCTAAAAAACTACCAATCCCCTCTCTATATTGAGTGTTAGGCAACACTTGTAGCATGGGGGCAAAGCAAGTAGGTAGCGATATCTGTATGCAATAGTGTTTTAAGCACACACTTGCACATTTACAGCACTATAATTGGTCCAAAAGATACATCAGAGCAATAAGAGTATAATAAAAATGCACCAGTGGACTTTAGCAAGGACATGGACAGGTGGATGGACTGTAGCGGAGGACCTAGAGCAGGTGCACAGGACGTGCAAGTGCGTTCATGTGCATGTGATAGTGTGAGTGACTTATCCAGAGGATCAGGCCCAGAGTATCAGTGGGAAGGGGTAGTATATCATCCTATAGCAGTGATATAGAGGAGCAAGTCTCTACACCACAACTCAGGTCATTGTGTGACAAGTGGACTTCAGTTAGGCCTCACATGAAGAGATTGGAAATGAAATGAGCCTTGTGATCATCACTACTTGATTTGGCAAGTATGAAGGGGTTCCTGGGCTCTCCGCAAGAAATAGCAATTCTCATGAGAATCCACATGCAAACCAGAACTAGTTGCCATTCTGGGTACCTTAACTGAATATGGTGCAAGCTGTTTTTGTTGGTGCAGGTGTTTGTGCCTTTGGACTGAACATTATTGCGACCATGTGTGATAGAGAAGTGCCTAAAGGACTCTGGCACAACTGAACCTTTCTCATATGACTCCAACAGTGTCGACATCTCTGCAAGAACATCAGGATCAAACTGTGGGAAAGATTGAGGCTGGTATCCAAATGGAAATATCGCATCCATAAGAATGGTGCTATGGCCATTGTTTGCCAAAGGCTATGATGCTGTTAAATGAGGCAGATTTGGGGTTGCAGGGTCAACTTACCCATCTATATACATGATGCAGGTTGCCACTGTCACTTGGCCTTGACCACAGGGCCTCCAAGTCCAATTCCAAGTGCAGGGCATTGATCTACAAGGCTGATAAGTGTGAAGGCAAAGTGCAGTCCAGATCCAATTCAATACCTTGATGAATATAGGTACCTCTACATTTGGTTCACATATGGAATTGTGCAGAGTAGTCAGTAACACATATGCTATGACCTTGATGTGTGACATGAGCTATAGAGGAATTCAGTATATGATGTCCACAGAGGGAACCACCTACAGCATCAAGGTGCATGATTGAGCACTGCAGCATATGATGAGACATGCCTAAAAACTCTGAAAAAATACAAATACTTACATAGAGCATATAGAGGATCGGTTGGGGCCCAATCACCAGATATTCTGTAAAACAGAAGGGTCTCTGTAAGAGAGTCAGGCTACCCTGAAAAACTGAGCGAGCAACATTGAGTGGACAAGCCAAAAAACACACACACTGATACAGGCTGAAGGCTTGACAGATCATCTGTTAAGGTCATACTCAAGGCTAAATGGATCTGAAGGGCTTCAGCCTCAGCTTGTGCACTGTGCCCCTTACTTGAGTATTGTCCCTTATTTCAGGAAGGCAAGACTAACATGTCCAGAGGGTCAGACAGGTAGTGTAGCAGATCTGGATGACTTCCAGATGCGGGATAAGTATTGTAAGGCTAATCTGGACAAGTCCAGACTAGAAACTAGTGGTAATGGCTGTCATAGACAGAGGTGGATATGAATAGACTATAGGAATCAATCCTAAGTCTCAGAGGGTGATGAGAGTAGTGGTACTTAGGTCCAGAGGACAGGAATGAGCAGAACTAAGTTGATATTTGAACTGAGGTGCTACAGAGAGTTACAGGAGGTTATATACTATAGGTATCTAACAGAATGATCAATCAGCAGAGTCCAAGGCTATGTACAAAGCATATGGATAGTCTATTGGTAAGTAGAAATGGATCACAAATAATGAAACAGAAATGAAGCATAGGTAACAGATTAGGGGGCAGGACGGATATACAGATAACTGAAATACTGGAGTTAGGGGATTACCAAAAGGAGATGAGTGCTGATTGTGGATTCAGATGAATTGTGGACTGGACCAGATGAGTGGACAGATTGGATGATGAGATGTTGGAGGGGGATAAAATGTGGATAGGATCAGAGATAAGATGTGGATCAGATCTGAGATGAGATAAGGATCAGATCTGAGATCCAGATATGTGGATATGACATCATCTAGGAAAAAGTATGAATGGAAGGTTGGCATATTGTCTGCAGAAGACATTGTTAGTTCAAAGAGGGAAAACAGGTGCCTTTAAATGTAATCGCTAACCTTGTAAAGAAAAATGGACAGACATAACAGTGCGATTCAGTGCAGTTCAGTGCTGCTGAGCTATTACATGTACAGGGGGTGTGTCTGACCTAGAATGAGACTGTCCACTATTACAATGCCATCTTAGTTATAACATGCAAGGTGGTGATAAGTCATGTTTGCACTGCAAGGTTATGCCTACAGGCAAGTTTGTGCTATTGATCTAGTTCTTGTAATTGAGGTCTACTTCACTATTGTACATCTCATTGAATTGATCCAACAACGATTCATTGCTGGAGCTGAACCACTGCTCAATGTCTGATCCGCCCTTGATATCAAATTCATCTTCACTGTCATCTTGGCCTTCACCTTCACCTTCACCTTCACCTTCATCTTCATCTTCATCTTCATCTTCATCTATTTCCCCGGGGCCTTCAATATCATGAGTAAATGATACAGGTGCTGCACTGCCTTCTCCCTGGCAATGGTGTGAGTATGCATGTCCTATTCCAAGACCAAAGTGAAAGCACATTAGCATGTCCCAGTCCATGAACCTAAAATAATTGGGCTCAGTGTACATGTATACCCTTGCTCAGCTTCTCCTTGCTAGGGCCTTTGACTCATGTGATTTGGACATTTCAAGATAAGTAGAAGCCATTGGCAACCTGCATCATTGAGAATCTAATTGATCATTACAACTCTGCAGACCACTCCCAGTCTCCAACTTGACCATTGGCAAAATTCCTTACAGAAAAACATTTCCAGGAGATAACCCCTCAAGTGCCCAGGGTGAATCACATGCATTTACCCAGTTGTGTGTTGCATAATGAGGAGATGCATGAGATTGATGAAGGTGCAGTGTTGAGTTTGCTCAAATGAATATATTGTTCACACCCCACTTTCATTCATTAGTACCATCCAAACTGGTGATAGAGCCAGACAGTAATTTTGGGTCAGTACCATTAACCAGGCAATCTTCGCTGTTCTGGAGTCACACAACCTTGATATCATCCATTGGACCCATGGGCACAAAGTGTGTGCCAGACTGCTTAGAACACAAAGTCTCACCATGTGTACCAGTCATGTAAGTCATAAATTCTCTTTCATCTGATTAACATATTCTCACAATGCTGCAGGTGAATTTGCCACAGGTCAGAAAGACTGTTCCTCCAGGCTCAGTGTCACATTAGACATCACTCACATTGCCCACTACAAGAAGATTCAGAAAGTCTTTGATTGACATCAACTTGCATAGGGAACAAATTTCAAACCAGTATGAGGCATCATGTGACATCCCAAGATAGTAGACACCATAGAAGAAATGAAACATAACTTGACACCTTTCATTACACTTACTTATATCACAATAGAACTTTCTGCAACACTTCTTTCAATGTCATTGTGTATGCTATTTTTACTATTACTCTGGCTTTTTGGACTCATATGTGATGTTCATATTGTCAATAATAATCTTGTTTACCATCAAGTGAGACTCATACATCAGACACAATAGCACATCTTTGGGAGCAGCTTGCAGATGGTATAGAAGCCTGATATTCTTCAAGTCTGGTAAGCTGTCATATGCCATTCCGGACTCTCAACTCTGAATCCACTTCTCTGGATATCTGGATCCAAGATCTGGATCTCAAATGATCTGATCTATCTTTATCTTCCTTCTGGAATCCAAACCCTATATCAGCACCCAACCCCATTTAGACTTCCCCTGTCTCCAGACTCTGGTTAACTATGTTTCCCTTCTGATTATTGATCTGTTACATACATTTCATTTCTGGTGTTCATTATTTGTGATCTGTCCTACTTACTAATAAACTTTGCATATGCTTCATACATAGCCTTTATGTTTGCTGATTGATTCCTATATAATACCTACAGTATATAAACCTCCTGTAACTCTCGGAAATACTCCAGTTCAAATATCATCTTAGTTCCTGCTCATTCCTGTGTCCTCTGGACTCGAGACAAGTCTCTTGTCATATTCCAAAGTCTTAGGATTGCATACTAGACTACATTTCCGACTCTACCTTAAGGTAGCCCATCCTCTGTTAGTTTCTAGTCTGGACTTTGTCCAGATTAGTCTTATCTGCTTGTCCAAGTAATATCCAGATGTCCGTCGGATTTATCTCACGTTTCGGATCCGGACATCCATTGTCTGCCCTAGTCAAATCCTGGAAACTCCAGATGACTGCTCCAGCCCCTGGAAATTAAGGGCACATACTCAGGAAAGGGGCACAGTGTATGAGCTGAGGCCAAGCCCTTGTGATCCAACCCCCTTGAGCACACGACCTTAACATAAGCCAAAAAATCACAAGCTAGTCTGGGAGATGTCAAAAGGTATTTGAATGAATGGACACACTGGGGTGGGATAGATATAAAGCAACTGGTGACTATCAAATGAAATTGAAGGGGTATCTTGACTGCCAACCAAAAACCATGCTATCATAGGATATGTATGGATATAATATACCTGAAACAAGTGCTAACTGCACTTCTGTTTTCTATGAGCTGTAAGTCTTTATTTGACAACTATGATGTTGCAAGAAAACTTACTTATTGATGTGTTGATTGGTGAGTTTGGCCTTGTGCTTTATAGATGAGAGAGTGATTCCATCATTTTCTTTAATTTTGACTTCTTGTGGTGCTTGAGACTCTTTGAGCTCATTGACCTCCCCCACTGAATATGTCATTGAGATTGAGCACACCACAGGAATTTCCTGAATGCACGAGACACACTGTATTGGTCTGTCATCTAAACCAATGCTTGATGACCTATGGTAAAAGAAAATTTAAGAAGTGACCATTTATGTGTGCTGATGTGACTCACTATCCTATGCTCAGCGATGGCCAGCTTGACAATTTTTAATTGATCAGGGGTAAGGTCTCCTTCAACAGGGACACTATTGTGGTATAGACATGTACACTTGGGCCATTGATAGAAGAAACTGCAGAAGGTATCAGCCCAAACATTCACAAACATTTTCAGATGCTGAGCTCTGATAAACTCAGGTAGTAAAGCTTTGAGAAACACATCCTCTTCCACTGTTGTCCAAGGCTTTGGACCACAACAAGCCATGGTATAGTTGAGGGTAAGAAAGTGTTAAAGAAGATATAAAAACTTGTTTGATATTTAATATGCAGATTAAGGCCCATCCAGACCATCAGACAGGTGTGAGTACAGCTGCAGGTGATCCCCATCCCACTAACACAATTCAGTAGCATCTTATGTTTCATATAAACCAATTTTTTTCACAATATGTTATTAATTTTGCTCCTACATACATACATATATATGTTTGAGGGGGTATCCCAACCCATGCAACTTCACTGTCATATCCCATATGCCAGACATAGATCCCATCATATTCCCACGCTTTCCAGACCTATTTTCAGACCCCACCTCTGGCTCATTCCCAGATCCTCTTCCACTGTGTACTCCATATCTAAGCAGGATTAGATCTGCTATGGAATTACCCCTGACCTCCAGATCCCCACTACTAGCCTGATCCATACACCCCTATCTTGTCCACCATATGCACATTCCATCCAGCAAGACATCCGGACTTTACCTCCTCTTAGATTCTGGACTACATCCACCACCTCACATATCTCAGTCCCGTTTCCGCCCTGCCTTCTGGATCCCCAGATCTCCAGATATTAACTGTTACTATCTCCAGACCTATTCCTACCCTCCATTTGAGATCCTGCACCTATCCCCATTTAGGCATCTCCACCTTTCCAGTTCTTGGTTATCTCTATTTCTGTCTTGCTGATTGATCCTTGTACTAGTTTCATCTCTGAGTTCATTTACATATGTTCCATCTTACTTACCAATGTGTTTCCACATGCTCATACATAGCTTTACTCTGTTGCTTACTGATCCTCTCGAATATCCTCTAGTATATAACCCCTGTACAACTCCTGTAGAGTCCTCAGTCTGAATAGCATCTTAGATCCTGTTCTACTTGCCCAATCCTCTCTCAGACTTTGGTCCACCTAAGTCTGTCCTATCCATCAGGCCCAGGGATTGATTCCCTAGGCCAGAGCTTTGCCTTTCCAGCACTTACCCTCTTTCCAGACCTAGGTCCAATCCCTGTCCCTCTGACTCTACCTTAGGGTAGTCTACCTCTGTTTGTTTCTATATCAGACAAAGTCTGATGTAGCCCCTATTCCTTCCATACCTTTGGATGCCCTATCCTCCTGTCCTTCAGACACCCTGCCCTCCATACCTTTGGACATCCTATCCTCCTGTCCCCCTGTCCTCCTGTCCTCTGGACCTTTGGACCTTCTATCTGTCATATCCCACAATCCAGACCCACGTTCCATCATATTCCCACGCCTTCTGAGCCTATGTCCGGACCACACTTCATATCCAACTCATTCCCAGATCCCCTTCCGCTGTGTGCTCCACACCTCAGCAGGATCGACTATGCTCTGGATTTACCCCTGAGCTCCAGACCATCGGATCTCCACTGCTAGCCTGAACCATAACCCCCTGTCCCATCCACCCTATGTACACTCCATCCAGCAAGACATTCAGACTTCACCTTGTCTCAGATTCTGGACTCTATCCACCTTCTCATATCCCAGTCCTGTATCCACCTTGTCTTCCGGATCCCCAGATCTCTGGACCTCCAGATATTAACTCTGGACCTATCCCCACCCTCTGTCCGATATCCTGCGCCTATCCCCATTTAGGCATTCTCTGCCTTCTGGCTTTCAGTTACCTCTTGTTCCATCTTGCTTATTGATCCTTGTATGAGTCCTCATCTCCGAGTTCATTTACTTATGTTCCATCTTACTTACTAATGTGTTTCCACATGCTCGTACATAGCCTTGCTCCTTTGCTTACTGATCCCCTCAGATATTGTTCAGTATATAACCCCTGTAGATACTCCTGTAGTTCCTCAGTTTGAATATCAACTTAGACTTGCACAATCCTCTCTTGGACTTTGGTCCACCTAAGTCTGTCCTACCCATCAGGCCTAGGGATTGATTCCCTAGGCCGGAGCTCTGCCTTTCTGGCACTTTCCCTCTTTCCAGACCTTGGTCCACTTCCTGTCTCTCCGACTCTACCTTCGGGTAGTCTACCTCTGTTTGCTTCTACATCGGACTTCATCTGATGTAGCCCCTATTCCTTCCGGACCTCCGGACCTCCTGTCTCTCGTACCTCTGGGCATCCTGTCCTTCGGACATTCCGCCCTCCATACCTTCAGACGTTCCATCCTCCTAACCCTTGGACATCCTGTCCTTCTGTCCTCCATCATCCTGCCCTCCTGTCCTCCTGTCCTTCTGTCCTCCATCATCCTGTCCTCCTGTCCTCCTATCCTCCAGACCCTCGGACCTCCTATCCTTCCATCCTGTTTCCTGTAGAAGTATTACCTTGCAGTGGGAACTCTCCTGAGCACTTCCTGCATTCCTCCGGAACTCTCCCACGCTCCTCCGGACGTTTCCCACGCTCCTCCGGAAGTCCTCTAGCACTCTCCAGCAGAATAGCCAGCCTCCAGAAGTCCTCTGGACTTTGTTGGACCATCATTGGACCTCATATGAAATGAAGGGCACATACAGTGGCTCAAAAAACTGTCTGCATGTTTTGACATTTTTCACTATCTATGATATTGTGTGAGAAGGAACAAATGCCTCAAGGACATGCTCATACCACATTGTAGTATGGCTTCAGGGCTTTCATTTGAGCCCTACACCGTGGGAATCGGTGGAGATATGGTGGAGACATAAGGCTTACAAAATCATGACTCATGTGGACAGTTTTTTGAGCGCATATTAAAACTATATAAATCATCATTTATGACACCATAACAATCATGCCACCATTAAATAAATTATAAAGTGGTGTCATTATGTCATTTTAAAACCATATCTAACTATACAAACCAAAAATTTCCATATGTCATGGTTATATTCACCATGAAAGCCACCCCCCCTGCTCAAAGGGATAATATCCTCTCTCTTTCCTATTCTGGCCTCTCTGCTTGTCAAATTTCCTCTAGAACTGGAGCATCCAAGTCCACTGTGGCCAAGTTCATCAAAGAAAGTCACACAGACAAGGAAAACTTCTGTGAAGGGCATCCATCCAAGCTCACCTCTACTGATAGGAGGGCTAGTATCCAACATATCACTACAGGAAAGGCTGATAATGCTGTCCAGGTCACCTATTACATCAATTCCACCATCACATTCCCTGTCTCTTCACACACTGTGAGAAACATTCTCAAGACAGCTCATCTCAGGTCAGTAACAAGGAAGAAAAGGCTGTCCTCTCTATCACACATATGCAGAGAGGACTAGCACCCTTCTTTTTTCACATATATACCTTGCCATCTGACCCAATCCTATTTATTGTGGTCTTATATGATCATATAACATGCTTCCAGTCCATGTAATCCAATTCTGATGGGCTAAAGCAAAGGTTAGTCATCTCTGTTTATGTGTGATAGAGAGGACAGCCTTTTCTTCCTTGTTACTGACCTGAGATGAGCTGTCTTGAGAATGTTTCTCACAGTGTGTGAAGAGACAGGGAATGTGATGGTGGAATTGATGTAATAGGTGACCTGGACAGCATTATCAGCCTTTCCTGTAGTGATATGTTGGATACTAGCCCTCCTATCAGTAGAGGTGAGCTTGGATGGATGCCCTTCACAGAAGTTTTCCTTGTCTGTGTGACTTTCTTTGATGAACTTGGCCACAGTGGACTTGGATGCTCCAGTTCTAGAGGAAATTTGACAAGCAGAGAGGCCAGAATAGGAAAGAGAGAGGATATTATCCCTTTGAGCAGGGGGGGTGGCTTTCATGGTGAATATAACCATGACATATGGAAATTTTTGGTTTGTATAGTTAGATATGGTTTTAAAATGACATAATGACACCACTTTATAATTTATTTAATGGTGGCATGATTGTTATGGTGTCATAAATGATGATTTATATAGTTTTAATATGCGCTCAAAAAACTGTCCACATGAGTCATGATTTTGTAAGCCTTATGTCTCCACCATATCTCCACCGATTCCCACGGTGTAGGGCTCAAATGAAAGCCCTGAAGCCATACTACAATGTGGTATGAGCATGTCCTTGAGGCATTTGTTCCTTCTCACACAATATCATAGATAGTGAAAAATGTCAAAACATGCAGACAGTTTTTTGAGCCACTGTATGCTGTAAGCTTGAAAGGACAATCTAGTTTGATATTTTTCTTATCTGGCATGAATTTTTTATGATCCTAATGATAGTAACCCTGCTTAGACCAGTTTTGGTAGCAATCTGCCTGGTATACAGATTAGAAGAGCTAAGGATAATAATAGGGGCTGTTTCAGCTGTGGGAGAGAGTTGCAGCAGAGAGGGGCAAGATTGTTGATGAGGAATGCCTCAAATTGATAGATAGTATGCATAGAAGAGTGGTGGAAGTAATTAGAGCAACATGAGGAAGCACCAAGTACTAGAATTATAGAGATTGTATTGGCCAAACTGAAAGTCAAAAAAGTGTCTCAATGAGTCACCAAATTAAATTAACCATATCTTCACTTGATGACATAATATTCCCACGCTGTAGGGATCAAACATGAAGCTTAGAAGCAGAGCGCTCCCACACCTCCCTATGGCTTAGTCATATTCTCATGCCCTGGCTCATAATACAGCAATTATATGAAAAGTCACAAACATTGAGAAATTTTTTTGAGCCACTGTGTGTACAAAGGGAAAGGCACTGGACTGTGCTCTTCAGTTGATGGGCAAGTCTGAAAGGAGAAATGAGGCATGTGTGGAAGACTGGGAAATGATTTAACTCATGGTGAGGTTAGCATCCACATAAGCACACAAGGGCAGATGTCTCTTAGGACTGGGAGGAAGGAAATCATCTGGTATGTCTGTGTATGCTTTGTGTTTTGAACACTCTTTGAGGATTGTGTGTGGTAGATCTGCAGTCACAGAGGGGACCTATAAATAGAGGAGAATGAGGCAGGTGTGGAGCAGCAGAGAATAATTTAACTTACAGTAAGGTCAGCAATTGCATATGAACAGGAGAGAGTACACCTTTGTGTGGTCTCCATAGCTAGAGGATGATGGGAAATGACACAGAATTATGCAAAGTATTTATTGTGAGTTGCAAGCAGACAGTTGCCCACTCACTGGCTAAGCAATAGGCATACCCACTTGCAGACTGCAATGAACTAAACAAAAATAAATGAGCAAATGGATGCAGTATATTGTGAAGGCAATGATTAACAATGATATCATGGGCCAACTCACCTGTCCAAAGTCCTATCCTAGTGAGTGAAATGAAATTGATCCACTTTTGGAAGGCAACCAGCATTGTGTGACATAAACTGCTATGGGAAATGAATCAGGGTTGTCTTGTCCATCAGCCCAATGGATTGCTTTATCATGGAGAATGACTTTCTTGGGATGCAAGTAATGGAGATGAAATCCTCAAGAATTCCAGGGAATTAGCATCTGTAGGCTAGACATTCTGTGAAGGTTGAATATCAATGATATTGCATTTCAGGGCTTACATGGCATTCCACTTACTTTGAACAGCCTGTTGCATTGGCAGGGGATACATTAACATCGACAGATACTAGTATACTGGCATTTGAATCAGGTTGTTAAAAAGACCTATGTGACTCTGCCTTCATTTCAAGGTAGCAGGGAAAGTACTGATAATCATTGTACGTATTGCTTATGCAAAACTCAGTTAGACAAACTTGTTGAGCAAGTAAATATAAGCTCACTCACTCTTGTGATCAGTAGGACATGCACTATTTATATGAGTTGTTAGTTTGTTCCAGTGTCAAAGTGACTACCTTGTTGTTAATGTTATTATCATACAAAATGAATGACTACTATGCAAAGTTAATAACTACACAGACGGATCTTTTTTTTTCATGGAGCAAGTACTAGTACCAAGACAATAGCAATGACATTGACATTGACATTGACAACTATAACTACTATGCAAAGTTACCAGCTAAATTTAATGTTGGGAAATAAAATGATGATAGCAAGAGAAAAGAACCTGCAACAAGGTTTCAAGGCCTAAGTAGTGAGTGGGAGAATTGAAATCTGCCAGGAGTGCCCTAACCAGCTGAGCAGGTTCTGGGTCTGAGCATTTGAGTGGCTACCAGATAATTCTGTTGGAGTTTTGACTGTCTGAAATTCACTACTTAGATCCTGAAGCATGGTTTTATCATTTTCCTTTCCCTATCATATTGTATATGCAATGTCATAACAGGATCCTAATATAGATTAGTGGATTGTATACTGTAGCAGTTCTAGTCTCTATTGCAAAATGCTGCTGCCTGTCATATCCCACAATCCGGACCCACATTCCATCATATTCCCACACCTTCTGAGTCTATGTCCAGACCCCACTTCATATCCAACTCATTCTTAGATCCTCTTCTGCTATGTGCTTCACACCTCAGCAGGATCGACTCTGCTCTGGATTTACCCCTGAGCTCTGGACCTCTGGATCCTTGCTGCTAGCCTGATCTGTACCACCCTATGCACACTCCATCCAGCAAGACATATGGACTTCACTTTGTCTCAGATTCAGGACTATATCCACCTTATCATATCCCAGTCCTGTATCTACCTCACCTTCCAGATCCTCAGATCTCTGGACCTCTGGATATTAACCATAACTATCTCCAGATGTATTCCCACCCTCTGTTCGATATCCTGTGCCTATCCCCATTTAGACATCTCTGCCTTTCTGGCTCTCAGTTACTTCTTGTTCCATCTTGCTGATTGATCCTTGTATGAGTCTTCATCTCCAAGTTCATTTAGTTATGTTCTGTCTTACTTACTAATATGTTTCCACATGCTCATACATAGCCCTACTCCTTTGCTGACTGATCCCCTCAGACATTCTCCAGTATATAACCCCTGTAAATACTCCTGTAGTTTCCTCAGTTTCAATATCAACTTAGACTTGCCCAATCATCTCTTGGACTTTGGTCTTCCTAAGTTCTATCCTATCCATCAGGCCTAGGGATTGATTCCCTAGGCCAAAGCTTTGCCTTTCCAGCACTTACTTTCTTTCTGGACTTAGGTCCAATCCCTGTCTCTCTGACTCTATCTTAGGGTAGTCTACCTCTGTTTGTTTCTATATCAGACTCTATCCAATGTAGCCCCTATTCCTTCTGGACCTTCAGGTGTCCTGTCCTTTGAACCTCCTGCCCTCTATACCTTTGGATATCCTGTTTTTTTATTCCTCTAGACATCCTGTCCTCCTGTCCTCCTATCCTTCCATCCTATTTCCTGGAGAAATATTACTTTGCAGTGGGAACTCTCCTGAGCACTTCCTGCATTCCTCTCAAACTCTCTCATGCTTCTCTGGACATTTCCCACACTCCTCCAGAAGTCCTCTAGACTTCATCAGACCATCATCAGACCTCATCTGAAATGAAGAGCACATACTCAGGTGAGGGGCATAGTGTACAAGCTGAGGCTAAGCCCCTCAGAATCAGTCCCTCTCTCCACTTTGAGCAAACTGGTTCTTAACACTGCTAGGTCATGAAAAGACCTAAGGTCTATTGTGTGCATGCTGTTGAGTAAGTCACTCCATTCAGTCATGGGTCATGCAGACTGATATTGATTGCTCCTTGCCCCAAAGTATTTGTGAGTGCCTCAGGCATCACATACCCTGCCTCCATCACTGATGAGGCTCATGTAGCTGATCATAGGTCACACACACTGAAGTTAATGCAGTCACCTGCAGGGATCTTGCAGGACGATAAGGTGGTTCTCATGCATGTGTTCATGACAAATGTAGCAGCATGTGACACATTCTTAGACATTGATGATCCTGAGCTATGTGAGGCATTTTTAGAGTCTGATTATCTGTGCCAAACAAGAGAACCCTACCATGTAGCTCCTACTTTTCCTGCTCATTTTTTTGTTTGTAGGCTTAGTTGTAGCTCTAGCCTTGTACTTCTTTCTATTATACAAGTAGCTTTGATGCTCACATAAAACTTTCAATTATAGCTACAAAACATAGATCTATTCTGCAGTAGTGTCATTGTCAAACTCACACCCATCATAAAGATCATCTTCAGCTTTATCTTCCTTATCAAGATCAGAATCTAGCTCTTTGACATCTCACATAAGTAAGCCTCATAATCCTCCCACATGTGTGCTGCAATGCAATCATAGCATGCATTAGCAGCTTGGACATATGGTCCACTCTCAGCTGCTACAGGATTTCCTTGATGGCTTGGATTGTCTTCAACAATACTCATCAATGGTAAAGGATCCTTGGATGGGTCATGAAGCCATATAAAATTATGTAGGGTGCATAGTGCCACAGGAATCTGAGCTTGAATTTCAATCTTGTATTCCAGGGATAAGAGGAGAATGTGAAAGCATTGTTTTAAGACACTGAAACTTTGTTCAATGACATTTCATGCTGAGGCATGACAAAGATTGAAGAGTTCTTCTTTATTAACTGGTCTGAAAAAATATAATATTGGTTTGATTCAAAAAAACATGAGTGAAACAACTACCTCACACTGGCACAACCCCATTGAGTGAGGTGGTATCGAACACTGTGATAAGGAGTCAAGAGCTCTTCACAGGACAGACATCCTGCATCCACAAGAAGATATTTACAGGGAGGAAATTTCAAGCCACCTTCAAGTGCTTGATCCCAAAGCCATGCATCAGTTGCAGAGCCTTCCCACCCAGTCAATGCATATGTAAACATCAGATCAAAATCACATGCAAAAAGGTAATTTTGGGAGAGAAATTCTTTGCAGTTGTGATAAATGTGGTACTTAGCTGAAGGAGGGAACATGTGGATATGACTACCATTGACTGCTCCTATAGCATCCTTAAAATACAGCCAGCATTTTGGATTGATGCGTATTTTGGTAGGGATTGGATCACCATCAGCAGGAAAACATATGTATTTATTATAAAATGGTCAAGATGTGAATATGTCAAGCATCTTGCAAAAATAGCTATAAAGGCATCAGAACTAACATTTTTTGCTAATACAAACTAATCATACCAAGAAATTGTGTTATTTAAGTGCTGAAAGCATTCACCAACATGGCAAATTGTTAACCCTGTAATACAGGAGTAGAGGAATATTGCAAGTTGCTCTTCAAGTGAGATGTATCATGAATCTGTATGACCAAGGGAATGGAGCTCATTGATCAGATTCTCAAACACATGAACATGCATCCTGAGCTTGCAGTGGATGCATTTTGGATGACCAACAATGAGCTCTATGACCCATTCATGGCCTGATAGTGCAGATGTGTGATATGGCTCAGGGACTCTGGGAATTTGTGTTGCCTGTAGAACCACCTGTGGTAGTAGCAACAAGAATGCTAATAAGAAGTACCATGTAATGAAACATCCACTTGTAGACTGTCAGGTGTGCCAGATGCTGGCCCTGAGTTAGCTGAATGTGGTAAGCAGCAAGGAGATGTTGATGTGGAATCAAGGGGTGAGGAAACAAAGGACCAAGGAGGTGCTGATGAAGGGGCTGAACAGGCCCATCCATGACACTAATTAATTGGTAATGTTCAAGTTGGGATCAAGTCATCAAACTATAGTGTATACTACTGGGTGTTGATGATCTTGCTGATCATGTTCAAGCTCCACTTACATGCCAATGTGCAGGCACCACATACCAAAACTCATATTTTGCAAATTTTGCTTATATGACAGTTACTGAACAAGGCTGAAGGTGATGTGGAAGTATTGTAATCTCAATTTGTTGCATTATTATGGTGAGACCACCCATGCATAAACTGTTGGTACACAAGCACCTTTTCAATGTTTGGACTTTTGACTTTCCCATGACCTTTTTCTTATCTATTGGATTCCCCTGCTGTCAATTATTCATGGATCCTTCTAGTAGTTGAGGATTGTATTGGGCAGTATATATAGTATACCCTTTGATAGTCTGATTATAATATTTCACTATATTCATGTCTGAGAATTCTTATCAGTGAGAATAAGAGATATGTGCTTGATATCATTACTCTGACACATTTCTACCTGATCATGGCCATGGGAAGGCTTTATATATGTGCCATAAGGTATATATGAACAGATTGTGTAGTCTATCAAATAATAATGTACTGAAAAACCTCAGAAATGCGAAAATATGGTACAGTGTAGGCAGGAGGAGACTTTGGTTTGTAGACAAGGATTCTGATATTGTCCTGGTATATCTATATAATCAATATATTATATATATGCATAGTAACAGCCCACCTCCCATCCTGGAGGGCTGGAGCTGCAGGAAAAAAATTCTCAGGGGGTGAACCACCAGGAGGATATAAATATATACAACCCCAGGGGCTGACCCTATGGACCTATGCTCCTCATGTATGGTGTATACTAATGAAGAGATGTTAGAAATTATATTTTGAAGCCTATAAACTTAAACACTCAAAAATGCGAAACACTTCTTTCAGTGTGTCCTGTTATGGCGAACTGTAGGTCGACTAGGATGGGTGTGATGATAGGTACTCGATAAGAGTACGCCTAAAGCCGGATTGTGTCCTCACAAATGTAAGGTTCTTAAGACAAGTCAAAGAGAGTGTCTTTGGCTTGAATATCGATATCAGACGACTTAGGATTGGGGGTCCTAAGCGAAGGATAATGCAGGTAAAACCTAGTAAATTAAAGTGAAGTTTATCTAGGTACATGACTGGGTTTATATAGACGTAGGTATGTTTAGGGCAGGTACACATATGTCATCAGTCGAGTCAGAGATAAGAAACATGAGTCAGCTGGTGACGTCATGGGTGAGTCAGAGGTAAGAGATATGAGTCAGCTAGTGACGTCATGGGTGAGTCAGAGGTAAGAGATATGAGTCAGCTAGTGACGGCGTATGGCGATCATGCTGTAATACAGATATAGAAGGACGTTAGCCTAGTGATGGCACAGTCAAGTGCGGTCATGATGTAATACACGAGTGAAGATAAGAGAAAAGAGATAGGGGGTAACCATAACTGTAACATGTCCTTGAGGAAGACAAGGTTACAGTACTATAAGGAATGGTCCTATTTCCTGAGCTTCTAACATGTGGTACATACATACAACATCATTGTAGGGAGCTGTTAAGAACCATGCTCAAAGGAGAGAGAGACTGACTCAGAGGGGCTTGGCCTCAGCTCGTACGCTGTGCCCCTTACCCAAGTATGTGCCCTTCATTTCAGAGGAAGTCTGATGATGGTCCAATGAAGTCCGGAGGACTTCTGGAGGCTGGCTACTCTGGTGGAGAGTGCAGGAGGACTTCCGGAGGAGCGCGGGAAATGTCCGGAGGAGCATGGGAGAGTTCCGGAGGGATGCAGGAAATGCTCAGGAGAGTTCCTGCTGCAAGGTAATACTTCTACAGGAAAACAGGATGGACAGATAGGAGGTCCAGAGGACAGGATGTCTGGAGGTCTGGAGTATGGAGGACAGGATGTCTGGAGGTCCAGAGTACAGAGGACAGGAGGTCCGGAAGTATGGAAGATGGAATGTCCGAAGGTATGGAGGGCGGAACGTCCAAAGGTATGGAGGGTGGAACGTCCAAAGGTATGGAGGGCGGAACATCCAAAGGACAGGATGCCCGGAGGTATGAGGGACAGGGTGTCCAGAGGTACAGAAGACAGGAGGTCCGGAGGTCCGGAAGGAATAGGGGCTACATCGGATGAAGTCCGATGTAGAAGCAAACAGAGGTAGACTACCCTAAGGTAGAGTCGGAGGGACAGGAAGTGGACCTAAGTCCAGAAAGAGGGTAAGTGCCAGAAAGGCAAGACTCTAGCCTAGGGAAGCAATCCCTAGACTTGGGACAGAGACATAGGGGACAAATCCGAAGGTCTGGAATTCCGGCCTAGGGAACCCATCCCTAGGCCTTACAGAAAAGGACAAACTCAGATGGACTGAAGTCCAGAAGAAGACTGGGCAAGTCTAAGGTGATATTCAAACTGGGGAACTACAGGAGTATCTACAGGGGTTATATACTGAACAATATCTGAGGGGATCAGTAAGCAAAGGAGCAAGGCTATGTATGAGCATGTGGAAACACATTAGTAAGTAAGATGGAACATAAGTAAATGAACTCGGAGATGAGGACTCATACAAGGATCAATAAGCAAGATGGAACAAGAGGTAACTGAAAGCCGGAAAGGTAGAGATGCCTAAATGGGGATAGGCACAGGATATCGGACAGAGGGTGGGGATAGGTCCAGAGTTAATATCTGGAGGTCCGGAGATCTGGGGATCCAGAAGACAAGGTGGATACAGGACTGGAATACAAAAAGGTGGATATAGTCTGGAATCCGAGATGAGGTGAAGTCTGGATGTCTTGCTGGATGGAGTGTGCATAGGGTGGACAGGATAGGGTTGTACGGATCAGGCTAGCAGTGAGGATCCGGAGGTCCAGAGCTCAGGGGTAAATCAGGAGTGTAGTCAATCCTGCTGAGGTGTGGAGCACAGTGGGAGGGGATCTGGGAATGAGCTGGATATGAAGTGGGGTCCAGATGTAGGCTCGGAAGGCGTGGGAATATGATGGAACATGGGTCCGGATTGTGGGATATGACAAGAGGTCACTGTTTGCAATGTCTATCTATCCTTGGTTTTCCCATTCCAGTAAGTATTTTGTGAGGCTGTCAATGATGTATCTTGAGTTTGTGATTATTAGCACAGGGGTCATAGGACTAATCAGTTGTATTCCTATCAAGACTGCAGCTATTTCTCCTGCCTGGTTTGGCTGATTTGGGTTGTATCCTTTCAGTTTTTCTGAGTTTCCTAATGTGTATGCCAGGGGTTCTATGGCCAGGTCAAAAAGTAGGCAGGAGAGGGGGTCACCTTGGCATACTCCTCTCTTTACCTGGAATGAGTCACTGAGGCAGCCATTGATGGTCACTTTAGTATAGGCATTTTTGCATAGCACTTGTATTGTTTTAGTGAATCTGTTAGGAAGTCCAAAATTCTGTATGGATTCATTTAGGTAGTCATGTCTGATTTTATCATTTGCCTTCTCTTGGTCTAGGGCTACAATTATCCCATCTTCTTCCATCATGTCAGCATACACTATCATTATTTGGGTTAATCTTATTGGGTCAAAGATTGATCTCTTTGGTATAAAACTGCTTTGGTCTGGGTGAACTAAGGTATGAATCTCTTTCACAAGTAGCATAGCTAAACATTCAGTGAGAATTTTATAGTCCATGTTGAGTAGCTTGATAAGGTAGTAGTTTTTTATTTCCACAGTCTTTCTTTTTGTACAAGGGGCACATCCAGCCCAAGGCAAAGTTTCTTTCTTTCTCTATCCCATGATCCTGAATGTTGTTGAATACAGAAGTTAAGACTTTGATGATGTCAAAACTTGGTTTGTCAGCTGCTGTATTCTCTTTATGTTTTTCATATAGTGTTTTACAGGCTTTGTAGGGGATACCATTGATACCTGGTGCACTGCTAGCTTTCAATTTAATCATCTTAATTTGTGTGAAAAAAGTGTTAGTACTGGATGGTTCAAAGTGTAATATAAATCCCACATATATTTTTAAATACACATGTCCATACAAGTGATTGTCTGATTTATATTCAGACTTTCATAACTCTTTGCCTTGAAACAAGGTTGAAGATGCATTATATATTTAAGATGCATGATGTGTGCACTCTTGTGGAAGTCCAGCAAATCTTGCTCCAAGTTCAATTTCACCAGGAACCAGTTTAGTGAGGTCTATGCATTCCATGTGAACTTTCTTAGCAAAATGGAGGAGAACATGCCAAGCAAGTTCCACAAGTTGATGGCCAACATTTTTGAGGCTGTCCAGTAAGTTCATTATGCTCTGAATATGCTGTGTTGACTAATTTATCTCAAAAGGAAACTCTGCTCTAATGGTGCTGCTGCAGCATTACATGGAGATGTGATGACTTTCCTTGACCTTGATGGCATGGACAATGACAAGTAGCTTTGGATGTCCTAGTTGTGGTCTCACTTTACATGCTGCTTATTGGTTTCACTATAAATATGCTCCATCCTCTCTCATTTATTGGTTGCTATAATTATGCACAACCTATGTTTGCATACCCTCATTTAATCAAACTCTATTTTGTTCTTGTAAACAACTTGAATGCCTGCATGAACATTCAAACTGATAGTCAAGCACTCTTGGTTGTAAGTTTGCTTCAAGTTGAACATAATTATCACTAATTATCACTAATTTAGCATGCATAAAAGAATGCTCATGGGGCAGTAACAAAGTCTCTCTAAACCACTAAGTTGTCTATTTTATTGAAATTATCATAAATTAGAGAAGGTTTGACATACTTAGTCTAAATTTGCAGCAGAGTGTTTTCCTGATGTATGTTAAATTCATACATATCTCTCAAAAAACATAAATCAGTTCGCATTTTTCAAGTATTTGACATATGGTCAAGCAGATATGCTCCTGTCATATCCCACAATCCGGACCCATGTTCCATCATATTCCCACGCCTTCCGAGCCTACATCTGGACCCCACTTCATATCCAGCTCATTCCCAGATCCCCTCCCACTGTGCTCCACACCTCAGCAGGATTGACTACACTCCTGATTTACCCCTGAGCTCTGGACCTCCGGATCCTCACTGCTAGCCTGATCCGTACAACCCTATCCTGTCCACCCTATGCACACTCCATCCAGCAAGACATCCAGACTTCACCTCATCTCGGATTCCAGACTATATCCACCTTTTTGTATTCCAGTCCTGTATCCACCTTGTCTTCCAGATCCCCAGATCTCCAGACCTCTGGATATTAATGCTGGACCTATTCCCACCCTCTGTCTGATATCCTGTGCCTATCCCCATTTAGGCATTCTCTGCCTTCCGGCTTTCGGTTACCTCTTGTTCCATCTTGCTTATTGATCCTTGTACGAGTCCTCATCTCCAAGTTCATTTACTTATGTTCCGACTTACTTACTAATGTGTTTCCACATGCTCATACATAGCCTTGCTCCTTTGCTTACTGATCCCCTCAGATATTGTTCAGTATATAACCCCTGTAGATACTCCTGTAGTTCCCTAGTCTGAATATCAACTTAGACTTGCCCAATCCTCTCTCAGACTTTGGTCCACCTAAGTCTGTCCTACCCATCAGGCCTAGGGGTTGATTCCCTAGGCCAGAGCTCCGCCTTTCCAGCACTTTCCCTCTTTCCAGACTTAGGTCCAATCCCTGTCTCTCCAACTCTACCTTAGGGTAGTCTACCTCTGTTTGTTTCTACATTGGACTTCGTCTGCTGTAGCCCCTATTCCTTCCAGACCTCCTGTCCCTCGTACCTCCAGGCATCCTGTTCCTTCAGATGTTCCGCCCTCCGTACCTTCAGATGTTCTGCCCTCTGTACCTTCAGACATCCTGTCCTCCTGTCCTCCTGTCCTCCTGTCCTCCTGTCCTCCTGTCCTCCTGTCCTCCTGTCCTCCTGTCCTCCTGTCCTCCTGTCCTCCTGTCCTCCTGTCCTCCTGTCCTCCTGTCCTCCTGCCCTCCAGTCCTCCAGTCCTCCAGTCCTCCTGTCCTCCTGCCCTCCAGTCCTCCAGTCCTCCTGTCCTCCTGTCCTCCTGCCCTCCAGTCCTCCAGTCCTTCATCCTGTTTCCTGTAGAAGTATTACCTTGCAGTGGGAACTCTCCTGAGCACTTCCTGCGTTCCTCCGGAACTCTCCCACGCTCCTCCTGAAGTCCTCTAGTGCTCTCCAGCAGAGTAGCCAGCCTCTGGAAGTCCTCCGGACTTCCTCAGACCATCATCAGACCTCATATGAAATGAAGGGCACATACTCGGGTAAGGGGCACAGCGTACGAGCTGAGGCCAAGCCCCTCTGAGTCAGTCTCTCTCTCCCTTGAGCAACATGGTTCTTAACACCTCTTCCAAGCAACAGCCTACAACCTGAGGACCAGATGAGCTCCAATAACCTTCAGATGGGTGAAAGGTCACAATAGAAATAAAGGAAATGAAGAAGCTGACAGACTTGCAGGTATGGGAGTGAAGTGAAACATTAGCAACCCATTAGACACATCCATCCATCCAAGCTTTGATATACAAGGTGCAAGACTCACCCACATAGACCAAGCCCTAGCCTACAGGGAAATAGTGTCCTCTTCCCCCAAGCCAGTGTGATGATCATATTCCCACTAGGTGGCTATCTTTTGATAGATTTTGATATTTAAAAATATCGGCAACAAAACTATTGCAATGCATACCATGTAGTAAATTGCTTATATCCTTTTAAGAAAATATTTCCACATCTCCAATGTAGTACAACTGTTATAGCCTGGATATAGGGCTACAATATTGATCTCATTCACATTTTCATAGCTGCTATCTCTGTGATGATATAGCCAAAGTAATCAATCTCACACAAACATTACAACAGTTTTGTTGTATACTGTAGGTAATGGAAAGGTAGCCCTCATATCATTCAAAGGTGCCATCACAAAAAAATAGATACATCATGATTCCATGACTACTAGTAGTTGCTATTGCTTTTTCCTGAGTTAAATTTTGTTGATATACTCAGTAGTTATTTCAGAGTCCTTTGCAAATGAGGACAACTGTGACATGGTACTACAAATTCAAGTCTTGAATACATGAAAAAGAAGAATGGTGAGCTCACAAGGATACAGAAAAAAAGAGCTGACAGAGGGACACTGTACTAGCTAGAAGCTGTTAAGGTCATGTGCTCAAGGGAGTCAGATCACAAGGGCTTGGCCTCAGCTCATACACTGTGCCTCTTTCCCAAGTATGTGCCCTTAATTTCCAGGGGTTAGAATAGTCATCTGGAGTTTCTGGGATTTGACTAGGGTGGATAACAGACGTCTGGATCTGAAACATGAGATAAATCCGATGGACATCCAGATGTTACTTGGACAAGCAGATAAGGCTAATCTGGATGAAGTCTGGACTAGAAACTAACAGGGGATAGACTACCCTAAGGTAGAGCCAGAGATGTAGTCTAGGATACAATCCTAAGACTCACAATATGACAAGAGACTTGGCTTGAGTCTGGAGGACACAGGAATGAGCAGGAACTAAGATAATATTCAAACTGAAGTATTTCCGAGAGTTACAGGAGGTCTATATACTGTAGGTATCATATAGGAATCAGTCAGCAAACACAAAGGCTATGTACAAAGCATATGCAAAGTCTGTTAGTAAGTAAGACAGATCACCAATAATGCATATTGGAAATGAAATGGATGTAATGGATCAATAATCAGAAGGAAAACATAGTTAACTGGAGTCCAGAGACAGGGGAAGTCTAGATGGGGTTGGGCGCTGATATAGGGTTTGGATTCTGGAAGGAAGATAAAGATAGATCAGATCATTGGAGATCCAGATCTCAGATCCGGATATCCAGAGAAGTGGATTTAGAGTTGAGGGTCTGGAGTGGCATATGACAGAAGCAGGCAGAAGAAAAAAGTGAGCTCATATTATCATCCTCACTGCAAGTGGACTTACTAGTACACTTTGTCATGCTCCACTTCTAACACCCTTTTCCTGAAAAGCCAAGACCCAGATTTGACAATCTTAGAGGGTGCATTCAACATTTCAAACAATGAAGCCATCCACTGACTGTGAGCCAAAGGCCAGCTGATCCAACTTTTTGGTGAAAGCAACCACAACCAGCACCTGTGTTTGCATACTCTCAAACTCATTGAGGCATCAGCATAAACATAAATAATCCACATACCAATCATGTCATATTGTATTGCTACTCTGCCCAAACCCCTGCACCAAGGTATGAAATGGATTAGTTCAGCAAAAAAACAAGCACATACCAGCCTCAAATTATCTACCACACTTGTCCCATGTAACCAAAAATGAAACTAGAACCTCAGAGATGGTTCCTGTCATCCCCTTGACTAAAGGTGGAAAAGGGTTTTCCAGGGCATGCTAAGCACAACACTCTCCTTGAACCTCGAGGAAACTTTTCCAGCATGGCCCATACCAAGCCAGTTGGTCAGGTCTCAGCCAACTTTCAAATCCCTTGGATTTATTGGTTCTTAACAGACTCCCAGTGTTGACCAACTCCACCACTTGATTCAGCAGCTGCAGCAATTCAGGGTTAGGAAGGCAGGGCTGACCACTTTTATCATGATGGCACTTCAATATATTATTGGGGAAGTTCCAGGTAGTAGTCTACAAGAAAGAACCATGAGTTTGATCTAAAACAAATTTGCACCCTCACCTGAAGGCCCAATTGTTCCATCTGTACTCCTGGTAAGGTGCCTAGAGACTTAGAAGGCAAGAGACTGTAAGTATAATCTAAATGAGTAATGAAAGTCATACCTGGTTGGTGTTATTGAGATCTATCCAGGAAGTGTTATCATCTTCATTGTGTGAGTATTGGAATTTGAAATCTAGTGTGAGAGGGTGAGCAATTTGAGCCTGAGTAGGTAGTTCTTCAGCTGAAAATCCTATAAATATAAGACTCAGTCAGTGAAGGTACTTTGAACATAAAATTCTTACCTGGATGTTCTTTGTGCTGCCAACAAGCCTCCCTCCAACCAAACTGCTGTGATTCATTATTATCTCTTTCATCTCCATCTTCTTCATCTTTTGCATCATCAATGTTATCTATATCAGTAGCACTACTGCTGGATTCACTGTCCTCTGGGTTGGATCCTACCAGTCTTGCACAAAGTGTTTAGCTAATATCATCCTCCTTGCATAGGACTGGATCCAGGTTATGCTCTAACAAGGTAGCAGTAAGTGGACATTGGAAACTCCAAGCATAATCAATGAGAGTGTTCATATTGTGTTGTTTGGTAACTGTCATTCCCATAATGAGATATGAGTCATTAGAGGCTTGAGGACTAGGCTCCACACCAGGAGGAATAATAGGTATGGTGGTTGAAGCTACAAATCCAAACCTCCCACTGCTTTTCTGTGATGAAAAGCTGGGAACTAGAGTACTGACATTAAGGTTCATGGACTTAGGACTATATGGTGGAGGCTGCACCTAAATGCACAATCAGCACTATCTATAACAAAAGTTGTGTTATATCTTTGGATGACTCTTCCAGCCTTTATGAGGTAGTTCTGGAGCCTGAGGATTCATGGGGTCAAGTGTGCTAAGAGATGTAGCACCCCTAGGTTTCTGGTTCCAGGACCAAGACTCTAAAACTACCCCAATCTTCTCTAGCTGGGTGTTCCTACCCCCTATTCCTGCATTAGGATGGCTGGAATATTAAGGAGCAGTATCTGTAACATCAACTTTAGTGAGACTGAGAGACATGAGCAGCATGCTGGGAATTTTGGAGAGGTTTGTAGCATGATGCCTCCTTGGTAAAGTAGCCTTTGAAGTATCAGAAGCTTTGTGTTTGGACCTTTTCTTTCTAGGACTGGCTACTGTATAAGGAGACATGATGCAATACAGAGAGCAGCAAGACAAAAAACAAAATTGATCAGACTCACCATTATATACCCATCTTGGTAGAAAGATTCAAGCAGCCTTGAGAAAAATTATACTTCTTTGAGTGCTACTGTAAACATGTGGTGTATTTGCCTCAATTGTATGCAGGATGCATTGCTGATGGAGATAATGAAAGACCATGCCTTTGTTAGTGAGATAATGTTTGCACCTTTGAGTCAATGTGCAGTTGTACTGCTACATGGTTTATGAGTGGTGAGGCATGAAAGAAAGTTCAGATGTCATACAAATATTTGAGTCAACATATGATATAAGCAAAATGAGTCCATCAGATGCAAGACAAATAACATGTCAGTAGTAGTATGGGTGACAGATAGCAATGAAAGTTTTCTGGAAATATGTGATACATATCATGAGTCAATGTAAGAGATAGTACCACAATGTAGTGTTGTAGGCAGAAGTCTGCCATTCTGCCAATGACAATTGCCAGCAGTAGGTCAAGGGCCTTGGGTAGAAGTCAGCAGAAATCAATGTGAATCTTATTGGTACTACAAGTAAATAGCATATGATTGTTGTTCAAAAAAGTGTATATGAGCCTCTCTGCATACCAGAATGTTATCAAAAAAGTCCAAGGGCTGCCCCACTCAAAAAATCATCACCAACCACCTTGTCCAACAGCAAAAAGTCCCAAATTCATCCAATCATTATTTTTGCAAATGCAACTACTGTTGGACAAGCTGATACACTCAATTGATGGGAAACCCTCCCAGTCAATGCTGAGCACTGTCCATTGAAGGCATTCACAATCATAATCCACTTGATCACACCTCATGCTGCTGATGTCGAGCGTTATTTCTTGGGCCTGGGTAGGGTACAATCTGTGAAGTGCTGTAACCTATCAGTTCAGACTTTCAAGTCTCTTAGCAAACTCTGAACAAGCTATGCAAATTTCTTGCACGAGGTAGATCACAAAGCTGGTAAGCCAACATGTTGCAAACACACCCATATGCATACTCAACCAGAGTATAGACTTGACATAGCCTTAGCAAATGAACTTCAAAGGTCTTTTGCATGGGTGCCTCCACTCACTTGTGACTCTCACAACTTGGACAATGAATTTTTTGCAGGCACAGAGTCGATAACAGATGAAGGGCTGCTCAAAGAATTCAGCAGGTTCAAAAATGAGATGCTGGATTCATGCCATGGCTTGCAAGAACTTGAAGGCACTTGTGAAGTCCCAGATATTTTTAACAAAGGTGTTATTGATTAGAATGAGCTGGAAAAGGTTGATAAAGGAATTACACCTGCAGGATTTATTGAGGAAATTGATGTGGTTGGCCATGGGTTATATGGCATGGAAGCAGTCTGGAACATTGACACACTATTGTCATTGGAGGGTGTAGCACCTATGCAATAGCTTAGATCATTTTTGCTGCCATCTTGAACCACTCTAGAAACAGGCAAAAACATGCAAAACATTTCTGTCAATTGCTGTTCTGTCATTTTTTTTGGCAGAACTCACCCTAAAATATTTCTACCTCCAACACTACCACAATGACACATATTGATTAAAAAAAAATATTTGCTAGCCTGACTCAGATATCATCCAATTTCTTCCACTTTAGCATTCCTAGGCCCACAGGCTGCAAAGATATTGAAGCAGCATGTTTCAAGTTGGACATACTATTGAGAACAGTGGCAGACTTCTTCAGCATTGCTATAGTATACTCCAGCATTCTCTTTTGCAATAACTTTGAGTGTTGTCAACCTCACCCTCTGATATTGTGACAAGCTAATAATCTACCAGTTCTGGAATGCCAGGGATACTATGCATCAATTTTAGCATATTGGTCTCATTCAAGAAGATGTCATCCTGCTTGCTGAGAACCCAATGGTCCTTCACAATGTAGTCCTCTTTATTCAAACTGGCAAGATAGCAGATAGTCCCATAACCAACAAGGCCCTAACTTACAAAGAGAAATCTCTTGATAGTATATATGTTATCCCCTACACAGATCTTGCCATGAGGTTCAGATGAGTGTACAGAATAAGGAAATTAGGAAGGATGGGGCATGACAGAACATATACTCTCTGTCAAGTCCTGGAGCATTTGGGATGTGAGGCTAAGAAGGGGGGCACTAGATACCATAGTAGGTTGTGTGTGAGAGGGAGATGGGGGAAATTCTTCATGTGCAAATGACTGAGTAGTCATATCATTTGAGCTCCCTTCAAGCAAGTCCTTACTTGAGCATTCCTCAGAGTCAGAGACTATAGACTCAAGATGATCATCAGATGATAGGCTTTCAGAAACAAAAAGCTTAGTAAGAGATTCAGAGGTGGAAGTAGCAGGGTCTGCTGAACTGCTACATCATGTGGGAATATTCTTGATTGGATAATAGACATGAATGTCCATGGAAAGAGGTGGTGAAACATGTTTCATGAAGGAAACTGTTGAATCATACCCAACATATTCTAGACTGCCAAAAATGATAGCAGCAATAATATGAGGGAGTAGATCTGGTTGCTGGTAGATATTGAAGCAAGTAGATACAGCTCCACCAGAGTGATCATACATGAGGACTCTGAGATAGTGATATGCATCGGTGAATGATAAGATGAGGGCAAAGTGCCTCCAGGGCTGTTCACTCATCATAAAGTAGGTGTGGGTGTCTGCAGCCTTCCCAAGTCACATTGCAGGCTTGTAAGGACTGTGTGTTAGCTCACCAGATACCCTGATGTTTCCCCATCTTGTTGTGATATCATCAGCAAGGACAAGATCAGGTTTATACTTTATGTTGCTGCTAGGCAACACCTTGTGAGCACTGGCTGCATTCCATGTATGAGTTGCATAGCACTTGCATTCAAGCAGGGGTTATAATGCTGATAAGCAGCTAGCAAGAGTGTTCATAAAGGATGTGATAATTTCTTTGTAAGTGGCACTCCCAGTATTTGAGTCTGACTCATTTCCAGGAGGGTTAACTGGAAGATCCCAGTTCCAAGTGTGAGTTGCAATGTTGTACAGTGGCACTAGGGAATCTGGTGATAAATCCTGGTATTGTAATCTGATGTGTTCATTGGGATAAATTATTTTTCTAAAGGAAATTTTGAGGTCAGATACATCAGGGAGAGGGATTTTGAAAGGCTAGAAGATGTGAGACAGCAAATGTCCTAGCAGTTGTGATGCCTCTGGTGGATCCTCATGTGTAACCAAATGATTGAGTCTGTCAGAGGTGATTTTATTCATGGCATGAATATCACTGATGTCAGGGATGGACAATAGGGAAAAAAGTTTGATTTTGTTGTCAATGGTCCTGAAAAAGAAAGCCATTTTGGGACATTTACACTAATTATGACAATGGTGGGACCACTGGAGATGAATTTAAATGTTTATCATGCACTGCATAGTGCCAATGAAGCTCAGTGTTTCAGGTGAACTAATTATAAAATGACTTCTAGCCAATAGTGATTAATACTGAAAATAGTGTGAAGTGAAAAAACTGATACAGCTATCTGCAAAAGCTAGTACATGGGAAGTGGGAGGAATGTGTTTTTATCCCAGTATTTATTAAGCCAGAATTCTGAAGAATGTTCCATACTGTTATATGGGGTGAGACAATGGTCTGCACTTGCACCATAACAAGATACAAGATTGACAGGTGCCCTAAGCTGTGTGACTGGTACAATATCACTCACTCAAGTATCATTTGAATGCATTGCTCATTTGAGTATGTGCAGTTGTATACTCAGCTCATGATCACTTCTATCTTGCAGAATGAAGTCAAAGCAATAAACATAGGCAAGGAAATGGTCCTTCCATGACCAATTTGTACCAGCCTTGCCAACAGGACACATAATAAGCCTTATTTCACCAACAGTATGCCCTAGTATTTGATAATGAAAATAGAAAGCATGGAAGAAGAGCAGAATGTACCATGAAGACCATCAATGGGCCATGTGCATTTCACATCATTGTTAACAACAATCAGATCATACCAGCCACAGGTCCAGATGTCAGAAGGTGGTGAACAATTCAAAATCTGGGCAGGCCATATGATACTAATGTCATGAAAATCAGTATCCTACAATTGAAGCTTGAACCAGACTTGGAGCTTTTCAAATGGAAGTGGAGTAGTAAGTTTAGCTTTCCCAGTCCCCCCAATGGTGTAAACAAAATCATGCCCATGAGCAGCTTCATGACTGAGAAAGTCAGTAATGACTGGTCATAGGTCAGGAAGGCCAAACTTGAGAGCAGTGTCATCAACAGAAATGTTTCTGATGGATGGGGCATAGGCGAGATGAAATGATGTGTGTCTGACAGAGAATAAGCACAATGGTACAGAGACTGTTCCCACCTCCCTGTACTGGAGGAGCTTTGCAATTGCAAATTGATTGGTGATAGAATGTAAATGGCTGGGACATCCAATGGTTGCAAGAAGCTCTACTGAGGTGTCATGATTGTTGTCAACATCAAAATCAATGTCATCATCAACAGCATCACCATGATCTGTGTCAACCTGTTGCTTTGAGCCTGGCATATTGTCTAGCAGATTTATGGTGAGTTCAGAGCAACAGCATTTGTCAGCGCAGTCCAGATGTTGACAGACCCATGAATCATAGTCATGGTTGTTGCTCAAGCATGTGGGATCCTTGATTTTGATGATGTGTGCATGTTCTGTAGTGTCAGCAGTCCACTGTATGATAACTCCACTGTTTCAGATACTTGGAACTAGCTCTGCATAAGCTCAATCTTCAGGATATACCAGTTATCAATAACTGCACCATGCTGACCACACCAAAATGCACCAACTAAAATTGAATCTTTGTTGGCATGAAATGCTTTGAGAGCTGCAGAAAGGCACTTGACATCAACATTGACAATTTGAGGTGACTGTATGAGATAACAGAAGTCCATTAGAGCTTGGATGACAGTGATCACAGCACTAGGAACCACATCTGCACTAACTGCAATGATTAAGTGCTGGATGTCACGCTGAGCACACCCTGTAATAGTGTTGCCGTAGCTCCAGCTTTTGCCAGTTCCTGGCCAAAGACTGTTACCAGCTACAGCTGAGCCTGACAAAGCCAAGCCTGGGAAAAAGCTGGCCCCACATGTGGCAGCTTGAGCTGCAGCTCTGGCTTGCGAGCTGGCTACATAGAAACTCATGTACATATCATGACATCTCTGTATGGAGGAGATGCTAGGAATCACCATCGCCCATTGCAATTTATACTATCAAGCCATGTTAATTATCACAGTCCCTTACTATCAAGTTCAGTCTCTCCCCCCAGCTCTAGCCATACAAGAACTCCATCAACAATACCACAGAGCGTTGTACCACCACTGGCAGTCAAAAACAATATTATTTCTGCACCACCTGCACCTGACAATGGTCATTTACCTAGTCCTGAAACTGTCATATCTGCCCCCAAGTCACCCCTAGCAAATCAGACCATCTATGATGACGAGGAACAATTGGGTAGGGGACCACATCATTGTTCTGTTTTCTCCACTGACTTTTACGTATGTAGCTAAATGCAAGAATCTTCTAGAAATCATCCAAGGTGATGATCGGGTGAGTCAATTTAGTGAAATGGTGTTCAGACTCCTGATTAATGACACATCATACAGGAGGAGGAAACCATATTCACCAGAATCACAGATGATGAACATGCATACATCATGCAGTTCATTGACGAAGATGATGAGACTCAAGGAAGGTGGGTGTGTTGATATAATATCTTGCTATACCTAACACAATTTCCTAGATTTGTCTATCACCCAGACTTGGAGACGTTCATAGTGACACTGCCAAGCCAGGCTTACTGAGCAACCCATCACACAAATAAACTTTGCTTTTCAAACGGCTATTACATCAATCGGCCATGACAATGTGCTTGTCCAAGTCCATGTGCATGCAAACAGCTGCTTTTCAGGTGACAGTATCCATGCAGACCCTGATATTCACATCATCTGCATGCCATTCATTGATATTGGGGTACTGAACAAGTCTATCTCCCTCTGGATTTTGGAGAACTGTTTGTCCCAGATGGAAAGTGTGGGTCAAGACAAGATCCGTCGCATCATCACTAATGAAAGTGGGATCCTATTGGCTTCACTCATCAACATGATCAAAGCACACTGATATGCTAATCTGGACCCAGGCAGTGAGATTGCACAGCATTTGCGATTGAAACCAGTGATGTCTTTTGAAGAGTGGACGCCCCTGAGGATGCAATCCAACCAGTTTGGCCCTGTCATATCTGAGGGGCACAGCTGGGTTGAACTCTCGAAGATTGAGTTTCATACATGGATTGCACCAGAAGACAGTGCAATCAATCTTGAGAATGATGACCCTTCCATGTATTCTAAAGGGGTGAGTGATGACTTGTTCACATTTTCACCTTGCCTGAGCATGCACTTGCAGAGTCTGTTCCCCATTGAGAACACCAAAGATATGGATGCAATGATTGGTTGAGGTGTAGCAAAGATATGAGACGTAATACTCCACCACCTTGTCTTACTTGATCCAGAAGGTGACCATGATGATGTACATCAATGGACTCCACCTGCAAAGGTGATCAGGTGGAAGGAGATCAAGGCATCATTAGTAACTGCAGTGTGGGCAACTGAAGGCGCATGTTTGAGTGTAAGTTCTCCTTTTCTCAAAGACAATTAATATCTGATTCATAGCCTTGCACAGGTGTGCGATCCAAGCCTCTTGGGTGATGTCCATTGATCCATGCCTCATTCATCTATCATTTTATATCCGCTTTCCCTAGCTCATGTATTCAAGCTTTCACGTACTTTCTCATGTATAATGAATCATGTTGTTTTGTTGAATGTATTCTCTTCAATACTACTATGCTTGTATATAAACTGAAGTTCTGGAGTTAAAGCTTATAGCACTCTTCAGAGCCTTCACTTCATTGCATGCATTGTCCTCATAGGGAATGGCACCCAGTGCCCAGCATTGTACCTAAGCCCACATTGGTGCCACCTGCATCTTGGGATGCACCCACACTCGACATCAACATCAACCAGGCTGATGACTCAGAATCATTTAACCTTGATGTATCTGGATCCAGTGATGACACTGACCCAGCACCTCCAGTACATAAAGCCAACAAGAAGACAAAGAAAGGGCTGGCACCTGCCAGTGTACCTTTGGACTTTGATGCACCACCAGATCCTCTCCTTCAAATGCAGGCATCTCAAAAAACTGCAACATCCAATGACATTAACTATTTCTTTCAAAAGCAAAAGGACAAAGACACTATTTGTGTCATGTGCGAGTAAGTCTTTGCTAGTGTACACTATTGATTCATCTAACTAACTATTCACATTTCTAGGGCCGAGCGAAAGCCAGATCCAGCTACATGGGATGGGAGCCATGGAAAACGAAAATGGGAATACTCGAGCAATACTGGGAATACACCATTGTGTGGACACGTTGAGAGGTTTCATTTGCTCCTCTATCTCATTCTGACAGAAGAATGTGGGTGGTCCATCTTCGTCATCAGCATCAAACTGGCCTTTGAAATGGGATACACACTAGCTGAAATGTGTAAAGTTGTCAAGGGAGGCACCAAACTATCTAACCTTCCCAAGCGCACTGCTGGAGCCAGTAGTACTACCTTAGCTGGCCCCTGTGATAGAGGTTCGATCCCAGAGTTCATGCACACCACCTTCCTTCAACACCTTGTATCTTTCATTGTTGCTGATGATCAGGCAAGCCCTTGCACAATTTCATTATTTCTTACTGACAACAGTCAACAGTCCATCAACATTATTGAGTGTCCTGAATTTTGATGCCTCCTTTTACTTCTCTGCCAAGAACTTTGAGATAAAGATATTCCTCACCGTACCAAGATCCATGCAGAAATAATCAAGGCCTGGCAAGAGTATTTTGTGACTCTGAAAGATGATATGGCTGTACATATTTTTTTATCTCCATAATCTACAGATTCTCATCATACTTAGAATGCAGTTGGGACAATCTTATTCACTGCTGACATCTGGTCGGCACAGGCTCTAGGCGCATATTTAGCAATGTCAGCTCATTGGATTGCAGAGAACCAGAAGTTGGGAGTGCTTGAGCTGAAGGCAGTGCTTGAGCTGAAGGCAGTGCTGATCACATTTCGCTGGATCAAAGGGAATCACACCAGAAAGTACCTAGCAAAGACAATGTTGTATTTACTTGATCGTGCAGATATCACTGTGAAGGTGTGGTGACCTGTTCAAATACTGACTTTCGCTTATATTAATTTAGGTCAGACATTTCACCATGGACAATGCAGGCAACAATGCAATGTGTATGGAAGAACTTTCCAAACTGCTGGAACAACACGACATCACTTTTGACCCACTTGACAGGTGGGTCATGTGTTTCCCCCACATTATGAATATATGTGTACAGCACGTCACTGATCATTTCACAAACTCCATTGTTGCTGCGCAAGAAGTCTCATGGGCATGGGATGCAACAATTGATGGCCTTGTGATGGACAAAAAAACTTACCTTGCAGCTATCACAAGAAACCCAGTTGCGCTGGGCTGGTCTGCCATCAAAGCGATCCAAGTATCTGGACTGCGTCACGATAAATTCATGGAGGTCGTCAAAACCGGAAATGCCAAGCAATGGTTCAAATCCCCTTCGAATAAGCTGGTAACTGTTCCTGAGGTCGAACTGCTTCATGATGTCTGCATGAGATGGGACTCAATGTATTTCATGATCAATCGCTTGTGAGCAATGCATCCAGTAAGTCTAATACTTGTTATTTTCACTCATGCTATACATTCTTGTGTCAGGCCATAGACTTCTTCCTTAGCATGCCTAATCAGCAGGACATTTCTGGTCATAAGATGACTGACTCAGATTGGCAAGTTCTCGAAGACCTTGAAAAGATTCTAGATGTACATATACAACATCCACCCTTCATTATCTTCAATTTTAATTCTGTTCGCTACTAAATTACAGGTACCTCATAGAGTGCAGCAGTGCATGTCTTCTGAGTGCATGCCCCGGTTGGGTAGTGTGGTTCCCTGCTTCGAGCTTTTCATGACGGCATGGGAATCCCTGGCTACAAGAATTCCCTGACTTCATCCCTCTATCAATGTCAGCTTGGACTGGGCTAAATCATACTACGTTCACATGGACCTGACAGACTCGTATGTTATAGCAATGTGTAAGTTCTTTTATTTTTATTTTTTGACAATAACTACTAATTGAAATGCTTACCAGTGATCGATCTGTCAGTAAGACTCACATGGATCAGGGACTGTTGGGAGGATGATTGGATTATGTGCGCTGAAAGTATGATATGCAACCTCATAAGTACTAATTGACCATCTGATGGCTCTCTAAGCTTTTATGCTAATCTGATTGTGTAGATGGTAGAATATAGAAACCAAATCTCACCTGAGGCTTCCCAGCAATCAAATACCACTCACACCTCCAAGGTTGATACAATCAACTCGCTTGCTCAACTCTATGGCCTTGGAGATATGCACATGAAGCGTCTGCAGCAGTCTCAAGGCCTGCAGACTATTGAGCAAGAGTATCAATCTTATGTTAATGGTGACCTTTGGGATGAAGGCATTGACATACTCAAATTCTGGGAGGTAGGTCACACCGTCTTATTCTTTCAACTGCAGTACTAATGGTCCCTGCTTTTGATAGATGAAGTGGAAGACATACCCAACATTATTTGCAATTGCCATGGACTATTTGCCTGTTCAGGCCTCCACAGTCCCATGCAAACGAGTTTTCTCATTGAGTGCAGAAACTGACACAAAAAAACGGAACTGAATCAGTGAGACGTTGATGGAGGCTTTACAGATGTTAAAGTATGGCCTGAAAAAAGAACGGTTCAATTTCACTCAACAGTTCATTATATCACAGCATGACTTTCCTGGTGATGATCCTGACAAGCCAAATGGAGCACAATCAAATGAATCTCAGGATCCTACTGATGATATACTAGCTACTATTGCATCAGAAGAGACCCATGATGTGCTAGACAAAGTTTATATTTTTCCACAGCCTTCATCTTGGACTGGTTAGAGGCTAGAGACTACCTACAACATTGCATTCTGAACTGTGATCTGCGTACTACTATACCTATGCACTGATCAATACTATGTTGATTTTTGACTGAATTTACCTGAACATTGTGGCATGTGACCTTGCTGATGAATCAGCAACTCTCATATCTGTCCTTGTTCGTGTTTCCTTTCTGTTGTCTTCCCATTGCAGGACGCACACTGGAGGACCACTCAGCACTGAAACCACTCACCAACGGAGCTTGGTGGGCTCATGTGTCGCTGTTTTGCATCCAACGTGAGTTTTTCATTTTATTTTTTCAAACACACCCCTCCCCCATGATGCCTTGGTTTGGCCATTTTGCCCCAAAGGCCAATTGGCGGAGTATCACATCTCCCTTCCTCCACACACATCTTTATTTTTCTCTTTACACCCCTCCCCCATGACACCTTGGTTTGGCCATTTTGCCCCAAAGGCCAATTGGTGGAGTATCACACTTCCATTCCTCCACACCCCACCTATTCTCCATTCTCTGTTTCTGTAATGCCATCTCTCCATACCACTTGCCTGCTGATGGGTCCCTTTCAAGAGATCACCAAAAATGTTTCAACATGGTCAATAGTTTTGGCCCTGGGTACAATTCTACAGCGCAGGTTGACACATTCCATCATCAGATCCCTGTTGATGCAGGAGCATCCAATGAGGCTCCTCACACATCGTCAGAGGCACCGTGCAATCCAACAAACGCTTCAACAGAACCCCCTTCATCAGAGTGGTGGCATGTCTGCAGGAACGAGTTCTCTGGAAGCTGTTATGGATGTGTGAAATGCTCATGGCACATCATTGTAAGAATTTATTTTGTCAAAATCATTTGCTTTGCTCAACTATCTGCTAGTGTCCAAGCCGTTCCCAAATCTGGTGCTATGCACATGTTCTGTTTTGGGTCAACTCACATCATCCAGCAGCGTGAAGTTATGCCGCCAATTGCCATTACACCATCAGTTGTGGAAGTGCCCACAGAGTCTCAACATTTGACTTTTGGTATAGTCAACTTTGGAGGGTAGGCCCATCACATTACACTTGGTGAATATCTCATGATCATCACTGCAGAACTTTGCTGTCCTTTGTGCTTTCTCACGTTAATAGGTGAATCTGGCACTGGAAAGGTATACCTTCCTATGACACACCAGTCACACATGTCGTTTACCCAAATACTTGTAGACAACACTCTTGAATGTTCTTGCACAATGTGTCGGTGGTGTTGGTGTGGTAACTGGTGAGCAATTCTTTAGTGGACAACCGCTCCCCATAGATTTCCAGGCTCAGACATTAGTATCGTCCTACATATGCTGATCTTATCTGACTGACTGTTATGTTTAGTGGTTACTGCCAACAACTTGATACCCATCTTCCTGAGGCGACTGTCCATGAAGTGCTCCTTTTCTCTGCTAATCTTTGCCAGCCACAGTTGGTTCCTCTTGCTGAAAAGGAAGCATAGTGTGTATGATTTTTGCACATGATCAAACCACACTTAACTTTCTACTGCAGCATTGACAAATGTCTTCAAATGTGTGGTCTAGAGGAGTATGCTGACACTATTGTTGGCTCTCTCGGGGTTGAGTGCCGTAAATGTACCACCATCGCAGTGGAGCTCGCTGCCAAGGTTTGAATCCAAACTTCTTGAGGCTACAGCTGTGCTAAAAAGACCAACAGCCCAAACTTCTACTCTTCTTGGATGAGCCTATGTCCAGCCTAGACTCACAATCTGCCTGGGCTATTGTCCATGTCCTTCGTGAGCTTGCTGATTGTGGTCAGGCCATTCTCTGCACATGAGTGCCATTTTTGCGTGTGGGTTTTCAATGCTTATGAGCTGTACCAGAATTCACCAACCTTCAGGAGCGTTCACCAGAAGCGGCGCAGCTTCAAGAGCAGATCAACAACTTGCATGAACATGGTCATACTCACCCACCACAGCTGAGCGTCCAGCACTCTGTCTTCACTACCTCATGGTGGCACCAGTTTGTTATGCTCACCCACCAAAACTTCCAAGCATACTGGCACAATCCTACATACATCCATGCTAAATTTGTGCTTAACATCTTTGGCGGTCTCCTTGTGGGCTTTACATTCTTCCAGGCAAATGATTCTTTGCAGGGCACCCAAAACAAGCTGTTCGTAAGTATATCAATTTGGGTTCTTAGTTTCATGCTAATCTCACTTCTCTTTAGTCAATCTTCCTCGCTCTTGTGCTTTGTGTTCCCCTCACCCATCAGATCATGGCCGTCTACATTGACATTCGCACAGTGTACAAGATATGCGAACGTCCTAGTAGGATGTACAACTGGACTGCTCTTATCATGTCGCAGCTTGTCACTGAGCTTCCCTGGAACGTGACAGGTTCTGCGATGTTCTTTTTCTGCTGGTACTGGACCATTGGATTCCCCACAGCCTGGGCAGGCTACACGTTCCTCATTCTCGCCATCGCCTTCCCATTGTACTATACTATGTTTGGACATGGTATTGCATGTTCATGTCACCCACTGGTCCAGTTGCATCCATATACTTCACAACTCTCAGTCTACTGGAACTGAGTCCATTGGTGTCGAGCCTGATCAAAGCATGTCCGCCATTCACCAAAACATCACTTCATGAGTTTGCTTTCTTCATCGCACTTCCTTAGCGCTCATGATAATCTAGAAATGTGTCAATTGTCCAGGTAAGAATGGTCGTCTGTACAATCATAGTGTGCTAATGGTCACTTTAAAGATTTTGATACTTGTGCTCACTGCTTCAAGTGTGTATTCTGCTATCAAAACATAGTCGGCATTAACACTCTGGTCAGGATTACTGGAGAGCAGCATCTCAATCACAGCTTTGTGTGGGTGAGCAAGATGAGTGACCTCATGGTAGCTGTGCCCTTTTTGTGAAAAATCTGTCTCACAATAATTCAAGATGTGCTATGCAGCTTTCAACATGGTTACTCATTATGTGACATGCACCAGTTGGATCATTGGCATTGACAGGCAGCAGTGCTATGTCTCTGGGATCAATAGCAAACCTAGCAGTAGGACTACAAAAGTTGGATGGGGGATGAGCGATTTATTTGCATGAAATAGAAAGGTCTGGCAGCTGCCGCCATTTGGGTACACGTTCTGGATGGAAATATGCGTCCCAACTGCCCAGTTATTGTTCTTGCACATGTACAGATTATGTGACTGGTATGTATGAGTTTTGTATTGCAATCTTCCGGAAGTTGCCACCATGGCACCATGTATGTGTTGAAATATTAAGTCTTGTTTATTGTGCATATCATTGCCATATCATATCTGTCCTCCGTGTACATCATACTCAGTACTCAATGGTTCCTGCTTGTGTCAATGGGAGGTATTGACTGAAAGAAAAAATAGGGTCGGGTGCTTATGGTAAGTGAATTTTTATTATTATTACATCTCACTGTGAGGACTGAACTTTGAGACAGGTGAAGTGTACCATGCAAATGATATCATTGGTGATGGTGATGTGGTTGTCAAGCTCCAATGTATCACTGGCTCCACCACCAGCTTGGAGCATGAGTATAACATGCTCAGGCAACTTGGTGACACTGTTGGCATCCCCCATGTCCACTGGTTTGGACGTGAGGACAACTATGATGCCCTAGTCCTTGATCGTCTTGGACAGTCACTTGAGAGTGTATTCAAGACATATCAACACTCTTTCAGCCGCAACACTATAGTGTTCATAGCCCATCAGCTTGTAAGTATTTCCTAAATTACATTTACTGATTCTAAAAATTTCACTAGGTCTGCTGCCTCCAGTACATTCACTCAAAATACTTCATTCATTGTGACTTGAAGCCTGACAACATCCTTATTGGAACTGGCAAGGACACGCACAAGATTTATCTTGTTGACTTTGGCATCTCCAAACAATACAGATACCTGCGCACTCACCTCCACATTGCATTTGAACAAACCACCTCCTTGACAGGAACTCCGGCTTTCATGTCCATCAATAGCCATGCAGGCATGGAGCTAGGACGTCGTGATGATATCGAGTCCCTTGCATACCTCTTGATTTACTTATTTCGTGGATCTCTACCTTGGCTCCACTGTAGCGGGATCTCTGACGAGCAAGTTGTTGAGATGAAGTATGACACAACAAAGTTGTGCCAAGGCCTTCCTGAAGAGGTTGAACAGATCCTCACCTATTCATGTTCCCTCTTGTTTGACCAGAAACCGGACTACACATTCTTATGTCGCCTTCTTCAGCGCATCAACAGTACAGTGTTACGGCGAACCGTAAGTCGACTAGGATAGGCGCGACGATAGGTACTCGATAAGAGTACGCCTAACGCCGGATCATGTCCTCACAAATGTAAGGTTCTTTAAGACAAGTCAAAGAGAGTGTCTTTGGCTTGAATATCGATATCGGACGACTTGGGATTGGAGGTCCTAAGCGAAGGATAATGCAGGTAAAACCTAGTAGATTAAAGTGAAGTCTAACTAAGTACATGACCGTGCTTATATAGACATAGGTACTTTAGGGCAGGTACGCATATGTCATTGACTGAGTCATAGATAAGAGTAATGAGTCATCTAGTGACGTCATCGATGAGTCAGAGAGATAAGAGATATGAGTCAGCTAGTGACGGTGTATGGTGGTCATGCTGTAATACAGATAAGGAATCAGCCTAATGATGGCACAATGGGTGCGGTCATGGTGTAGTACACAAGTAGGAAGAAAGGAGAAAAGAGATAGGGGTAACAATGATTGTAACATACAGTGGCTCAAAAAACTGTCCACATGTTTTGAGATTTTTCACTATCTATGATATTGTGTGAGAACTCACAAATGGCTCAAGGACATGGTTATACCACATTGTAGTATGGCTTCAGGGCTTTCATTTGAGCCCTACACCGTGGGAATCGGTGGAGATATGGTGGAGATATAAGGCTCACAAAATGGTGACTCATGCGGACAGTTTTTTGACTCAAGTATTTTACAATAATAACCAGGTATTCTAGTATTTTGTATGACCTCCCTTGGCTTTAATTACCACCTCTATCCTTCTAGGCATACTCTCAATTAATTTCTGGCAATCCTCAGCTGTGATCTTCCCCCATTCCACTGCTACTCTCTCCCAAAGCTCCCATACTCCTTAGGGTGGTTTTCATAGGCTTGAAGCTTTTTCTTGAGTGTTCCCCAGAGATGTTCAATGACATTGACATCAGGAGACTGTGCTGGCCAGTCAAGAACATTGATGTTATGTTCTTCAAACCATTCCTTAGCTCTTCTGGATGTGTGCTTGGGATCATTATTCTGTTGGAAAATGATATCTTCTTCATCAATCCTGATTCTGCCAAGCTAGGCAGCAAGTGGTCATTTAAAAAAAAAAAATGTCCACATACTGCTCAGCATTCATCTTCCCCTCAACCTCAGCAAGCATTCCCACAGCATTCTATCCCATACAGCCCCATACCATTAAAGAACCTCCTCCAAACTTGACAGTCCCATTAACCTCTCTGTCTGTTAGGCCATCTCCCTTCTTTTTCCATACATATACCTTCCCATCTGACCCAATCCTATTGATTTTGGTCTCATCTGACCATATAACATGCTTCCAGTCCTCTACAGTCCAGTGTTGATGAGCTAAGGCAAAGGCTAGTCTTCTCTGCCTATGTTTGATGGAGAGAAGAGGCTTTTTCTTCTTTGTTACTGCCTTGAGATGAGCTGCCTTGAGAACATTCCTCACAGTTTGTGAAGAGACAGGGGTAGTGATGGTGGAATTGATATAATGGGTGGCTTGGACAGCATTATCAGCCTTTCCTGTAGTGATATGTTGGATAATAGCCCTTTTGTCAGTAGAGGTAAGCTTGGATGGACATCCTCCACAAGAGTTTTCCTTGTCTGGGTGGCTTTCTTTGATAAACTTGGCCACAGTGGACTTGCATACTCCAGTTCTAGAGGAAATTTGGCAAGCAGAGAGGCCAGCATAAGACAGAGAGAGGATATTATCTCTTTGAGCAGAGGAGATGGCTTTCATGGTGATTATGACTATGATACATGAGATATTCTGGTTTATATAGTTAGATATAGTCATAAAATAACATAATGACACCACTTCATAATTTATATAATAGTGGCATGATTTTTGTGGTGTCATAAATAATGATTTATATAGTTTTAATATACACTCAAAAAACTATCCACATGAGTCATCATTTTATAAGCCTTATGTCTCCACCATATCTCCACCGATTCCCACGGTGTAGGGCTCAAATGAAAGCCCTGAAGCCATACTACAATGTGGTATAACCATGTCCTTGAGCCATTTGTGAGTTCTCACACAATATCATAGATAATGAAAAATCTCAAAACATGTGGACAGTTTTTTGAGCCACTGTACATCTGAGTCTTGCCAGCAGGATCATGTACCCGACTGGTCCACCATTTCCCCTGCACCTTGCAAGACCCCCATTGGCAATGCAGATTCTACCATGCCCCGCCGCTCATGTTGTTTGAAGGTGCAAGCTTTTTCACCATGCCCTATGTATTCCCTGCACAGCAACTGCTGCCCTTGGACTGTACAGAAATGAGTGCTACTTCAATAAATGTGAGTACACTTATTTTTATATATTCATCAAGTTGTTGACTTAAATGGTCTGCAGGTCTATGTCACACAATAACTCATGTCTTACTGTTTTGTATTCTAGTTTGTATGTCAAAAAGTCATGTAACTACCTGACCACAACAATATGAGTGAATTTGAGCCTTCTGTGATTCGGTTTGAGCCAGCTCAAGCTGTGGCTCTATGAGCCTTAGCTAAAGCTGACTCGTATGGCTAGCCACGGCAGGCTGGGCCAGATATAATGGCTTGGCTCACTATAAATAGATGAGCTGATGTGAAGCTGGTAGAAGCTGAGCTGGCTCTTGGCTAGCCAAGCCACAGCAACACTACCCTGTAACTTGTTTGAGTTTTGTAATGCCACCCTGAAAATGGCAAAACCCTGTGATGGGCTGTAGCACAGAAAAGCGAAAATCAAGTTCAGAGTCTCCCACTACACAAATAAGCCACTTCACATTGTGACCATAGGACTCTTGATGAATGTGATGGAGTGTCTCAGGAGTAAGGGAATAAGATAGTTCAGACAGCACCCAATCCTCAAATCATGCTTCAGATGTTACAGTCGTGACTACCCCCTATTTTCTTTCTCTCCTTACTCATGTACTATGTCATGACCGCACCTCGCTGTGCCATCATTAGACTCTGACTCCGTTCTATATCTGTTGTATTACATCACGATCGCCACGTGCTGTTGCTAGGTGACTCATTACTTATCGCTGACTCGACCGATGACGTCTACTTACCTGCCCTAAAGAGTCTACGTCTATATAAACCCGGTCATGTACTTAGATAGACTTCACTTTAATCTACTAGGTCTTACCTGAACTATCCTTCGCTTAGGACCTCCAATCCTAAGTCGTCTGATAACCGATATTCGAGCTGGAGACACTCTCTCCGACTTGTCTTAAGAACCTTACATTTGTGAGGACACGATCCGGCCTTAGGCATGCTCTTATCGAGTACCTAATGTCGCGCCCATCCTAGTCGACCTACGGTTCGCCGTAACAAAAGATTAAAGTCAATCCCAACCCTCCCCATCGAGGAGGTTATTCAAGAACTCAGAAAAAGAACTCAGCGAGAGAACGAGAACGTTCCCCTGAACAGAAACATCACTTGACCAGACGCTCAGGATGTCCACCATCCCAAACACCCCAGAACTAAAAGCTGGAGCCCCGTCCACCTATGACGGAAGCCCCTCCCAGGCTCTACAATGGTTGTATGCGGTTAAGGTGTACTTCGCACTTAACGCTACGATCTATAACACTGATGATAAGAAGGTCATCACTGCCCTTGCTTACATGACAGAAGGAAGCGCTATGGGTTGGGCGCTGACCTTCTACACCGAAGTCGACAACTCCGTTGCTAAAACCTACGGGACCTTTGCGAACTTTGAAACTAAGTTCAAAGAAGCCTTCATACCGGCCGATGCCACTGGAACCGCCATGAACAAACTCCGAACGTTGAGACAAACAGGCGACCTTACATCCTACATCGCCACTTTCAAAACACTTGCTGCACAAGCTTCCATGGAGCAGGACGCCATCCTCATTACGTTCTTCAATGACGGGTTGAAGAAAGGAATCGTTAACTCCGTCTATCAGATGGAGACCATTCCAGTAGATTTCGACAAGTATGTCGCCGCCATCATCCAGCTAGACAGTAACTACCAAAGAGGGGTTGCATATTGATCAAACCATTGTACCACCACCAGACTGTCGGGACAACGATATGTACCCAGACCCTCCATTGATCGGCATGACCCAAACGCCATGGAGGTAGACCGGCTCACTGAAGCCGAGAGAAGTGACCACATGAAGAAAGGACTATGCTTCACGTGTCACCAGAAAGGTCACCTCACTAGAGCGTGTCCGCAGAAGAAGAAGATCCCTGTCCACAGAGAAGAGATTAGTGACAGCAAAGAAGATACAACGATCTGTCGTATTACTGAGGATTTTTAATGTGGAAGACTGGATCGATGTCAGTATCTTCCAATGTACCTATCAGACTTGTACAAAGTATGGGGATTAGAAAGGAACTCCGTGTCCCCATTACCCTCATTTCTAAAACTCATCTGGAAATCGTCGAAACAACAGCTGTTGTGGACTCCGGCACTGCTGGAACCTTCATCTCCGAAGAGTTTGTCAAAACCCACGGGATTAGAATGCACAAACTCACAAAACCATTCTGAGTTACCACTGCGGATGGAAGTTACGCAAAGGGGGGTGCTATCACCAGATATTGTGTCCTCATAGTCAAGATAGATAACCGATCTATGATCGGAAAGTTTAACATCACGCGACTTAGTCGACGAGACCAGATTCTACTAGGGATCCCTTGGCTATGTGCTATGGACCCAGTAATCCAATGGAAAGCGGAAATGCTAGAACTTTCTCGAACAGAGAAGAGTGACCAGATCAAAGAGGAAGTCGACAAAGAACGAAAGAAGAACAGACTCCCTCCTCTGTTTCGGAAAACGAAACAGACGAACAAAAGAACCAACCTAATTCCAGTTGTAGTGCTGCTGAAGGCGCCTCCTGTAGAATCGGTTATATTACCACCCAGAGAACCGGTGCCTCAAGCTATGATCGAAGAAATCCCAGACGAAGAAGCCCCACCAAGCCTTGACCCTATCCCTGATGATGACGACAATTCTTTTGACACGAAAGATGACGTATGGACGACGGATTACGC